AAACTAGTGCTGTATCATGTTTGTACAGTCATGCTGGAGCCCACTTAATGTGTTATACCAGATAAAGTGCTTCAAGGTCAGAGACAAGCTAGGCTTGAGAAAAGATAGTGTGAGATAAACTTATAGCTCAAAGCTGGACTACTACAGTAAGAACTATCCTACTTATATACTGTCTGGTCTGTGATAAATATAGCTGCTATCTATTATACTGTCCTGCACTACACTACTTGTTCTGCCTGGTTATCAGAGGGTGGACAATAGGATGTTGTTTATGGATGAAGCAACTGAGTACAATAGCACTGTCTGTCTTATGATTATATAATCTTCCCCACACTCACAGATAGATGCTCAAGATAAGATAGACACTCTGATAAGATAAGAAAAAATCATAACATAAAAGAAGTATAAGAATGGAAGAGTATAATATAGCAGAGCATCCCATCAGTGAAACAAGTGAAGGTGACAAGAATCAATAATGGCTCAAGATCATATTGGAGAGATATCTATGAGATATTGAGAATTTTAGCATAATGTAGGACCTAGCTGTGAATGAAACTTTATTATGAGTTGCTTGAATTGTTAATTAGCTTCCATACAACCAAGCTCTTCTTTGTAGATGCATCCAGGAGGGATCTAATAGTGTTGGCATCAGAGATCTGGGTTTAGAGATAAACAGAGGGCTTACACTTTGCACCACATGCACTATTTTCAGACATTGACCAGAGGACAAACAAGGAAATCAAGTGATGAGGATATACAATGTTCAGACTTTCAAGACAACATCAAGAAACATTGGTCTGTAGTTAGTAAACCTACATATGCTGGTCAGTTATTAATTCTGACTCCAATATTCAAAAAGATTCACCATTCTTACATAGTCATTGGTGTTGAAGGTCTCCTTTGATTTGCCCTATAGACCTATGCCTCACTATCCATGAGTCTGTTTGCCAACTCTGCTGTAAAAACCATATTTTCTGCCATGTTGAATCCTCTGACTGTGTAATGCTTGATTCCTTTGAGACAATGATATCTACAGTACAAAGATAAGAGACCCAAGATGTATGAGAAAATACATATGAATGACTGCTGAAAGCATAACTTTCATGACTAACATCACACTCCAAGGAATGACACAACTTGAGCCCTGGAAAAGCACAGATACAACTCTACTCACCTTGGCAGAAAACCAGATCCATGCCAGCAGGGGGGTGTCACCCTAAACCTATCCTGCATACTATGCCAAGGATCCACAAGAGTGAATCTGCACCATGGAAGGAAGTGCAACTCAGCATAGAGTTGGAAAGACAATGCATGAAAATCTCATGTAACACATTGTCAGGAAGACAACAGACGGGATTAAGGATCTAGCTTGAGTGCTCCATATTCTACTGAAGCTAACTGGTCTAGATGAGGGATTTCAATTCCATCTGTAGCTCTGATATCAAGCTCTGAAAACATGCCAGATCCCATCTTTCAAAGATCTCTGAATGCGGCCTCCTCTGATGCTGACGGTGGTCGATTGGTATGCAAAAGGGCCATTATATCAGGATCTGGGTTGAAGGAGGGTCCTTCACATATCATATGGCAGTTTGGACACAAGTGGGACATATCGCCTACAAGGGGGGATGATTCAAAGGAGCAAAACTGGATATAGATGCTTAGACTGAATGAATCGCTTAGGGTACCAAAGTGATGGTCGATGAGAAGTAAGGAGGCTACGGTGAAGGTAACACGCTGTTTCTGGCAGGACGAAGGAAAGTCGCTCCGGAATCCGACTTCCCATCATTGATTAGCCTGTACGGAGACACGAGGCAATACATATTATATTATTAGTGCCATGCACTGGGGTCCGCTGTCATCAAATATAAGAGTGTAAACGCGGCTTGAAGATTTTCTGTCTCGACTGGTAATTGATGCATGGAAGCGACTTGGCAGCGACAGACGGAAATGGCGGTGGCGGATGAGGTCGATGGTCCGGTCAAATTCTGGTTAGGGATCAATTTCGAAGTCCGAGGGGACCTCTGCTTTTCCTGCTACCATCACACTTCTTCGCCGTCGACCGTACCGTCTAGGACATTATCGGGAGAATGCCTAGTTCGAAGTGTAGTATTTGACTGGTGACTGGCGACTAGGTATGTCAGTCTTACGCCGGTGTCCTGTCTCGAGGTACTAAACGCGATATTTCGCAGGTCGAAGCCCCAATGTAGCCTCCCGAGAAACTTTCAGCTTCATCAGGTCGAGTATCACATACAGGATGATGATGGCTGGGACATAACTACGAGAAGACGTTGGATGGAGGGCCGTGGCTGGTGGAGTGACATCAACGACTCACCCTAGTGCATCATCTCTGTCCATGCCCAAGCTAAAGCAAAAGATATTATGCACGTATTCTGCAAGGAAGTACTACTTGCGACTTCCTTCTACGCTGTACACCCGAGTTGTTTCTGGATCGTGCTCATCAATGAAAGTGGCATCGGTTTATGCTCGAAACAGGTCAATTTGGCCGACCGCAATCGCAGTAGAATGTACTGACCTAGGCTACGCCAACATCCTTCTGTTCCTCCCATACAAATCATCCCCCCAGAAGTAATCGAAACTTCGAAGACGACCAACTCACCAGGGAGGGACTATCCTGGCGTTCGTTCGTCATTCTCCTTTCGTCCGGCATGTCAACAATTATACCACTGGAAGCTCCACAGATCGCCTATCGAACGTTGCTTAGAGTCCAGGAAACAGACACCCGGATATTAAGGTGGCGGATGAAGCATAGACCATTCAGCTGCTGCTTCAGAAGAGGAGACTCAGCGATGACATTATGTTGTTGGCCAGAATACGAGTCGTGGAGTGCTATAGTAACCTCGATAAGACGAGTATCAATAAGAAAAAAAAGCAACTATATCTCAGCCTGGTACGGTGTAACGTCACACTGATCTTCCAAGAGTCATCTCCCTGCTTTCCGAAGGCAACGGCATTGACGTCAGCAGAACCATCTGACCGAATTCACGCTACATGGTCCCGGTGTATTGTTCCAAGCCGCTACGTCCTACCAATGCGAGCGGTACGCCTGTTCCTCCACAAAGATTGGCTGGAAATCGTGTGGGAATGCGGCTTCGTACTAGAGCAAGAATTCAGACAAGGTTTGAATTCAATAAGTTGTCAGCGCGAGTGCTAGGTACCGATGAGGGTCATAGTAGGAAGATGACACGGGAAAAGGAAGTAAACAGTCTCAACGGACGTAGGGAGCTTGCCGCGACTAGAAGCGTACGCAAAAGGCGCGATCATCAATAGTCCTGATGCAAATCAAGATGCAGCACCTGCTAAAATGTTCAGAAACGCTGAAAAGAGGATAGTGATGATATACGCGCTGGTTCTCGGATGATTTAATCAGAAATCGCTACATGCATCCAGCACACAGTACTCAGCGATCCATCGGTTAGGCTCTTCCCTGAAAGTGTATGCGACATCAAGAGGAGAGACTTGCAAGAAGAAGATAATTAGTCGGTCGTCATAATACGGGTTGGGTATCCTTCAGAGCATGTGTTCACTGTTGGCATCTCATTGGCCACCAAATTTTCTCGTCACACTCGTCAGCACACTATTAATAGTGCTGCCAGCCAGCCTAGCTCCAAGCTTTTACCGATTGCTTCAAGCTCATAGAATTCAGCTTTCACGGATCTCTGTGCCTTTGATGGTACTGACAGTACTTATCATGTACACAACGGCAGTCATTGCGATGTCATCTAATCGAAGTACTTGTCCGGAACACATTCTGTATTTCATAGCAGAAGATACTACCTTATTTGGATTTCGAGGACTTCCATACAACACAGCTCGTTTTGAATCCTTTGATGAAACTACAACCAAGACAGGTTAAACTCTGATGTTAGCTTATGCTAGAGATTCTCACTCACCGTATCTCGATATCCACACCTCCTGGTTCCAATTCCGCCAGACGAGCTTCATCTTTCCTGCTCAACAATGTTGAATCTTTAGTATTGTCCATCGTAACTACCTCGTCCTGGAAGAATCGTGATGTGTTTCTGCGTATTATTGCTATATCAACCAGTAACTGTCCTATATCCGTGCTAACATTGCGAAATGAGAGAGGGACCGGAGAGCAGGAACGACGTTTGACTGATTCATGAATGCAAAAATTGGGCCAAGCGCCTCGAAGCCCTCCACAATAAACGTAAGGTCAAGATATGTCAGGGAAGAGCACAATTTCATGAAATCCTTAACATATGGCTCGAATATGACCAACGGAAACGTCATACGTGTCAGTGTGCACCCCGATCTTGTGATTAGCTGATGAACGTCCCGCCATGGCATGCGCAGAGACATCGCTTGGTTTGTCATAAATCAGACATGACTCCCGGAGACCAGGGGGTATCATATGGGAAATGACATGCGTTGGATGTGCGCTGATACACAGTTTGAGGAAATGGATGGATGGAACCGCGAAAGGGACAGCTTCAGCAACATTGATAATAACAGGAACGGATAAATGCTCGATGTTCTGCGAAGAAAGAAGAGCATGTAGGATGTAAGATATGTCCTGGCATCAGCGATGAGAGAGTTTCTTGATTTGGGACCATGGAAAAACAAAATTCTCGCATCCGGTGAGGATGGTGACTTCGCGTAGGCGTGGGGCCATCGAAAAGATATGGAATAGATATCCAGGAGGAGAGTCAACTCCAATCGAGAGGCCTTCTAGAATCGGTATCCGCTCACTAACACGCCGCAACCTGTCGGCAACGACAACATCCGTGCCCACGTCTATAAATGCCGTCTAACCCTTCCATCGAGAGCCATGATCCAGAAGGATCTCGGCCGTCTCCAGGTCTTCGGAAGATATCTCTGGTCGCGCGCGAAAGGAAATCACGAGTGGCACTTCCCTCGACAACGCAAGCGCTCGGCAGAGAAGGGCTTTCGGTAATAGTGTGTTATTTAATTTATCAGAAGCCACGGGTGGGGAATGATAGATGTTTTTCTTCTTGGTCTCATCGAGCCTGTCGATGACGCTCAAGGAGATCTTCGACATGGGACTGCTCGCAGACTGTTTGCCGATGGGAATCTTCATAATGTTGGAGAATAAGAGAAACTTTGGCTATAGCTTCATCTTGCTCAGCAAGGATGTCATTAAGATGGGCATCTTTGGCAAATAAGGACGAAATGGATTGCTTGACCGGCGTATGATCGTCGTTCAATGGGAAGGCATTAGATAGAATGAATGACTCCAGTGAAGAGGAGAGGCTATAATCAAGTTTCTTTGGAACGTCTGAATAGTAGCGTATATTTTTGTTCACATCGCATGCCAGACAACCCTAATGAAATTCAAGTCGAAGCAGAAAGTGGGAAAAACTAACACTTACCATGGCAAGCCCTTTACGAGATAGAAAAAATAGACAGATCTGTATATGTCGAGAATCTGTGAGTACGATGATGATAGATGAAGTTGATGTAGTGTGATCGTGATAGTGGGTTGTGCGGCAAAACAACCTTTAGGTATTCGAACACGAGACCATGAGGAAGTGTCACATCCTGTGGTGGGAATTGTGTGACACATCACGTCCGGTCCGGTAACTTTGAAGCACTTTCTATTTTCCGACCCTTGCAAAAGAGAATGGACCACAATGCTATGTGTGTTTTTCTATTCCTTCTCATGACAGAATATGGGCTTATATATATCTGGCATCCTCCCCTTCATTATTTCAGGAACGCTTATTCCGCCCATCCGAAGGTTTTCCGTTTTTCCTCGCCTTGTCCTCGTGTTTTTCATGACATTGGGCTATAGGACGTATTTCTCCGTTCGAGTTGGTCAAAATTTCTGATAGAAAAAGCTTCTGTATTTGCGGCACTCGAAGCATATCATATATCACGACCCAGTACTCCCAACCGTCCCGAACAAAACGCTAGATCTTCCCATGTACGTTCATTTCCATTTATCTTATATCCGGCATCCGATGAGAATATCTTCAGCTCATGAGAGGAAACCTTTCAGCAACTGCGCCCCCAACACGTGTTGGACGCCTGGAAAAGGGCCGGACCACACATCTCTTTCATGCGACATCCCTTTCTCTCATACTTTCTTCCAGACGAAAGTGTTGCCGGCGATTATCTCATACCGCGTGTCGACGTGGAGTGATGCTAACACGAGGCTGGCATTGCTTGCCGCACGCCACCATCATATCGTCATTCCCCGCATCACCTCTGTATCCTTTTTGCTTCCTCGCCTTGGTGAGCGTTATCGACACATCGACTGCATACCATGGACAGTCCGGACTCCAAGTAACGCCTTTCCTTTTATTCTCTGAAATCACGAGTTGAATAGATTCCCTTAGGCTCCAATATCCGCCAGAGGTCCCGGAAGAAGCAGATTCGTCATCTCCCGCACCGTCGTCAGACGCCCCCAGGATCGACCGCTCAGCAGCAGCGCCCCCAAGCCACAATAAGAGGCGCCCCAAAAGTCTCCCGCGGCAGCGCCACCACCGTCGCGCAGTTCCAGCTTCACATTCCGAAATCGATCTCATCCACGGCTTCGGGCCAACCGTTACCGACACTCTTCGTCGTGACGTCCAGATACTCGATGCCTTTGAGCAACGTTTTGCAGCTCTGAGGACCCAGCTCGTCGAGGCGACGGCTTCTTTGTCGGCTCATAAACTCCAGCTGCAAAACGCGAAGATGGAGCTCCAGCGGGCGGAGGGGATCATTGCGGATGTGGACCGCCAGCGGATCGAAGCGGAAGTCCAGGCGGCAAAGGATAGGGCGACTACGAGAAGGCTCCTTATCGAACGTAAGATGAACGAAGCGAAGGAGCAAGGTTATCGGGAGGGGTACGAGGAAGGATTTGGAATGGTTAGATCGTTTCGGGAGATCAGGAGAAGGAAACGCTCGGAGAGGGATCGAGAGGCTGTTGCGCCACTGAGTTTCGGCAGGTATGTCTTTCAGCCAAGTAAATATGACTGCAACATATCTGATTTGCTCTCGAGGGCCACCAAGTCAAGTCTGTCTGTTTCCATACTGGCTGATTATGAAGATCTTGAGGAACAACTGAAGGTCCCTGTCAACCCGAATCCTATGGTCGCTGTCATGCGGTGCGTGCTCCTTCGTATAGCTCCGCTTTCTCCATCGATATTCATCGACCAATAGAAGTGTCGTCTCATCATTCGCCAATCCTCCTGATTGGCAGACACGTCGTACGCCTCCTGATCGACATCCGGAAGAGCCACTCGGACCTGCTTCAGTGGAACCTGCTCCATCACCTTCTCCCGAGGATCGATCTGCAAGCCCATCGCCCTCACATTCGGATCCTCCTGGTCGGTTCGGTGTCTCGCCCGAACCTATTTGTCCCATACCCACGCAGATACACGCCCCGTCCCCGCTCCCAGTGCATCACTCCCCTCCACAGTCTCAACGTGAACGAGAGCAATCTCTCGAGCGTGTCGACCAATCGACCAGCGCCATGGGCGGTGGTGCTTTCCAGGCATTGACTCGTTCTTCGAAATTCAGTCCCCATATCGACGTTCGCAGAGGAGAATCCAGAGCATCGACGCCTCTTTCGCAGTATGCTATGTTAAAGCCTCCTCCTCCATCAGAACCAGAGAGGGTCCGAGAGACCGAGCGTATGGTGGACGAATGGAGAAGTCAAAATATGCCTGCCCGAGGACCAGATGTACGTTGTACTTTTACATCCATGTTTCTCTCTACTGACTTGCTTTTCCAGGTCTCGTCTCGCCTGATTGACTGGGAGTTTGTATCGCCTGTTTCTGAAGCTTCATATCATGCATCTAGTTTATATCACCAGACTGACCCTGGAAGCCGCTACACCCTAGGGGAAGCCGAAGCCGAAGCCGAAACTGAACAACCGCCCACGCGGTCTCCGCCAAAGCGTCTAAAGACCCCCTTCGCCTGGCTGAGAAGACGGTTCCAACAAAGATCTTCCTCGACCTCTTCTCCTGGCGTCAATATCGAAGTCCAACCTCCGGTACGGTTTCTGTCCAAATGCACTTCTTTACAAGGATCTGATCTTTTCAATTTTTTTTTAGTCCCAGTCCCCTTCAAACCGAAGCGATCATACGATGTTTAATCCAGGACTACTTACACCCGAAGACCGACCGTTACCGGGTATTCCTCTCGATCTCATCGAATTACCAGATGACCGACTCCCTCCGGGTTTCATACCAATTCTACAACAAGCGGACGATCGTTTTTCTCCGATTCCTCAGGTCCCGATGGAGCTGGCTCCGATACCGATGCCGATGCGAAGGCCAGCCACTCCTGGAAGAAGTGCAATGTCCGCTAATAATACGAGCCCGCGATCAAGGGCGGCAAGTTTGGGAGGGTACGGCGCTCCGTTACATCGGCCTATTTCTCTTTTTTCGGACTCTTGATTTTTTTTTTTTTTCGGTTTGTCTTCAAGTCGAACTGTATTACTAGGTAGTCTCCTTTGTATCCTACTTTCTGTGAAACTTCTCGTTCTCGTTAAGGCTTTTCACTTGTACTCGGAACCTATAAGTAAATTTTCGACGTGATACCTGAGTCACAGGTACTAGGCCCTGCAGTAGAATTCTCTATTTCTACGCACTAGGACTGATCCGCTCAGGACATTAATTACAATATTCGTGTTCTAACGTAACTTTGATCATGATGAGGTAGGTAACATGCCGTGGTATAGGAAAACCTTTGTATGCGATGATAATTTACAATGCCTGTGAAACTCTCTAAATCAGCGCATCAATTCTTCCCCTTTTCTTCGGCTTGAGCAGCAGCGGCGGCATTAGCCATCAAGCGTCTTGCATTCCATTGAGCGAGCGGGAGGGTGAAGAGAGAGATGATGGTCCAAGCGATGAGAACACCGAAATGGAGTCCAACTAAAAAAAAATAATAATAATCAATAGGTGTTCAATAGGCTTAGTGGTCCGAGTCACTCACGTTGATTCTTCGTTCCGAAAAGAATGGTCCTGACAGCGCCGGAGACGTTGTAGAACGGGAACGCGTAACCGTAGCGGTAGAAGTGCGGGAGAACCTCGATGGGCATGAAGCACACCGCCACGTTACCTGCACAGGAAGGGTTAAGAACCATCGATTGAAATAAGGCACAGAGTGGGAAAAGAGCGTACTGATGATCCATAAGATAATGAAGAATGGCATGTACTTGGGCGTCAAGAAGGTGATCATAGCCTCGAGCGCGAGTCCAACAGCCAGCATGCCGACAAAGTTGAGCATCCAGAAGATGATAAACCCTGCACGGCCGAACCTTGCGCGGAAATTGAGTCAATATTGTGTGATATACGATGACGGCGGGGCAGTGCTCACTTGGTGTTAAAGTCTGCTTGGAAGGCCCTGCTCAAGGTGGAGTAGAAGATGGAGATCATGAAGTACAACGCGATGGTCGAGTACAAGCGGACTTTGATGAGCGATTTCGTCGTCAATTTCATTTCGATCCCGGAGGTCATACGAGCTGCGCCGCCGATCAGCTAGAATGACGAGTCAGGGATCTACCTCGCAGAGAACAAATGGAGATGGACTGCTTACCACGACGAAGTAGCACAGAACCAGAAGATAGATAAGGCCAACGAAGGTAATAGCACTCGCCCTGAAAGAGAACGAAATGTTAGATATGATACGGGAGGGACCTAAGGAATTACGCGCGGTGCTTACACAGGTAAATTGAATGGGCGCAGGTTGTCGATCGTGTAACTGACAGGCTCAGTAATAATTTGTGGCGCAGTTTGGAGGATCGAAACCAAGGTGTCCGATGATTCAGATGCAGCGAGCTGAGTCCCGAACCACTGGGCGAAGTTCTGAGAGAAAGTGTCCATAGTCGTCATGATATAAGGTCGCATGAGCGAACGGCTGCAAACGATGAGAAACGGATTTAAAAACGTCTAAGCAAGAGCCCGACTCACAATGCATTCTCATTCCGTGCTTCCACGACGTACACGGTGACTGCCGTTGAGCCGTTATACGAAGAACTGGGAGAGGATACCGCGGCGTTGAGGGATGAAGTAGCGTTGGCATGAACTATGAGAAAGATATTCAGAGGAGAATCACTTTGGGAAATCGCAAAACAACGTACTGACAACGGCCACCCAGGCTCTTTGGTCTACCACATGATCCCCCACGTCGGCCGGGCCTGAAAAGTCTGACGCAGGGCGCTGTGTCCAAGAAACCCTCGAGGTGGAGGCAACATCTGCTAAGAGGGTGCTAGTGACGTTACTACCGATTGTGGATCCATCGAAATCCTATCAGAGGTGGTGAGATACACGCTGTAGACGTTCGAAAAATACGCACTACGACCCATCCAGGTAGCTTGTGATCAGGTATCTTCCACAAAGCGCCCCAGTATATCGAGAAGACACCAAACAGCAATATAACCATGGAAAAACACCCGATGACTAGAGCCTTGATGTACTCCTTCCTCTGTGCTGCGATCTCCTTATCGGTGAATTCATTAGAGAACGGCTTAGGAGGCGCTGCAGGCTGCTTCTCCTTCTCTGCGCTGGTGTGGGTCCGGCCATTGAGGTTGACAGTGGAGGTGCTATGAGACTGGTGGATAGACATAGCTGCGAATGAGGAACGAGCGAACGGATGAACTGCGAGGGGAAAATGCTGTTGGGGGATGTTTCTGCATGTCACGGATTTATGTATCTATTTGGTTGCCGAGTCGGACTGGACGACAAAGAGCCCCATCGGCCAAGGAAAAGAAGACTAGGCATGCTCCGACTCGGAGGTGGATTACTGTTTTCGTAATGCCAACCATCAGATTAACAGGCACGACTCGGAGAAATGACTCATACCTTGCTACATGTTTTTCTAACCGACCAATAGAGGGTTCGTCCTTCTCTGAGGAGCTCAGACGAGACTAACAGACGATAGTACTAACATCGATCAAACCCTTGCCGATTCGGGAACCCCTGGGAAATTTGACGTGCTTACTCGGGTCCGGCGTGTTAGTAGGCACTCCATAATCCTTACTCGGGGTACTGCGCGTCAGAATCGGACGCTACAGAACAATTCATCGCGTTGTCGGAATCTCTTCATCTGGATGACGGAACAAGAAGGTTTAGAAGTTTACAATTGCACGGTAAATCATCGCCAATCGCTTAACGATAACCCTGAACAATGGAGGTCAAGAAGCTTGCCCTTTTGCCAGCGTCGCCGCAAATACATCACTTTGAAAATCCATTCCTCCCCCCCTGCTCTGGAGACGCTTAGCGGTGACTCGACATGCATTCCGGTGGCTCTAAAGCCCCTGGACCCCAGAATCTGACAGGCAGAATTCATGACGTACCCTACACCCCGAGTAAGTAGTTCTCACCGTGGTCGATTAGACAGCATCTCAAAACACCGGTATCACAGCGACGTTCGCGCGAATAATTCATTAGGTATACAGTCAACCTTCGTTCAGCAACCAACAGGAACATAGTTAATCCGGCTTACTTCAGAAGGGCGCAAGCTACTCTGGTCCACTGGAAGAGTCTTGGGCTGCTACAGACCAATGGTCGAATGCGGCATGCATGTGTTTTCCCTGCGCAGGCACCTGCGTGTTGGGGCGCATGTACCCGATCATAAACCGTACGACGCGGACGATTCAGGGTTCAGGAGCACAGAACCGCCGGAAGTGACATGCTGAACGGTTCACCATGAATAGACCTTTCCTAGTGGTAAATATAGCGATATATTATTAGCACCATCGACGTCGAATCGGAGACAGATCGTGTCCGCTGGATGGAAGAGGGAACTGCGTGGAATGCTCTTTTGTCGTGGCAGATCGCTTAAACTACAACGAGCCAATGCCAATGTACCACCAAAGTATGAGCCTCACCGACTCGGGGAGGTAAGTAACGTAACACTAATCACACGAATTTTCCTTGGCTCGCAGGCATCAGGATATGAGAAAATCATCGGCGTAGCAAGTAGTCTGCAACCATAAATTGGCGGAATATATGAAGAAACTTAGGCGCAGGCATGTATAGGTGAATTTTCTTGGAGGTCGCATTATCCCGTGTTTTTCTTCCTCCGATAGCGCTGATGATGGAGAGAACGTGTGTGCGGATACATTCGGCCTTGCCACTGGCAGCCACGCGGTTGACGTCCGGTCATAGCGGGCTAAGCTGGGACGTATACCTGTTCCTCTCCGAGGACATGGTTTATGCGTGAGCTTTATCAGCAGTAATAATTATGAACGTCATTTCGAAGATCATAATAAAATAAGCGCCCGCTGTCGTAGCTAAGCTAATGGCACCAAACAACTTGAACCAAGACCCTTTGAAGCAAACGGTAATCTGAACACCGTCCCAAAGGCTCCACTCTGTCAAGTTCAAATCTTGTACAAGTAATCCAGCCTTGTTCACCAAAAAAAAAGAGGCACAATACTTGTACTAAGGCCTGATAGCTCCCACTCTTCCGTTTTTTTTTGCACTGACAGATGCTTCGAAGATCAGAATATGCCAATGAATATAAAGTACGCACAGAATCCCGAGGAGTCTCTTCTCCTATTACATCGCCAACATGTGTACAGTCACAAGTCCCGGCTGCTTCGGAGAGGAAGTGTCACGTAACAGAAAAGGGTAAATGATTCCCACGAGTCAACACCTTTCACTGTATCCACCGACCAGCGACATTTCTGCCTGATGCCTCAGATATTCAGGTATTTGCTTATGGCTTCACCCAAGAACTAGAACTATTCATGTCTCGCCGCTGCACCGCGATTAAACAGTCCATTTCCGCGGACACCGTTCAAGGTAGCGCAACTCTCCCTCTCCCGATTCTAGTAGAAAGTCTTTCTCTTCTACTCAGCTCTCCTCCTCAAAGAAGCAGACTTTTCCTCCATGGCCCCACAGCTAGGAGTTAATGTTTCCATGACATCTGATCAACAGTTCATTCCATTGTCATAAACCCACAAATCTTGCTTTCCCACATAATACTCGTCTTTGACTTCGCAGAGAACTGACATGGCAGCAAGCAGTCCCCGAGAACATCGTAGTGGAAGAGGGCATTCGAAAACACCCCCCAAAGACCGGCAGTTGGTCGTTTCCTCCCACCATATTTGCCCTTATGTTAGTCCATGAAGAACCATATCACCGGCTCGCAATTTGAAGGTCACTACTACTACTACAGCGAGGTGTTTCTTTTCTACGACTGGGTGAGGATTTCGCCATCGTCTCTCTCAAAGATTCTTATCCCCATAGCTGAACGACTTCAGTCTTGGTCTATTCCCCTCCTCATAGCCGACGGTTCATCCCTCAGTGAATGTCACGTCTATTTCTGTCCACAGGTTTGCCTGTTTCATCAGCACCAAAGGAGCGCCGGCAACCAACGCCGAGACTAGCGATTAACGCCTTCGTTACGCAAATCATTCTCAGCTCGGGTATATTGTTGCGAGAAGAAAAGCGTCTACATACAAGCGAAACGTTCATCCGTCTTGTGAATACAAACACCAGCCCGCGTTTCGGAGCGATACTTACCAAGGGGGGGAGGGGGCGCCTGTTAAAAGGTTAGAAGACGCTGAAAAGAGAAATTCACCTGGTCGGTGCTCATGTATCATGTATATCCTGCGCCGTGAAGAGAAGCGCCCATTTCCAAGCTTCGCTATTGGCGTTTGAGCTCGATTACCAGATGAATTATGTTCCCTGTAAATTTGAAGACCAGTCAGCCCTCAAGCTCAAGATTCATCGACATCTTCTTGGGGTTAAGAAGACTCTGCCGCCAACTGGATACCACTCCTATTGGACGGCACTCGTTGGTAATACATCAAAGAGAGGTGATATGCCGGGTTTGGATGGCGTCAAAGGGGGATGTCGGTCAATAAAGTATGGTATCATCTGTGTACGATGATATAGACAACGACGTAGCAGCCAGGACAACTCACAACTCCCGACAACCCTGCGTGATCAATCACCTTGTTTTCGGCCTCATCACAAGTCTCGTCCTCCATGACAGACTTGGCATTAACTAGGACGACAACCTCCTCCAAGGAGTGACCCACCTCCATCATCCTCCTCGTCCAATCAATCGCCATATCCGACCTATCGACCTCGGTGCAACGAACCTCGGAGCGATTCAGAGGTACGACGATCATAAACTGTACGACGCATACATAGCTATATATTATTAGCACTGTCGATGTTCGAAACGGAGGATAATCGTCCTCCTTAATGGATGGAGGAGATAAAAATGTGCTTCATTGTGCAACGAGGCAACGAAAAAATGAGCCTCGTTGACTCGGAGCTGAGGGGGGGCCGGGTCTTGTTTTCCCACCGCTCCCGGTGAACCAAATATTTAAGATGCGGGCAGGGCAAGTACCGTAACACCCATCACAACAGTGATGTGATCCCTCCGCTCGTAGGCATCAAGAGCAGGCAAGTACTCGCTCCACCTACAGCACAGGTCAAAAATCGTTTTCATCGAATTTGCACGGCTACGGTGGATGTTACAACCCAGACGGATCAATTCCGCCAGCGTCCCAAGACACAATCTTGCCATGGATTGTGTCCCCTCGGTCCCCGAGTCACTTCAGCCCAAGACTATCAAGAAGTATCTCACGTACATCAAGTCCCTGCACACAAGATCTTGGTATGCCCTTCACAGCCACTGACACTCCCCACTTGTCGAAAACGAATCAAGCGTTATCACGGGGGAGAAAAGATCGAAAAGCCCCAAGCAGCCAGCCAGTCACCCTCTCTGTCTTGTAGGCAATCCTCGTGCACCTGTCAAGCCTGGCCACTCAGTTATCTATGCTGCCTGCTGTGTAGGCCTACTCCGATGTGGAGAAATTCACAGCCCAGCAGTCCTCGACGAAGCCATTCACCCCAACATTTCAGCTGTCCCAAACATCATTCCGATTCCTCCCTGACGGGGATCCATCCTTTCCCCCCTGGCTCTAAAACGCAACGCAACCCCCTTCCGCAAAGGCGTCTCCATTCGGCTGACAGCAGTAGCACCCAAGGCACCTCTTTCCTGAGTCTCTTCCCCCTTTTCCCTCTCCCGATGAACCCCTTAAACCCATAACGCATTCAATTTTTTCCTCTCCGAAATTCGTGAGGCTCCCACGTCGGCAGGCCTGCACCCATCATTATATTCTGGTCACAGCTTTCAGCGAGGAGGAGCAACAGCGGCCGCTGCTTGATTGTTGGCGCAGCGATACCTACAAGCTTTCAAGAACTCGTTCCCCAATGTAACTCGCATTGACCCCGAAGCCAACGCAACTAGTCAGTCTAAAGCATCAGTGAGAGAGAAAGCAACCCACACCCCCATCCGGGGTACAGGTCCATGTTGCACGATCAGCGGGGCGAGAGAAGGAGCATCCCAGACGACAGACAGCAGTGGGTATGCACGAAAGGGGGCCAGGTTTGGGCGATCAGTCTCTCCCACGCATGTATACTCGGAATCCCAACCCACGACGGCGTTCGGCTCCCTTACACCCCCCCTCCCTACTACACATGGGTGACCTGACAAGCGCTACCAATGCCCGGGTACCGTGCACTGGATATCAAAAGAGTGGCCCAAAGCAAGCATTTTCACATTCAATCCGGGGGGGGGAATATTAGAACAAACCTGGATGCAAATCCACTAAGTGCATAGATGGGTTCTTAAACCGTGCAACTCGAAGCCATCCTCCCACGCAGTTGTGTGTGATATATTGGGCGAAAAAGGAACCAAACCAAGTACGGCCTCGAAACCCCCGTTTCTCGCGCCCTGTCACCAAAAAGCCCCCCCCGATACCCCAGTAAATAGAGAGACTACACACCTCACACAGTTCATCTGGACAGCTGGGTAGGTGCTCACGTATCAAGCATCCTGCGCGCGAAGAGAGAGAGAGAACACCCGTTTCCTTTCCTTTCCCAAAGATTCGCTTGCATGGAAAAAAAAACGGCTTCTTCTCCATGACACTGTTAGCTATGATCCTAAACAAATACGTGTGATCGCTAATATCTTTTGCAGTGGGGTTGGCAGCAGGAGGAAAAGACAGATATTCAGGGGACAAATCGGTAAGAGAAAGATGCGTTAAGACTGAGGAAAGATTTCAGATCATCTTTGTTTCTGTCTGGCATTGCCCTTGAGCTCCATGAATTAACGCTTCATCGACAGGGCTAAGAAGACTACACCACCGATCGTATACTATGATTGATGGCCTTACGGAGACTCTCAGTCGAACTTTGGAGCAAAACAGACCGTTGACAAGCGTATCGTATACGAGAAATATACGTCAATGGTATCATCTGTGGACGACGCTCAGAAGGGATAGACGACCGGGGAGTAGCAGGACAGCTCACAGCTTTAACAGCCCGCGTGAGCATCCATCCACACTGTTCGGTCTCATCACAAGGTGCGTCTTCGACTTTGCATTAATCAGGATGACAACCTGCTCCAAGCGGGGACCGAGACCCAGCAACGTCCTCGTCCAATCAACCGCAATTTCCGACACATCCACCTTGGTCCAACGAACTTCGGATCGATCCAGGGGAGCGAACACGGTGAAGGAACGGAGGCGGCAGGTATCGGGTACGGGTGTCATACCCCGGATGAGGATCCGACTAGTCAGTGAAAAGAGATGCGACTCACGCCCTCCCCTCGAATCCACCAACACCGCCTTTTCCAACCTCGGCGCACGCCCGACGAGCTCATCCACACCGGGCAACCACGAATCCGCTTCCAAGGTGAGAGGGTAAACGAGCTCTCTCAGGCTCTCCAGCGAAATCACACCATCCCTCCCAAGCAGATACCTTATCCACCTCGGATGAAGATGCCCGATCCCCACCTCGAGCGTCTCCAATTCGCCACACAACCCACCCCGCACCCGACGGTCGCCAGCCCTCCTGCCAACAGTCATAACATTCAGCACCAACCCCTTCAACCTTGGCATACACCCAAAGAACGCCCCCAGCTCCGCAAGATTGCTAAAATACACCCCATCAAGCGTGAGGCTCGTCAGCCGGGGCAGTACACCCTGCACGCCCGTTCGCACGCGATGCCTCTCATCCAAATACATCTGCCCCGCAAACTCGGCGCTCCGCAGCGCCACGAGCAGGGGCAGCACCCGCGGCAAGGCCTCCTCCGTCCACGCGTTTGTGCGCATCCCACCCCCGTGGCCCAGGGGCAGCCGCCGCTCAAAGATCGTGAGGCTCTCGACAAGCGGGGCTTTCGGCGTCGGGAACCGCGCGCACCGGTTCGTCTCGGAGTGCGGCTGGGGCGGGTAGAACGTGACATGTCGGAAGAGATGGTGTTGGGACCGAGGGAGGAAAGCGCGGGAGACGAGGGCGCACGCGGAGAGTGCGGAGAGGTCATCGGCGAGGTGGTCGATGATGAGGTCGTATATCTCTGGGGGCATGTAGGACGGAAAGATGGGAGCATGGTATATGTATATGTATATGTATATGAATGTCTGAGAGATACAAACGCGCTGTCAGGGCACCACGATCGTTACCAACCCCCTATGGATCGTCGTTCAACGTTAACCCACGTAATCGATTATCCGTCTGTGGACCTCATCCTGTTACTCGCGCATATCTCCCAGCTTTCCAGTAGCCGCAATAAGTCCTGTCCAACAAACATTCCTGTCAGACACACACACACCCGAACAAAGCGTTTGAATGTTCGTAAGAAAGGAAAGATGCGTCTCGGCAAACGCCGGTTGAATGCTCCCGTGCGCTACCTGTCCCCTTTTGGTGATCTTCAGGATGAGGGTTACGCCAACGTTAATAACGTTTATCCTTCACTTGTTCGACACCTACTGCGCCCCAGTGTTAAAAGTCGTTCCTATCAACCCCAAATATTACTACCTCATGTCCTCCCAAGCAGGGTGAGAACGACACGGTTCAGAACGTTCAAGCTTCAAGGGTGTTTGTGTCGCATAAATCAAGGCACGCTCAAAGTACCGCAGTCGAGTCCATGCAGGGAATTGATCGCCCCTACATTTATGCTCCCGGAAAACGCCGATCTCTCATCCAGAGGCATACCTCTACGTTATGGCCCTTCGCGAGCCGAGTAGGACTAGGGCTTGAAGAACCGATTCAATTGAACGTACGGACCCTCATGGATCATTCCCCCCATTCCCTCTCTCCCCTGTTAACCCAGGCCTTAACAAGCGCGTACCGTGCTCAGGTCAGCATATCCTGGTCCTCTCAGCATCGCCCACAACTGCTCTATTAATAACCACCGGCATCTCACCCGCCCCTCGTTGGTTTCATTCCCTCCCTCCCTCCTCCCCTTTGTTTAGCTTTCTCGAGAGAGACTATCTTAGCACGACACTCCCTCCATCTATTGTTCGGGTAGGAGACAGGGGCGCCGCTCCCTTCTTCCCCTTCACATCGGAAAGGGACGCAGCAGCCAGCCCCATCGCACGCGCGCCTGTTCTTCATCTTCGGCCCCCCCCTCGGACTTTTCATTCACATACCCCTCCCCTAATCCCCCCTCTCCCCTGCGGTTCGCCGCATAACTAGGACCGGTCGATACCATTAGTCCCGAATTCCTTGCGAGATAAGTCAATCACCACTAGTACCCCCAGATTATAACGACTATTATGGCTTCGTAAACAGAAAAACAAAAAGAAACAAAAAAAAAAACTTGCCTAAGCACCGGATGCGGACTGTTGGGAATATTGTATTAAGAAACGATTCTCAACCTTGCGAGCTCGTTCATCACATGACAAGTCCAACCTCCCGAAGGATGGTCCGATCTGTTCCCTCCAACTTGATGATAAATCCAGACAAGACGAGCATAGACTGAATAGCCAAAGGCCAAAGAAACTGAGCGCCTACGTACAACACAAACCAATGCCCTCCACAGGAATTGAATCTACAACCTCAACATCAAAACAAAAAAATGTTAAACGCACCCTAGCCCGACCCAGACATCAATTTATTAAATTCAGAGATAGCTTAAACCAACATCGGCGCTAACTCACTCCCAAGCTCAGATCCCTTCCATTCCGAGGAGCGCGCGCAGCAGAAATTTCCCGAACGCGTCTTAAGTACCTCGAACACATTTTCCGTCCCTCCCGCACAACACTTATGCTTCCGGGCACCGGGAAAACGCCGACCTCTCATCTACATGGTCGTATACCCTCTACGTTATAAGCCGAATAGAACTACTACTTGACAACCGTGGTCGAACACCCTCGGATTGGAATTTGAGTCGTCGTCGTCTCTCAATCTAAGGTTTTTTCTTTTTTTCTTTTCTTTTTGCCCGGATCCAGGTGGAAGTTGTCGGTTTCGTTTCGCGCCGGCCTTGCTTGGCCTCGTCGTATCATGCAAAAACCCAGCGTATTATTAACCCACAATTCTTGCTCGCCCTCGCAGGGAGTCGTTCCTGTCCAAGGGGAAGACAAAAAGCTTCCATTCCTAATACTCGAATGATGATGCTCTTACCCTCCCCCCCTCCCAACATGAGTCACGGGCTCCGAAACGGTGGTTAAATAAACCTCACTGGCTCAGGAGCAAAAAATTTAATCTACGCTTTCTCAAGCGCAGTCGTATACCTCCGATCATGATCCTGAGTCCACCACTACAAGAAATTGGCTGAACCCACTTCCTTTCTACGCAATGGAACATTCCATACTAGGGACATCAATGTTGCTTACCACCGTAAGAGCTGTGAAAAAAAAAAAACACCCATTGGATTGTAGTTATTCAGTACGATCTAAAGTTTGCGACCATCCATATTTATGCCCTCAAGTTCCGACATCAAAATATAATATGTTCAAGCTATGTGGTGAAAAAAAAAAAGAGAGAAATCTGAGGCTGTTATGTATTCCAAGTAAAATATGGGTTTGTGTTATGTACTCTTGCTTCCTCATCTGGAAGCCCCCAACAAAAAATGTCTTGAGTCATGAGTTACTTTCATAGTCCAGTATATAAATTTTTCTAACAATATTTGTTTCATTTTTAAATTACTTCATAATATTTTCACAATGCTTGAAGAAAAACGCTCGCACGTCCATATGGGGCATAAAGTATATAACCCACTGGCAGGAATGCTTCTGCCAATATAGAACAGGTTGATTGGACTATACAAAGCCAAGCCTCGTAAGGACAATCAGCTCGATTCTCCTGCCGGTCCTAATCTACCAAGGCGAGCAAACGTGAACTCTGTATTATTATCATTATTACAGTGACACGCCGAACAAATTCGGGTTCGCAGAACAGCGCATGGCCCTCCTACTTCTCTCGTATCCACCAAGATGCCTTCTTCATAAACTCCTCATGTTTATCCAATTCCATTAACGTGTCCCCCCACAGCAAGTCCCTCGACACAGAGTGCAAAGCCTTCTCCATCCTGCGTACGAATGTCCTCGCCACACTTCTGATGCTTTCTGGAAATCATGCAGATCGGGGGAGGGGGAGGGGAAGATGGTAATAGAATAAGTGTGAGGATCTCCGGTCGCATGGGATCACACCGAGCGTGATATTTGCCCGGCCGTAGGGAGCGAAGCGGTCGGGGTGCAATGATACCTCTACGGGACCTGGGTTCGGAAGGGTCAACGATACGCAGCCAAGGGAAAAATAAATAAATACCAGCCAATGACAATTGCCCCAAAACAAAATACGGCCTGGCTGGCCTCTGATTCCGTGCTCGCGAGCGTTTTGAATAAGCCTACCCGACCCCAACTCGACCGCCGATCAAAGAACTCCCTAGCCTCACCTCATACCGTCAGAAACCCCCGCGCATACCCCGAGCAGACCTACCATATACAGACTCTCCAGCAACTGCTTATCCCCCCAACTGGTGAGCCCCGTTCAAGCCCGACACGAACACGACGGGTGGTTTTCCTGGGGTGCCGGCAGCCTCAACGCACCAGGCGATAAATTGGCCAGACAGTATTGGCTTGGGGGAGGGAGGGGTAATTTTTAAAAGTAGTAAGTGGGCGTGAATCCATTATTCACCTCTTTCATTTCGTAACGTTTGCCTGTGAGACGACTCTGGATGCGAGGCCTGGGGAAACAAAAAAAAATGGAGTCAGTTGAACGGAGAGGGTTTCTTTTGGTTAGGAAATGGTAAAGTAAAGTTTCGAAGTAAACCAGCGCCGCGAGAGTAGGGGGACCGTCCGATGTTAAATGAATATCCATCACTCTTAATGTTTGCTGGCGTTCTGGGTAATCACCTCATCGATTGAATGCACGCTGACCAAGTTCGGGCCACGGATGATGGGAAATGCGGACGAGGGGGTGTGGTGTTCAGATTCCGTTCAATGAATGAAAAGAAGGTACTGGGTTCAGGAAAGAGAGGACATGCAGGTAGTTACCATTACAGAGAATACGTACTCGTGAAGTCACCGTATGGGTGTGGTCCTCCACGAGCGAGAAACCCGTTGAATCACTTAGCGCATCCTTTCCTGGTGGGATCTCGTAGATGACTCCTATGGCCGCAAACTGGGTGCGGGGGGTCAATCTAGACTTCCATGCCGGTGAGAATAATCATATTCGCGTCCCAACTTACAGACAACTTGAAAGCAGCTTACGTTTGTCCAGTCCAAAATCGATGACGCATAGATCACGACAAACATCACATCACAAAAAGTCAACCGTAAATTCCTTGAACCAGATCATTGGGCTATCGGCTGTTAATCCGACGAGGACAGATATAATGTCGCGCGCACTGGAGTGATTTACGTAACCGTCGATACTGCGTTAGGCATTTGCCCAACGATCTGCTCCGTAGTCTCCGTATCACCGTCTTCAACTTTCCTGTTTAGTCTGAGGCATGGCGATTAGATTTGATACGGGACAGTTACCTGGGTCATACCTCCCTGATCAGCAGGTGCCAGGCCATTGTCTTGGGCCTGAGGCACAGAATGGTGCGCCTACTAGTAAGATGAACGCATTGCACAAGACAGGGACAGTTTCGGAAGGAATCAGCATATCGTATAGGTACGTCAGAGATGGGGAAGAAGTCATTATGGTGTATAACGTTTACAATGGCGAACCCAAACATTCCTAGCGGCGGCACTATGGTACGACTTCATTCCCAAGCCAACGGTGAAGATGACATACCCCCCCCGGCCCGGGCCTAGGTAAGAAGGGGGTAGATTCAAGATGCAAAGTGCAGGAGGAAACCGTCTCGGGAGTAATCACTTGTTCAGGCTCGCCTTTCGGGGGTGGTTTCTAAAGGCATTCCAGAACAATAGGTAGATGAAGCTCACAGTGCTGCATGCATCATAATGCGGAATACCCAAGGAAGATCAGACAACATCTTCCTCGAGGCTCAAACAATTACCTGCAACATGGGGGAATTCAGTGCAAGAATTTTGGCGTTTTGTACACGATCATGAGGGACATGTTAGCTGAGTCTTATTTTTGAAAATTAGAGTACAATGCGGCAAAGATAAGAATAAAAAATCCATACAGTGAAGGGAAGGAGGCTCGCTGTGCGGACGGATAAAGCGGATACAGACTAGCCGTTGCGATGTGAGGCTGGACTTGCCGTCGGGATACTCAGGGCATATGTTGGATTGGGACCCTGAAAGATCGGAGTATGACTAGAATTAAATCAGACACGGGACGAAACCACCCGACTAAATGAAGCGCACCTTGATGGTGGTATTGTAAAGCGGGGTTGGCTCGGGGACTGAGGCAGATAAGATGTCGATGGATGACTGAGCAGTCGACTTGGCATCGTATGAAACGCGTCCATCGACATTGTTCATTTCGATGCTAACGCGCTAATAACTGGAGCTTCGCTGACGCGCCGCGGACTTGGCTATGATGGTCCGTCTCAAGGTATCTATCTAGAAATGGGAGTAACAGAGTCAGTAAGGAACGCGTCAACACAGTGAAAGCTTCTTCAAATCTCCAAACTAGTGAGTATGACTTGAGTCATACAGGGAGGGACTACGCTAGAAGAACGTAAAATGCTAGACGTCGCCACAAATCCGTACCCTGCGGCGATCAGAAACAAATTTTGCCTAGGAGCCCCAGAAATGAATTCTTTTGTTTCATGTAACGACGGGTGAACGAACATACCATTCGTACATCGCGTCAACTACTTCAAGAATGGTTGGGTCATGTGAGTGACGGCTTACTGAACGGTGCCTGATGTATGATGACGACCCGGTAATCCGCGATGCCGTAAAGGATGACTTTGGATCTCCCTAAAGGCGCAATCTCCACCATCATCGCGACTTAGACATGGCGTCGGTCGTCGAAGACTTCTACGAGGCGTGGAGAACAATGGGACTAGCTAAACTATAGGTCTGGGTCATTCAAGGAAGGGTGTAGGAGCTAGCGTTGAGCGGATGTATTAATCTCGCACGGAGGGAGGGGGAATCGTCACATTACTACAAACACGTCGCTGAAAATGGTATGTTCAAAGAGTTGAAGCCAAGAAGTAAATGCCGCTTACTTGCCGCAGGGTGGAAGGAGATGGGGATGAGGATGACGCCACGTTCCCAGAAATTCGAATGTTGCCAACTATTTTTGAACGGTGTACTTTCAAGTCACAATAATAAGAGTTTAAAATGGGCGAACAGAAGATCTGACGGAAATGTTTGGATGGGGATGGAAATATATAGCACGAACCAACTTATTCAGCGTTGAAGATTAATGTGGCGACTGGCGAGGGAAGGACAAGATAAGGCATTGATGGTGGCACGGGGTCCAGACTCAAGACGCGTCATAACATAAATTTACCTAAAAGCTCCCGAGCGACGATACACGTGTCTCGACTCCCGACCGGCGCAAAACGTACTTGTCTCGTATGTGAGCAGTCAGTTGGATGGATATCTCCATCAATTGACGTGCGACTTGCGGAGAATGAAAGCCCCTCAAAAAGGGCACATCCTATTATTACTTTTGATTGAAAGAAGTACGATCCACAATCTCGGAGCCTTGACGACGAGAAGATCACCAGAGCACCAAAGTCCGGGAATGAGAGGTGATTCCGTGAAGGATATGAAGTGGTTTATCAAAATAAGACCATATGGCCGAGATAATATATTCCCACTTGCCTCACTGGGTTTCCAAAGACGGAGTGCGTTCTGAGTCATTCTGCACATACGTGGGAGAAAAAAAGACCGGAGACGCGTATTATGACATTCCGAGTGATGACCCTGACTATACCGGGTGATCCCGCCAGATATGGCATGTCAGAACAATACATCCTTCTAGGCATGCGACTCAATGTTGAGCTTTACTTCATGCTGATATTTTCAGCACAGGATATTTCCGTCTCGCGCATCAATACATATTTCAAAGGTATCATTGGTTGGTTCTCAAAGGTGAGATTGTTTCAAGTATATTTCGCGGGAAGATCAGTATTACTGTAGAAGCAGTGAATAGTAACTGAATAGCAGGTTATTATCACATGCGGCGAAATACCGGTAGCCGCGACCTTTGTCCCGTGGAGGCCGTAAGGCGGTAGCGAACAAGTCGACCCTTCGACGCGACTGGTTATTCATGCCTAAGACTCATTTCAGATAAGAGCAGCATAGTTCTTTTCCGTAAAGATGGTACGCATTATTTCTCACGTAGCGACCGAGTCAGATTGCTTTTATAGGTTAAATTACTTGCGGAACAGGGCGAAGCTCCCTGGAATACTGCACGTGCATCAGTTGAAGAACTGTTCTCTGCACTGAAAAGATAGGTACCTATTATTGCCTTACTGAAGGACAGGAAGAATAATTCCCGCCTTTCCTTGTCGTCTATAATTTTCTCAGCCCTGGTGGTGCTTTATTGGAGGTTGAATGTATCCACATAAATCTAGTGATCGCTGCTCTGTATGGGTAAGTACATTATCCACCTAGAGAGAAATTTGCTACCCAGTTATATCAATCGCGACGTGAGCTCTCAGTATTGAAGTTACGGAACGCCTCAGATATCTGCATCAATATGACTGTAAGTATCGTACTCGCTTTGCCTTATTCGCAATGACCAGGCCGCAGTCGCGATACCGACGCGTCAAACGGGGCACCAGTATTCCTACAGTGTGGTTCGATAGCACCGACATTTTTTTCAACATGTCATGCATAGCCTTATGTGAGGCACTTGTAACATATCACCGTATCAATACTTCCGTCCATTGTCCGCCCATTGAGGATAAGTTACTGATCATCGAGATTGAAGGGTTTCATGGTTATAGTAGTTTGCTACACAAGTTCCCTGTGAGTGCGATCAGAAGCGCGTCTTCAGCAATTATTGAGCGTGTTGCCGCGTCATTGGTGGAAGTATGAATTAAATATCCAGTAGTTCGTCTGCGAACGGGGTTGCAAGGGTATTTCTTGGGAGGTTTATTCCTGCAGAATCATGTAGACATCCGTATCAAATCAGTTGTTACTCTAGCTGGAGGAATACTTTTGGTATCACTGAACTTTGACTGGCAAAGGGTGAACAAAAATAAACCGGCCATAAGCAACTGTTCGGCCCTCGTAACGTACGTGTGATTTCTCACATACCGACCGAGTCAGAGTACTTTTATAGGGTTAAATTACCAAGCCAATTTCCCTGTCAAAGAACTGTTCTCATGGATAACACACCCCAGAAAGAACAGGCACCTAATCTAAATCCGCCTACTTGCAAGAAAGAAAGAAAACCAAATTCCGCCTTTCCTTGCGGTCTACAATCTCACCCTTCACGTTGTCAAGCCGCGATATTTACTTACTAGCATTGTCTCCCAAGACAGGGAACTTCCACCCAGCAACTCTCTCTCGGCGTGAAGTCGCCGAAAGCGTCAAATGGTTAAGAGAAGCGCGATCACGTTAATTGGACTGTCGCGTCAGGCTCGCTTTGGGTGAATCACCACAATGACTAGGTCATGGTCATGGAACCGACGCATCAAACATCGAGAGGTGTCATTCGATCCCTCCCTGAGTAATGTTCCTCTACGTGTCTTCCTTATAAGAGGCACTACGATGTGACAGGTGCACGAATACCTCCAGCTATTGTCCACCTATTAAGGAAAAGTCCCTGAGTATCTTAATGCCAGCGCAGCATGTGCTTGAGGAGGTTTGCTACCTTTATTGGGGGGGGTTCATGTAGCAATTCACTGCGGATCGCTTTCACTGCTGACTGACTGGTGGAAGTAAGACTGAGACTATTCCGTAGTGTTTCCAACGGTAGTACATACAAAGATACTCTCATTTCTCAGTGTAAGACGCGCAAAAACGCGCTCTTCGACCGTTATCTAGCAACAGATGCTCGCCGGTGGAAGTCACGTCCATGGCTGTGCAAGGATTTGTCATCGTCCCCAACTGTTACCGCCTTCGCGCGCGACGGTCATCTTCTCTCGTTATAAAGTATTTTGTGCCCTCAAGTTTGCTTCAAATGTGAAATAATGCCCGCTAAGTGCGCAGTAAGACCCGGAGGTTTTCATTGGGTCTGATAATATTTTTTTTATCAGCTCGTAAGTACGCATTATTAGCCCTTTCACAGGGGATTATGCCAGACAGCACTCGGGAGTAGTATCCATAAAATGATTATTTTTGGAATAGACTGTGCGGCGCGTTATATGGTTCGCTGCAGATCTCGTTTTTTTAAAAAAACATATTTGAGTATCGGGATTTGACGGAAGACTCGGGGATGGGAACGCATAAGGGGGGCGCGGGGGCTACAGTGTGTTTCTGTGAACATTTGTCTAATTTCCGCCAGCCTGCCAGAGCGCTCAATCTATCTGCGCTGGAGCCAAGAGACAATGGTACCTCGTTGTCGAACGTGCTGTCTTTTGACATCAAGTCTTTCCTCCTGATAAGGACTCGAACGGCGTCTTGAATGTTCATTGCTAAATATCGATTATACGATTTCCCCAGGCAAGAATAGTTCGTTGTTTTCATTGCTTTCCTTAACTAAAAGTTTGCTGGAAATAGAGGCCGCAGAGTGTGCAGACTTTGACACCTGCACGCGCAGTAAGGAGGTGGTCTGTCGTTTTGATTATGGGCTTCCTGGTTAGTCCATACATCGGAGCTGTGTTGATCTACTTCAATGCTAATGGTTCCTTTCATAGCGTCAGTGGCCTAATTAACGATGAGGGGGGGGAACCTGTATCTTTAATCCCTCCCAATGAGCTCACCATTAATCGACGATATCTTCGAAGCCCTGCATGTTTGCTCTGCAGAGGCAACAGTACAACGTCCAGACCGTCCCGGCTTGCTTCTAAGCTGCAAACCTGTAAAGTCAAGGAAAAAACGAACATTTTGTTGTCCAGCAGTTCCTGGATCAATCGCTCTCGACGTAGTGAATGTCTCTTCTCTTCTTTCATTTGCACGTTTCTATTGTTGAGTGACAGCGCAATATTGCCACTTCTCTGTCAGGGAAGGGAAGCGCGAAGCCCATTAGAATGAAGCGCCCATATCTGTACACAGCGTTGCCAAGGCGAAAGTAATGCGTTTCATCATTCTTTGTTCAGCTTGTGGACGTTTGTTCGTCAATCAGCTTTGCCGTCCGTCTCCAGTAGTCCTCCTTCATGATGCTGTGTTCAGGAGGCGTATTCTCGCTTTATCATCCCGGATCCTAGAAAGCGCCTCCCCTCATCCGACGTATCGGTAGTGGCGTCTACAAATAGGCGCTCGATAATAACATCGTGGACCCACATGCCCGTTGTGTATTTGCCCCCTTCAGGGAAAATATTCAACTTACGATCGACGCTTGCTGCTGTGGCGCCGTCATTCCGCCTTTGCAGAGATGGATGTTTTTATTGTTCTGAGTGGCAGGCAGGGTGAGCATGAGGTTCTGGACTGATCATCGCCATATGCATGTCACCACTAAGGCCGGATTTGTCTAATGTTATCTCCGACGTTTCACGCTTTGACGAGCACGGTTCATTATGGACCCACAGTGACGTCGTGGGCGCTTAATTATCCTATTGTCCTTGAGAGTAAAGGTTATGGTTATCTCCTCCTAACATGTCAATGTCAGCTTGGTCTCGAGCGTGGTCCAGAAATTTGAAACTTTTTCCGGGTGGCGTTATCTAACTGCTGGATTTTGCGTTTCTGTGATTAAGGTACTCCTTTCTCGGTGTCATGCATGTCATGGTTGAAGACCTCTCCGCGGGGAATGTTTTTAAAAATAAGTTTTGTGCCTTTTACGTCTTACGTAGCACACTAACTGCGGTGTGATACTGTGCGAGTGTGTATCTAGTTTATTGGTGTGAGACAAGTGAAGACGCCGCTGTCTGTCTATCAGAAGGAGGCTGGTTTCTTGTACCCTGTGTTTCGGGAAAGAACGTTTGATTTTGAGGGAGATATTTATTCTCAGGGAATAGCGCACGCACGTGTAGGGAATAGATGCAGGGTGGATTTGTATTTGTGTTCGGGGGTACGCTGGCATCAACCCGCAGGCGGCGCGGGATATAGATTTAGTACGCCTTTAAATTATGTATTTCCGGCGGAGATTTCGGAAGTGGGCGTAACGAAAGGTGACTGGGAAAAAGTCCCTACGTTGAGTGGACGAGGTGTCAGCCCCGTTGGCAAGACAAGAGAATGGTGCTGTATCGTACTGAGAAATAGGCAACAGAAAAAGAAATGACGAGAAGTTCTGCGGTGGGTGCTAACTTTGCCTCGGTGGACTAGTCAGTTGATGGAATTGACCTGCCTGGAGACACGGAAGAAAAATAGTTCGTCGGATGTGGATAAGTGGATACGAGAGACGTCGTTTCTTTCGGGGCAACAAAGGAGGAAGATTTTGAAATAATGGGCGTGTAGGACTGGGTAAGTCGACACCACCGAATTAGCTGTCGATCAGTTGCCGTATAAATATTGGCTGAAGTGATGAGAGGAAGAAGTAATCGGAGAGACAATACTGGGGAGAGGAGGGAAGAGGGGAATTCGTTGGAATGTAGGTCAACTCGCAGTTTTTGGAGGACGAGGCCGGAGGGAGAGCGCGATTGGTTTGGTATAAGGGACGAGGGACGAAGGTGGGTTTCAGAAGGCAAATCAGCTTGCACATTTTTAGGGGAGAACGAAGGAGGGCCTAAAGGTAGGGCACGTAATACTAGCGGATTAAGCAAGCAGGGAAAACTCGTGTTATGGAAGGGGCAAGAAAGGGAGGGTAGTAGATTTGAAATATAGAAGAGTTAATGAAGAAGAGGTGGGTCGAGAAGTAGCATGCCATCTCTGAGAACATTACGCATTATGCGAAAAGTGTCGTGAATCGGATACTAAAACGAGAGTACAGTATGCACTTGGGAGAGGGTGGGCCTTGGGGCTAAATTGAGAAGTACCAAGGACAGAATAGGAGGGGAATTTGGAGAGTTTTTTTCTGGAAGAGAGGGAAAGTCGCAGATTTCTGCGACGAAGCAAAGAGAGAGTACAATTGATTTGGAACGAGTGGACGAGGGGCGTCAGCTCGCAGGTACTTCGGAAGAGCTACTAGTGGGGCAGGTTTCATATTGCCAGTTGGTAGTAGAAGGGATACGCGTATTGGACTAGAAACACCTACAGGAATGAACCAGTGTCGCAGGGGGAAAGTAGCTCGTCGCTATTAGAAGATAAGCCCATCTCAATTCGCAAAGTCCCATTGAGCGCGTCAGGAAGGGAGGGTAAAATTGAGGACATCACAGAAAACAGAGTTAGTGAAGAAGGGGTGGGTTTAGAACGTTATTCATTTTTCGAGAAGCGTTGCGAATCCCATACTCAGAAGCTCAGGCAGAGGCGTGAACGCCCGGCACATCGGCCCGAAGCCCATATTTGCTAACCCTCCCCAATTGAAACACGCCCAAACAGTCTCATCTTTTTCTCCCTCCATGGCAGGTAAGCGTAGCCTTCCCAAAACCACGCGTCCACCACACCTACCCCACCCCACCCACAGACCCCACCGAATGGACCCTCCAATCCCCTCCCTTCGACAGTATCTCCCAAGTTCGGTTCTCACCGACGAACCCCGAGCATCTGCTGGTGTCTTCTTGGGATGCGGTAAGTGTCCTCCTCGTGCATGGGTAAAACGCGTCCGTGGGTTCACTGAGTGATAGACGGTCCGGTTCTACGACTCGAGCGAAATCGTGAACGAGCAAAAAACGAAATTCGACCATCGGGCGGCGGTGTTGAGCTGTTGCTGGGAGAATGGGACGAGCGCGTTTAGCGGCGGGCTGGATTGTACCGTCCGGCAGTATGCGTCCCACTTGTTCATACTACCTCATATTAATCTAACCCCTCCCCTCCATAGCTTGGATATCAACACAGAAACAACAACCCCCCTAGGCGCGCACGACGACTCGATATCCTCCATGGTGTGGTCCGCCCCGCAAAACGCCCTCATCACGGGCTCGTGGGACCGGACCGTCCGATCCTGGGATCTCCGAGAGGGAGGCACACCGCAACAACAGCAGACGATGCCAGAGAGGGTGTACCACCTCGATATTGTGGGCCACATGCTCGTGCTGGCTATGGCGAGCCGCCTGGTGCGGATATACGATACGCGGCGGATGGATGCGCCTCTGCAGGAGAGGGAGAGCAGTTTGAAGTATTTGACGAGGTCGTTGGCTTGTATGGCTAATGGGGAGGGTGAGTTTTTTTTTCTTTGTTTGGGGGGCTGGGGAAGGAGGTGGCTGATTGGGTATAGGATATGCGATGGCCTCGACGGAGGGGCGGATCGCAGTGGAGTATTTCGACGCGTCGCCCGAAGTGCAGGCGAACAAGTACGCGTTCAAGTGTCATAGGCAGGCGATTGATGGTGTGGATCATGTTTGGCCGGTTAATGCGCTGGCCTTTCATCCTACGTTCGTCTACCCCCCCTCTCTCCGCTGCATCCCCCCTGTCTGATGGTTTTGTATAGGTACAACATGTTCGCTTCTGCGGGTTCAGATGGGACCGTCTCTATCTGGGATCCCAAAGCGAAGAAGCGGCTGAGGCAGTTCAACAACTTCAATAATGCCGTGTCGAGCGTCGCGTTTAATTGTGATGGGGGGAGACTGGCGATAGCGAGTTCGTATACGTGGGATGAGGGCGAGGCGGGGGCGAAGACGGCGGAGAGGCCGGCGATTACGGTGAAGAAGATGGGGGAGGAGATCAAGGTGTGTGTTTCTTTCTGTATGCTGTTTTTGGGTGGTGCGTGGCTGACGGGACGCTTTGTAGCCAAAGTAGGCGTAGCGTGTATGTTTTGTGGGGTAATTGCTAGCGATTTTGTTGTTTTTGGAGAACAATGAGGATGAGGATGAATATAAGGGTATGCCTTTCCTTTGTGTTCCGTCTTTGTGTCCTTCCCTTTGTTTTGGGATTCTTTAAAAGCGCGAGGTTTCACTCTCACTAGCATCCTTGTCCCTTTCGCGCTTGAGGTCAAGGCCTGGGCTTCGGTATGTCAAAGCGAGGACATTCTCCTTCCTTCAACCGGGATTTCCCTTGTCTTTCATACCAACCCGGTATCCACCATTTGTTCGTTCGCCTCCGCATTCATTGACATGGATTTAGGGCTCGGGAAGCTCCTGCTCGGGATAATCTCCCCCCACCAACATCGGGAGTCCCACGAACAGGGTTTCCGCCACCCTCATTTTTTTAAATTTAATTAACAGGACTATGACTCGCGTCGGTCTCAATATGAGAGGACTTTATACGGGCGTACGCTTGGTCTCCTTCAAGTTTCCTTTACTGATACTTGTCGTGCCTTATTTCCCAGGAATCATTCGATAAACGAAAGAATTTCGCATCACCCTTATGGCACGAGGCTCAGGTCGAGTCATAGACCCGCCCACGGATTCGACTCGTTATTGTCTCTTTTAATTTCAGTTTCTGTTCACATTTCCTTTTTTTTCTGACTGTTCATTTCCCATTCCCCATTTCCCTCTCTTTAAAGCGGACTCTTGTGTTTGTACTTTCCTATTTCGGCTTTTGGGGCGTCCGTCGGGTCTTTTTGTTATTTTTCTTTTGGGCCGAGTTTTCTCCGATGAGGTTGTTTTTGTTCAATCTTGAACGGGTTGACTTTATTGTCTTAGGAATAAGTGTAGAGAGATAGAGAGGGTATGGAGAGGGGATGAGGGGGAATAAGGGTAAGTAAGTAACGTTCGTAATGAAAAATACCAGTCGTAAGAAACGTGTCAGGCAATGATGGTACAACAGAACGTGAAGGGTCGGGCGAGTTGTACAACGCAAGGTGAGCGTAAGGAAAGGTGGGGGAGGGCGGGGGGATGAAAAAAGAAAGAAAAGAAGAATAAAACAGTCCACACCACAAAACCGATTGAAAGGACGCCCAGCGTCTTTTCAAAGTCCGAACCCGTGACCGTCTACAACACCACCACCACCACCATCACCACTATTACCACCGTCAAAATCAAACGCGTACACACCGGGATAGTCATCGACGACCCCATGGAACTTTGGAAGGCCGAGCTCTATCGGCGGGATGGCGTTCATGTCAAAGTCGTCGGCCGTGAACGACGAGGCGTCTTGGGGCGCCCACCACGAGGTGTTGGTGTTCCCGAAGAGGTGCATGGAGAGGTCGAGCTCGGCCTGTTCAAGCGAGGGCGCGGCAAAGGGCGTGAACGGGCCGGAGCGGGGCGACGAGCAGATGGAGGATGGCGGCGAGTTGATCTGCGCGGGTGGGAGCAGTTCGTTTGGGTTCAACAACCCTCCTACTCCTCCATACTCTGGGGACTAAAAGAAGAAAAAAACAACATGTTAAGTTTAGGAATGACTCCGGCTTTAATCGGACGAGGGGGGCGTGAAATTCTCACCTGGAGAACAGCAGCAGGATCGTAGTACGTCGACTGGAAATCGAACCCGAGCGAGTCCGAGTTGCGCCTGCTCGCGCTGATCATGGGGAGGAGCGACGGGGCAGGTGATGAGGGTGCGGAGAGGTACACGTTGGGTATCTGGATGGACTGGTACGGGCTCGGGGTCGGCGCGGATGAGGACCGCCCGTGCTGGTGCTGCTGCCTCATCGGGAGCACGAAGGACATGTACGACGAGTCCGAATCGATGCTCTCCCGCCTGCCCTGCTTCTTCCCCCCGCCACCACCACCACCAGCGCTACCCTTCTTGGTCCGCTGTGGCCGGTAGACGTAGTTGGGGTACATCTGCTCGTGCTCCTTCTTCTTCTCCTTGGCGAGCTGCTCCCAGTACTGCCTCTCCTCCGCGCTGAGACCCTTCCATTGCTGGGAGATCATCTTGGAGAGGTCTGCCTGGCGCTGTTTCTTCGTCGTTGTCGTCGTCGTGCCACCAGCACCACCACTATCCACACGGTCTTCGCAGCATTTCCGGCGGAAGAGGATGAACGCGTTCTCGGGCCGTTTGATGTAGTCGTCGTCGCCCTTTTTGGGGCGGCGTTCTTTGGGGCTGGGGGACGAGGCGGTGGTCGTGGCGGGGGAGAGGGTGCGGTACGTGCATGGCGGGGTGGTGGTCGTCGTGATGGGGATGTTGGAGAGTTCGAAAGGCGAGTGAGAGGGCGAGGAGTAAGGACTGTCAGTCAGGTTGTGGGTCGTAGGGAACGTGAAGGCGCGGGGGGTCGGCGAGATTATGGCGAGCGTGGGGAGAGGGGGAGGGGCGTCCGTCGTCACTTCGAGTGCTGCCCTGCGGGTGAGTTTATCGTTTCTGGTTTTTAGATGGGTTTGGACTTACATCGGGATGGGGCATCGCGTGTGCGGAGAGCGGGCATGGTAAGGAAGAGAGAAGAGAGATAGAGGGAGGGGAAGACAAGGTTAAGAGCCACGATAATACCCTACAGGTGTCGCTAGGGGGGGATCGAGCAGCTAGTGAGTTGCCAGGTTTTTTGTCTCGCGGGGCACAACTGGAAAGACAATTAAGAGCCCTCTGTTTTATACGGACAGAGCCTGGATCTCCTCGCATTGTTTAGCGCTAATTACGGAATCCATCTTTATTGTCTTTTTCGGTTATCTGCTCCGGGATCCTAAGCGAGTCAGCAGAGGGCTTGATCAAATAATTTATTGTTTCCGTTATCATTTTTTCGACGTCGCTCATTTCATCATTTTGGCCACGTAAGGATCATCTATGCCCCCCCCCCTTCCCCCTGGTGCTGGGCCCATCCGAGCTGTGCGTAGTTATAGTTTCTTATTATTGGTCTATTTCCCACCCCCACCACCACCCCCCCTCGTCGCAAATTCATATTCCCTAGCTTTGTCTTTCCCCCCCCCTCTCTCCCTCCAAGCTTTGACTCCTCGGAATTATAACCAAGCGCAAACGCAATACCTCATGTCACGGGAGCACAGAAGGACCCTCTCAAGATCTCTTTGAACTTTCCCAAAGCGGCAACCTAGACCCGGCCGTTCGTACTTGCGCCCCGTTTTGGCCCATCTCGATAACCAGTGGCTGTGTCCGATCTATCCATGTGAGACAACCCGGCGGCGCAAGGGTTCACCGCGCCCTTTGAAATTATAAAATTCAAAGCATTGTTCGACGGTTTGGGAAAGTCATGATAAGATAAGATAAGATGGAGCTTTGGGGGGGATGAACAATGCCTATCCATTGTCCTTACGCGCGGAAGTTCATCTCACTCGGAAAAAATAAATCTGTCTTGTCAGATGAATATCTGGATGACGACATTCCTTATAGGGCGGACAATGCGTTAGGTGTATCGGGGGTTGCCTCGTTGTGATGTGATGTCGGGAGAAGAAGAAGAAGGACGACGACGACGTCAACTTTCCTATTTGACGCGTCGGTCCCGCACGAGTGAGCGAGTCAGTGGCAGTGGGTAAAGTTGCGGGACGCGAGCTGCCTCTTTCGCGTAGGATGAAGGGGAACATTGTATTACCCTGACGTGTCGGGCGCAATAGTATCCTCCCACTCCCACCCCCTAGAGAGGAATCATGACTCGTACGGACCCGCTACTTCATTTCCTTCCCCGACATGTTCCTGTCTGCATCAATCCGTCGAAAATTTCTATCAGCCCATAAATGATCCCCGCATCATGCCAAAGAGGAAGATTGACTCGGTCGGTACGTGAGAACGCGCTGGCGAATCACCGACACGATCAAGCATCACACATTCCAGACCAGAACCACAAACATTTTTTTTTCAGCAATTGTCGGGACCCAAAGAAGTGACTTGACTCGGTCGGTGAGAGCCAGTCCAAAAAAAAAGACTTTCTCTACACGCATTTAGTCGGGCGTCGGGTTATATACGGTGATATACCCCCCTCCGCCGTGGCCCGTTTCTCAAGCATCACCGCCGACGTCGCTGTTCTGTTTTTCCTTCTTTTTATCAACCTCGCGGCGCTTTGTGTTACCGCGAAAATCAAATACCCCCGACGCGTTGTTTTGCTGGAAGACGTCGCTTCTGACATTCCATATCGGGGTGTCATGATCGCTGGCGCTCAGGGTCGTCCGACTCTTGACAACGCACTCGCTGTCGCTGTTTTGATTTTATATTTTTATTTCTTTCTGTGCAATGAAGGGGACGGGGAAACGGGCCTCACTCGTATGCCTGAGCATCGGTGACTAGGTCAGATCTTCAGGATGGCGGGGCGGACCCACAGCCCGATGATCGCAGGTGCCGTGGCGCTGGCGTCATCACCCATTCGAGTCTCGAACTTGCCAGCCAATAATTAACTGTCCGCCACCCTAACCTTCAGCTTCTGAGAGGACACGCTTATCCTCTATCACCTCTTCCCGTGGGTTCCTCATACAGACTTCCTATTCTGGAAACCACCGAGCCAAAACATGTTTTCTTTTTTTGCTTCGTGGTACCTCTCACAACGGGCAGACCCTTTGAACATGCTATATCCAGTAAAGTGTTTATGATTCCCACACACACACGCCCCCCGCTCAACGTGCGGTGGTGGTGGCGGAAAACGTTTTCTTTCACGGCATCACCGTCACCGACGACGTGCTCTGGGCTGACGTTCGCGGTCATTTCTTCGCACGCATCTTGGCGTGGGTGAGTCTTATCCCACCCGCCCCTTCCCCTCCTTGCAACGAGGTTGATCATCATCGCGGTCCTTCATGCATCGTGCCCGACTCTCAAGGCGATACGGAGGCTTTTCGATTCGGGACGTCCTCCCCTCCGTTCTAGATACCGTAACAAGGCGGATCAACCCTCAAATCCGCGGTGCCATACGTAGAAAGTTGACGTCATCCCTTGCTCCCGGGCCCTCATTATCTTATCTTTCCTGCCGGCGTCCCCAGGCTCGAACCTACCTAGCTTTTACCCCGCATTGCATCATGCAGGCTGAATTGCTCGGATCTTCCGGCGGGGTCGGTGCAACGTACGACATCCTATTCAAAGTGTACAGTAACCTTTCCCCTGATATTAAAAATCCCGTAAGCCAGGTTCTGCCCATCCATCCGTGCAGCCCGGTCTTCGTCCATATGACAGTCAACTCTGCGACATTTGACACCAACTTCTGAACGTGTAGGTTACTCGCGGACCTTTCAGGGAGGGTTCGTCCTCGAGGTGTGCGGTGCACGGAGCTTGGGTGCAGAGGATTATCCATATCATCACCACCCCCCCTCCCTCTCAATCACATGCGAATGACTCTCTTCATCCCTTTTTCTTAGGTAGCACCCTGGAAATGAAAAGTGGAACAACTCCCACTAGTATCTGTTTCCCTGTTTCCCAGCTATACAATCGTTCGTCTCTCTTCCATTCCCCGGGGAGGGGAAACCTCCAGTTCATAGTTACATAGCGAAGTTTCCCCATCAACCTTAACCCTTCATTCTTGTGGACCCACCTACCTACCATCGGAGCGGACCTTGACGCATACCTAACTCCGCCTAGTGCGTCATATCTCAGAGGCCAGAAGAAAATCAACGATATCCATCCGATAAGGGCAGGTCTGACCCAGGTATCCGTCTCCTACCACGCCGAATCAAACCTAATCACCCACAAGAGGAAAGTCCAACACAGTAGAATGGAGACTCGGACGCGGTTCTCTGTCCTACCTAACGGGTATCGGTCGTCAGGACATGCGTGCTCTATGAATCTACCTCATCCTATATGTTTTTTTTTCTCGTACGACCCTCCCTCTCGCGCCGAATTCCATATCGCTGAAAGGTCTCGTGACAAGAGGTGTTGGCATTGACGACGGTGGCGGCTGCCAGTGACGTCCTTTTAACCTTTCAACCACCCACTGCCTGAGTCTCTTCTGCCTCCTCTGCAGCGTAGTATTCCCACTGACGTTCAGGCCACGTTCCCTTTCATTCGACGTCTCTTCCTCTTCCTCTTCTGTGTGAGTCGCTCGCTGCCCTCTGCAGCGTAGTATTCCCACTGACATCCACGTTGCTTGATTTCCAGCTGCGGACGGTGATGGGATTATGTGGTGCCATTTTTTTCCACTCCACCGGTGGCAAAGCTCAAGTTGTGGACAGAACTCTTGACGAGGCCCAGCTTCGTACGTGTCCTGCCTCTCTGTCGGTGGATCGCATCGTATTAACGATTTCCAGCCCAGTCTAAGCTCGCGTCACGAACCCTTTCCTCGTTCCCACCACGTCTCCCAAGCGCATCCATACCTGACCTCTACGTGCGAGCCACGTTTTCCTCCGGGATACGCTGGGGATACAGACGATCCGATGTCCACCTGTGAGCTGTGCCTGTGCCTTCGCACACATCGTGGAGGGGACGGGAAGGAAGCAATAGTCAGACGTTCAGCCCTTCTCCCATATCCACGATTCACCGGTCCAGCGCCAGGAAAGGCTAGATACCCAGCTCGAAGATGAAGCCCCCCGGGGTATCTCGAATATGGACTAGTCGATGAACAATGTTTGTGTTTTGATACCCTCGAAGGTCCCCCAGCGCTTCATTTTCTCACGCTTACATCTTCTAGCGCGTTGATGAACCAGCGACTCCGATATTCGGCTTGCGTATCAGGGCAGGTGCGAGGGAAATGGCTTGGGGGGGAGGGGGTGGGATTTGACTGAATTGCGCAAAGCCAGGAAAACGATTGATGTTCTCTCCCGAATGGGTTAGACTTTCCACTCACCGATTAATATCGTTCGTGTAAGCATCACTACTGTCTCTGTTCTATCCTGATTTCAAAGTGAATGGCAATGCAGTATTCGGGCCAGCATCGTCCGAATGAATTATCGTCCTACCCCAATAACTAGGCAACAACGCTTCTTTGTCCAGTCAGTGAAATCCATCAACCGCGCTGCCTTCCGTAACACGTGTGTCTTGTTCTGAATGAGCTAGATGAAAGCTGCTGCGTAAGATTGTGATTATCGCCAGCAGGCAAGATCCAAAATGCCATATGATTCCAAGTATTCTTTCCTTCGATTCCGTGACCAACCCCCTTCCCCCCCTTAACCGTTCAATTCTGGGGTAACCGATAATTTCACTGCGCTGCTTCTAGCCGGGGGGGGGGAAGGGTCCAAACATCTTTTGATTTCTCAATTTGACTGTTCTATCTCACCTGGAACTTCTTGATTCAGGGCTGGGAGTACGGGGGGACACGCGCCCTCGGGCACGACGTCCCCGACTGGTCCGCCTCTACCCACTCCTCCGGCGGTAACCACCTATTGGAATTTTCGGGGAACTGCGGCGAGGGGCGGGAAAGGAAATATTAACAGTCCCATATTTCACATTCCAAAATCAGTGGTGGTGGCCTTGGAGCGAAAACCTTCGCTGGTTCGAGTTCCCCCCCAACCCCCAACCCCCTCTGATCATCTATGATGTTGATTCAACGATGCGTATGCAAGCGAATGATTATTGCACCCGTCCTGGAACGCGCATTAAAGGGGCAGAGACCTAGATCAGATGGGTGCAGGGACGCCATCGTGTGAACTCTTTATCCTTCGAGGGCTCGATGAAATTATCAAAGCCGCCGGTCCCTTCTCTCTTCACAATATCACCGGAACCAAAACGGAGGAGGTCGGAAGGGAAATACCCATTTTTTTAAAATTTCTGCCTTGCTTTGTCGGAAACCCTCTGGTGGTTTGCGAATCAAATCGCTAAGGTTCGAGTAAAGAATATATCAATTTCACCGGAATTAATCAGAGCGGTGAACCCTACAATGTCTCACTTAAATACTAATCTTCTCCGCCGACGGCCTCGGTCTCTCGAAGGACTTGAACGTTACCCTGAAGGAACTTGAAATTGCCTTCCGCTCCTTCATTTCGGTCTTGCCTCGAGCCAAAAAAAAAAAAAAGAAATGCCCATCTGAACATCACGGAAAGAAGATATTCTGCAGCCTTGGAGATTGCGCCGACGACACTGCACTTTTTTTTTTTTTCTCGTGATGCATCATCCCCCAGTCCTGCGTATCATGCTCCCATCAATCTCTGGTGACAGTTCATTATATCGATGGCTCCCGGATAGGTGAACCTTCACATACTTCACATCGCCGTGGTTTTCCATCAGAACGTTCCAAGAGCCGAGTAGCCTTTCTTTTTCGGCTTCAGGTAAACGCCCCCCCCTCCTTCCATATCTGACAGAGGGACCTACCCCACATGGACATGAGAGCCTCGTGCTATGGCATCTTGTGTCCCATTAACAAAGGGAACTGTCGAACAAGCTGCCGTTCCTGACTTTTGCTCTCAGGACTGTCAAGGCTTGTCCTATCTTTTGAGGGCCGATGTGAGATATCCGGCATTTTCCCCTCGGTGCTGCAGGAACCACAACTAATAATATTTCGAGAGACCACTGAGAGAAAGAGAGAGCGCGCGCGCTTTTGGTGCGGCGGCCGATTCGTCGAGGCACAGGTAAGAATTGGAAATGCCGTTAAGAGTTCTAATCTCCGTCAAATGTGGCACAAGTTATTTATTGTCACAGGCAAATGGCTACTGCTAGTGCATGGACCGTTCATATTATCAACGAAGCGGAGAGCTCAAGGTTCCGCGACGAATACGGGTCCAGCGTGAACAGGCACGCACGGTCAAAAAAGGTTTAGTGAAAGTCTAAAGAACGTTCCCTCATCCATTGAAGCTTGGACCCCCCGGTCTCAATGGGAGATATCACCACAGAGCAAGCCTAGAGAGATTCACAGTCCGTTCATGAAGAGGTATCGATATGCACGGGGGTAGGCGGACTTGAAATGGTATTCCAAGAGCAAGTGCCGCAGGAGCGCTATTTTGGAAACAACAGCAGACTCACAGATCATCGCCTAGCGCAGAAGGGGATAGCAGGAGACGGTTTGTAACGCCGGAGAAGTTAGAACTACTTGCTATTATTAAACCAGGTTGTCCTGGGACCACAATATTGTTCTCGGCCTTCATGGAGGCGCAGCTTAGGGTTTCGTCCGTAAAGGCAGATGCGAATAGGAATACTAATTTTTTTTTTCATAATTTTCGACAAGGGAATCAGCACACATGGTGAAACGACAGAAACGCTATGGGATCGATCAGGCCGTCCCAGTCCCAGGAGAGGGGGAACCGAGAACGGCGTGCGGGCCCTATGATCGGCGCCTTGTTAGTTGCCATGCGCTCTGGATTGCCCAACCTGGCACTGGCGTAGTCATTCCGATTATAGTTACGGAGATATCGCTTCTTCACCGAGATTTCAGGCGTAACTTGGCTGTCTGTCTGTTCATGGGACGATAAACGATGTCCGCATCTAAAGAGCCTCCAACTCTTCATGAACAACAAAAGCAAGCCAGTGGAGCAACCGGATCCTTACAGTATAATTTCTCAAAAATCAGCATGCCTTGTAAGCTAACTGAAGGCGATGGATCATTACAAAAGAACGGCAATGTACCGTAGCACATGCTGAAACGATGGTCGTAAAGCGTTTTTTGAAACGCGTCAAGGGCCCAGCCAGCACGACCTTTCCAAAACAGAAAGAGCTTCGACAGCGAAGATCAGCTCCCGGCTCTTGTGTCTCAAGAACAATACACCTCGCCACGCGGGGCGCGCGCGCGCACGATCCTCAAACAGGAGCTAGCACTGTTGTATAGTCGATCGGGCGGGGCCAGCAGTCACCTTTTTTGCCTTGACAACTGGAGTGGGGGGGGGCGATGCAGGGGAGTGTGTTTACGATTATTTTACCTAGTAGGTCCGCGATGATAACATGGCCATTAGCCCGCCCAGGGGCGGTTTAATTGTCGTGATCATGCTGCCATGTGATACAGCACTTCGTCCATATTGGCACATGAATGCAGCACGAAGAAGGAGCAGCATCATCAGGGTTGAAGAAATGAAGTATAGTTCTATTGATCAGTTGGCGGCGCAGAAAGCGGCGGGTAGTGAGGATAGCCGACGGGAAGAGGTGGCCCATGGTCCATGGCAGAATTCTGCCTCTTCGAAGTGACAGGATTCCAAAGTAAATTCAACCTGGTGAGATTATTATGATCATTTCCATTCGCTTAGATGGTGAATAGACAAGTGTTGAAGCAGAACAAAAAGCTTGCACACGCATTGAGCGGACCACCGGTCCGATGAACCGAGGGGTTTATAAGCGCTGGAACTATGCTATGATGTATCTCTGTTGCTATTATTCCCAGTATCCCAGGCTTTTGTATGTGTGCTGTGACTTTTCTACTGAACTATTGTTTCTCGATAGAATTCTGATTCCTGATTGGTTCCTGAATGAGGTTTTAAATATCAGTGAGTAAGTTGTTCACAAATACAGCCGACGCACATAGACACACACTATCAGATACAGAGAACCTCACCGTTGTCAAATATACGCACTGCACTGTTTTCTCTCAACATTGACCATAATCCGTATCTTGAACTACGTTGTCTGGAATACGGACCGGACCGGACGATGGTCAATCAGTCAACTTCTGATCTCAAAGTCAGACAAGAGGCTCCCTAATTATCTCCTCAGAGTCGACGAGTACTCCTAGAAGGCTGGGTTATCATCCCATTTCCCACATGCATTTCTCATCGCCAAATGCTCCATTTTGAGGTGACACTCCCACGGATGAGCAGGGCAGCCCGAGTCTGAGAACCGAACCCTTTCTGATCGTTCTACAGATCCCCCACCACGGACCATTGAATCTCCATCCATCTTCGCAGGGAATTAAGATTCAGCGGCGACCACCACCACGCTTGCACGAGGTTGGCACGCTATACCATTCCCAAGCTTTCGACAAAAAGACTCTGAACTTTTCTTGGCACCTTTGCGGAAAAAAAAAAAAGAAAAAAGGTACGCGCTCGACAACTATGAAGGAAAGAATAGCTCCCGTCCCGTATGCCCTGCTCTCTGTCGAGCACCCACTGCGCACGGCCCCCTCGGGAGCGTTTACTTCTGATCGTTCCACAGATGCATGCACTCTGCATCTGGGGAGCAGATTGCATCGCATCTCCCTATGCAATGGTCTCACGCCGCTACACAACAACACTTTTCGGAGCGAGACAAATCTAGAAAGAGGGCCCAAAATTACGATATCAATTAATGCGTAATGCACGCGAAACCCCATCATCCCATTCGGTCCCGCACAATTAATACCTCCCACGCACTTCATGAAATAAACGACGCTCGCTCCCGAGAACCAGAAGAGATGGGTTTTCTTCGGAGAGACGTAAAGGGCATTTCCCACTTTCTAAGACTCGGCCATGAAGTGAAAGTTTGTCCTTCCAAAGAACCCGCGAATGACAATGAAACATTCACAAAGGATCACCCGCAAAAGTCGCAGAAAAACGAAGGAGAGACTCTCGTAGGTATATTTCCATCCCGAGCAGGCCGGCAGGCATAGAGGTAGGTAACTTAACATGAGACGGCGACAGTGCACCAGACGTACGCCACATAGAAGCAACTCATATGCGGCTGTGCAACGGCCCGGGCATCCTATCAGGATGACTGACAAAAAGGGAAAAAAAAAGTCAAGGAAAAACTAGAGTAAGACTATCAGAGATGTGGCAGACACATGGGGTCCACGCAGACCATTCCATCTCGAGAAATGCACAAAAGCGCCCAAACATGAATGACAGACGGAAGAAGTCCAGACCAAGGCTGCGCAAAGCACGTGAAAGACAGCTAGCTACTGACAGGAAACTTCAATGGAGATAAACCTTATCAGCGAGAAGACGACATAGGTCTGCAGGTCAATAAGACGACGAAAACGCACCTTGGTGGTGGGTTAGCGCCCACGACGTCATAAGTTGACTTGTGGGTCCACGATGGACGATCAACCGCTTCCGCGCAGATGAAACATCGGGATATAAAAAGCGTGCTGCGATAGCAACAGAATAACACGTCACGCGGACCATGGCAACATACATCCCCCTCACGATACCTACAGATTAAGATGTATGTCTTTAAAAAAGATAATAATTACACCTACACACAGCACCGAGGGACGTCACGCTTGCAAGCATGTCACGATGATCAGCACACTTCGTAGGTGTTCGCATTCGCGCTACCAGGGTTGGAGGCATGGCGCACTGACCTCGACCGAGAGTTCATGCAAATCAAAGAGGGATGGATAAGAACGAGGAGGAACGCCCCGCCCCTACCATCAGTCCCCAAGCGGGAGCCCGTACTCCGCAGATCCAGCACTTTGCGAAGAGCAGAATGGAGCCATAGAAGTGGATGGGTATAGGCAGATTGACGACCTAGAAGAAACCTCTAAGCATATTACTCCGTCACAACAGGAGACGAGGTCTTACGGGAAGACTGTCTGTTCATCGGGAACAAGCTGATTGACGAGCCAAGAAGCCTCGAATGGGGTTTCGTTCACGGGCTTCAAACGATGGTGGAGTTCCGTCGACGAACGAACCAAAACCAAAACCATCACTTTCACCCTGACGACCCCGTTGGGGCACAAATACGGGGGGGTTCATCAAAGCGCTTAATCCCTTACCAGAGCCGAACCTGATCGGCTTCCCTGACAGAGAGAGAAGGGAGTAGCTGTAAACATCGTTGTCGGTCAACAGTAATAGAACATTGCAATGAAGGAAGAGAAGAGACCACCTCGCTGCGAGGGGGGAAGGGAGGGCGTCGAAAGCAATTGATCCAGGAACTTAGCATACGTCACGGAGAAAAAGCGTTGCTTCCTCCTTGACTTGATAGACTTGCGACCGAGGTGAGTCTTGACGTCGACATCTGATGGTAGTCGTAGCCCTCTGTGTAGGAAACCATGCCGAGCCACGAAGTCGTCTGACTGATAGCAAAGTCATTCGAGGGGACCAGGAAACCATCTGTTTACAGCAAGCTTTAGCCGAAGGATGGAAATGAAACAGCGAACCAGCGCAACGAAAGTTCTCGGTCTTTTCATGGGGTGGGGGGGGTGGTTTACCTACCAGGACGGGTGATGGGCCCAAATCTGGAAAACGGGAAATCAGTACTTGCGGGAAGAGACACGAAGGACAACCGACCACGCACACATCATTGGACCCCACCAAATCCTGATATTAGAACGTAAGGAACCAATGCCTGCAGAGAACCAGATAACGCACCATGCAATAGATCACTTTATCGATACCCCAGAGTCCTATCTGGAAAAAACCGCAAGATTTCTGTGCTCGAAAGCGCTGATATTGCCTATTCACGAGCTGGGAAAAAAGAATTGTCAGAATCGAACGAAAAAACTTTCAGGTCCTACGCGCACTTAACCCAGGCATAGTTCCACGGCCGGCAGCAATCTTGAGAGTACAACATACTTTCTAATGCATGAAGGAGAGGCCGTTGAGTGTTGGTAGTCATGGTCAGAAAGCATTCGGCGGCCGATGACAAATCCTTGCACAGCCACTGTCGCGACCTTCCATCTGTCACTTATGTTACGCAGAGCGCGTTTTTACGCGTCTCTTACTCTAATAAATGCGATCATCTTTGTATTAGCTACCCTTATTGCTTCTACTGACTCCGTAGCCTCGATTTTCGTGATGCACTGACAGAAGTCGTATGCATCCCTTTCCCTGAAGGAAGTTTAAGCGCATGTTACGTTTAGATCAAGTTGATCAGCTCATTTAACCTGAATAGGTGGACAATGGGGCGGATACGCCTGTCATAGGTTACTATGTAGTGCCTTTGTGCGAGGAAGATATCGCAGCAAAAAAGAATGCATCGGACGACACGTCGGAATGTTCGACGCGTCGGGCCCACCGTGGTCATTGCACTCAAAGAGGCAAGCCCAAAGCGACCGCGACCCTGATGTGACAATCCAATAAACGCGATCACGGTTCTTAATCATTTGACGCGTTCCGCGACCCCATGCCGAGAGCGAATCTACTAGGTGACAGTTTCCTATCTTGGGGGACAATGCTGCTAGCTGCAAGTATTGCGACCTGCGGATATGAAGGATTATCAGCCTGAAGGTTTGAAACTTCAAGGTACGAACAGGAGGGTCAAGGCATGGACCCGTGTATTGCATGTCGTTGTCCGCAGATGTATATTAGAGGTAGAGTCCTTTGGGCTAAATAACTAGTTCTCGTCAGGAAGGAATCATTATCATCGTTAAGGACGTACAGTCCCTTACCGCCTGTTTAGATTTGTTCGTCCTTTGACAGTAGAAGTTCAGTGATACCATAACTATCCCACCTGTCTATAAACGACACCTCGCAAAATTTGGCGCGTCGCGCTCGCCGCCACAAACTAGTCATTGTCTTCAACCGAGGCGAGCCTGACGCGACACTCCAATAAATGCGATCTCATTTCTTCCTCATTTGACGCGTTTCGCGACCCCCATGCCGAGAGAAAATTCACTGAGTGACAGTTTCCTACCTTGGGGAACAATGCTGTTAAGCAAATATTGCGGCCCGAGGACGTGCACGGCGATCAGCCTTCAACCATAAGGTACCAACAGGCGGTCGAAAAATCATAACTGTAGACCCACCACAAGGAAAGCCAGACCTTGATCCTTCTGTCTCTCAGGACAGCGGAATCAGGGCTCTATTCTTTCCGTGCGTACGTAGCCATGGGAATGGCCCCTCAACTGATGCATATGCAACTTTGCAGAGAACTTCGCTTCGCTTCATTTCTGCAGGTAATTTAACCCCGTAATAGCAATCTGACTCGGGACGTGAGGAATTATACGTACGCTACATATAGTTTTCCGAAGAAGTCGCAGCTGCCCCTCTCCTGATGTGCCGCACCTGCTGTCCCTACGGCTAACCAAAGGAAGGGATCGCTAGGGCCGTACAGTTGCTCGCAGCCGTCCAATATTCATTCAACTTCTGATAATTAAAGTTCAGTTATACCATAGCTATTACGACGTCCACAGTAAATAAAACCAATCCGACATGACCGTCCCCGTGCTTCTGCAGGAACAATCGTCCCGCGAAATACACTTGAAACAAAAATAGAAGACGAATCTATTGGGGCAAACAGTTCATCACATCCCTCTGCATTACGTGGAGAAAAATCCTGTGCACTAGATGGAAATATCCTGTACTCCAACACTGAATAACAGGTAAAGTTGTCGTGCTGGATGATACACTGTTCTGACCTGCCATATTGGGCGGGATCACCCGAAGAAGTCAGGGTCATCACGCGGAATGTCATAACACGCGTCTCGGATTTTTCTTCCCACGTTAGGTGCAGAATGACTCGACGCACCCCATCTTTGGAAATCGAATTGCCAGGGTGAGAATATATTTTCTAGGCCATATGGTGAATTCTGATGGACACTGCGTCATATATTTCACAGTATCACCTCCCCCCCCTTCCTTCGTGAACCTTGGTCCCCGAATGATCTTCTCGCCCTTAAGGCTCCGAGTTTGCGGATTCTATTCCTGTAATCAAGAGTACAATAATAACGGTATGACACTTTCTCCGCGGGTCGCATGCCAAGTCGATGGCGATGGAGAATAGACATCCAGCTGATGATGTGCATGAGACCTCGTTAGAGTACGTCCGGAAATGATTATGCCCTGCGCCGGTCGAAACATGTGTAGTGTCGCTCGGGTGTTTTCATAACACGACGCGTCCCGAGTCTGGACTCCCCCGTGCCAATCATTTCTCCCTGCGCCACAGAGATCTTCAGCGTTAAATCTATTCCGTTATAGTACCACCAGTCAAGGACCTCATCCCCGGTCGCAGGAGTCCTAAAATTGTCAGTATGACTCGGCGATGCAACCAACCTCGGAAATGTTGGCAGCATTCTCCCTCGAAATTTCCCGGAACGCGGCCTCATCGAACACACACCACCAAGTAGGCAGTAAGCGGCAGTCTTTTACTCCAAGTTGTCAACTCTTTGAACATACTCTTTTCAGCAGGGTGTTTATGATGTGACGATCCCCCAGCGCGCGAGGGTTGATATGTCCGCTCTTCATCAGCTCCTCGCAGAACCCAGATTTGTGGGATCCCTTTGTCTCTTGCCTCATCGAAGCGGCTGTTCCATGTTCGGCGGGGGCGTTTGACGACATCAGAGCGGTGATGGCGGCGGTGGCGTCATCCAAATCCCTCGGGGCGTGCCAGGCACTAAATAAGTAGGCCGCCGCTCACATGATTTATCATTGGTTCTCCCGGAGGCAGTGCAAACATAGCGTATGTGTGTTGATTTCTCCTTGTAGCTTCCAGATATGGCAGCGGCTACTAATGTTACGTTTAGAGTATCGTACTACTTTCGCCATGAATCTCCTCGACGTATCAATTGCCGCAGTCTGCGGGTTTGTGGCGGCATCTGGTGTGTACTCGCTTCTAGAGGCACTACTCACGCCTGAGATCAACTCTAGCTCAAATCGTAGGAGGCCTTCTCACACGTTTGTGGATATGGGGCAAGTCTTACGTCTCTGGGCGCCTCCGATCTCGCTTAGTCGGTTATCTTGATTCTAGATAACTTGGACGGACCAGCGGGACAAAAGTCCGCGGTGTGTGCTGCAACGGCTGTGTTCTCGTCGCCAGCATGGACTCGTACGATATTGATGAGCCTTGACCGGTTTTTCATTTTCTGAAAACATATGACATGATGCTGATTGCTTCGCAGCCTACCGTCCCTCGTCCTTCCTGCTTCGTCCCCGAGCCCAACCCCGCATTCCGGTACAACCACCAGGGTTCACCGTATTTGCCCTAAACTTACCCTGCTAGGCTTGATTCAATTCTAGTTGCACTCGGATCTTGCGGGGTACTCCAAAATACGCCTTGCACTAGCCCGACGACAAATCCCACTACTGCTTCCGGCTCTCTCATCGATACCAATGCCAATTTGGATCCGTTCTCTCTGTTCGAACTAGCCTCCTCCAGTACCCTGCGCGATATGACTATTTCATTTCACATCTTCCCCTCGATGTCATTGCTCTAGCAGTATTCAATGTGGCTCTCGATCTTCATGCGAAGCCCCAGCATGACCTACTAAACGTGTATAGAATACGGAATATTCTTCAACTGATCCTGCGCGTAGCGTGTTTTCCTCGGAAACCCGGCGCGTCCTATCAGGCATGCCGCATGTGCACTGTAATAATCACATGCGAACGAATTTCCCTATCCTCTCTTTCTATGTTCTGGAATACCTTGACAATAGCTGCCCTCTAAATTTAATGGAACGACGGATTTCCTCCCTTCTTGCATTGTATCACCCACTTCCATTCCACAAATATCATCTCCGCAATCTACCTTCCAGGGCGAATTCGTATTTTCATCTGGCGTCGCTAGCTTTACTTGGGCCCTTCGACGCAATTTAATTTCATGGACGCTTCAATATCTCTGACATATCTTTACAGCGGAACAACGCATCACTTGGTGTATTCATGATCCTTCCGACATCCTCCCTGTCCTCGGGCAGGTATGGCGTTGGATTTATTCTAGGCGCATCACTTCGTGCCTCAGGCTCGCAAGTGACCAATACACCGGAATCGATGATGGGTCTTCTGATATGGGAGGTATGACCCAGGTATCTGTCTCGTATCAAACCTAATCACCACACCCCAGACTAAACAGGAAGGTTGAAGGCGAAATTATGGAGACTACTTCCTGGTTTTCGATCACTGGAGATCCGCCAACATAACACCTAACGGAGCATAGACGCGGAAAGGTGCGTAACGTAGCATGCGTGTCCTCTTTCCACACGGTGAATTTGCTCTTCGAGGCCCTTCATCGACGATCTCATCCGAGTCTCTTTCATTAGGACCAATAATCCGAACGATGAATTCATTTTCTTTGCGAAACTCTGGCGACGTGTAATAACGTTACTATAATTATGCGTCATCGACTTAAGAAGGAACACGACTCCCTCCTACGTAAGCCATTCTTTCTACAGCGTTCGAACTATCATTAATGAGAAATTTTACTCGCTGTCCGGCCATAGCTTCATGTCGGAGTTTTTTTTTCACCTATCTATGAAGCTCTGGACAATTCTACCCACATCTCGTTATCAAATTCTCCTCTATTCTCCGCGGGCGAGGTTCGTACTTCTCACGCAAACTCTGCAGCTCTTACGTTTAGGAAACGAGGCCAGTCAATGCATAACTTTCTTTTGAGGACACTGTGGTTCTGATAAATTTGCTTCAAGGGAAAGCCATATATGCACAGAAAGGCTTTTGTTAATGCAGAACTCGCGATGCATGGTCCTAGTCTGAGTCCGTCGTTCATGGACAGGCCCGATCCCACGCTGGTTGCCTTATTGAGACCAGATTGGCTGCAGTTACTCATGAAGAACGGCCTACACTTTCCAGGTAGAAATATCCTTTCATGTCATGATGATTTATCGTATATTTTTCGTTTGTTGACAATTTTCTGCAGCAAGAGATTGGAAAGCATTTAGGGTCGTCAGTGTAGGCTGGGTATGTCCGCCCTACTGGGTCCATAGACGTACTCATGACTCTAAAGTGGTCTTGATTAACCCGTTTAATGAGCGATAGATAGAGGAATTACAAGGACAGATATTTAATTGAAAATCAAAAATCTTCTTCCCTCATTAATTAGCTCATTATCATGATATATTCACTCTTAGTTTTCGCAAAGTGAGGTCGATTTTACTCAACGCAAGCCCCGGTAGCCCCGGTTTATTCAGTCAGACATCGGATGGTATGTCGACAATCAAAGCTCCTGATGGCCGTGTTGCTGTCACGCACTTATGTATTTGAGCGTCTTAATGTACGTTATATTATCCTTTAATACTAACAACCCCGATAGTCTACAGCTGCCATGGAACAGGTGTATTCAATTTTGTTCACAAAAACAGTACATGAAATGGGGCTACTAGTGTGTCACTTACAGGAAGAAATGATCCGCCATATGATGTTGCCTTCTCTTCTTCAACGACATTCAAAAATAGCCGCCTAGACATCTCGTGCTTCTAGCAAAAGAGTTTCCATCTTCTGCTACCGACACTTCTAAGTCGCGTACTTAGTTCGGCTTCGAACTATCGTCTATCATTCCACACCGGACATGGTTTAAACTTGTTCTCAGCGGTGCAAAGCTATTCCCCCCCTTCCCTGTATGTCTGGGGCCAGGAATTGCACCTTCCTCCGGCGGTATCACATATTGAACTTCGGTTGCTTTGTTCGAGATAAATATACGAGTCTTGAGAGGCATGTGACATGTTCTTCATTATTCCAGTCTTCCGTCACGACAAGATACCCGGGGAACGAAATAAAGCGACTGCTTCGCACCCACCCCCGCCCGGGGAAAGCTCGCACCGGACGGGTTCGCTAAAACGTCATATGATTCAGGGACTTCATCGCATGGTGCGAGCTCAAAATTCCATGACGTCCTGCAATTAATTGTCTGCCCTGCTCTTCCCAGCGCTTCATCAAAGGCCCCGAGCATCTCATCTCCATCAGAATTGGTACAAATCCCCCGAACCCACGCGGCCTTCCGGACTCTATTTCTTGCTGCATTGTTTCCGTCTGAATTACCGAGAAGTTACAGACCCAGGCACTATCCAGGCCCGCAAATCACGCCATGGCGCTTTCCTAGGGTCTTAGATAATCAGACGACGATGAATTCAACACTCCTGGTCCCCTCCATCAAGATGGAGCGCGGAGAAATCAGCGATGCCTCGCTACAATTATTAGATGTCGGCTTCGGATTTTCAACCAGTCCCTTGTTATCTCCGTCCTCCATAAGAAAAGATGCAATGTCCGTGAATGTTTGCTAGAAGTCAGAATTGTCATTTTTCATTCGCCCGAATCCAAGTGTTTTGACAACTTATTGAATAGAACCTCTGCGCCTGTATGTAATTTCCGATCATCAAGATGGATGGCAGTTCATTTTATCTAATGACTCTAGGACCGCACACTTTGATCAGATCAGAGAAACACGTAGGATTTGTTTTCGGCTGTTCTGCAGCCCGGACCAGCCGCTCTTGCGTTCTCAGAAGAGGTCTATTTTGAACGGAATCATAACCCCTTACGCACATGGGAACCTCGTGTTATCGTAGCCCCCCCGCGTGCTCCATCATCTTCGAACAAAAGAAGCTTGAACTAAGTCATCTTTTTTTCTTTCCGGGTCAATGAAGACCTTTAGGCTCGGGTCGTCTGAGAATTTATTCCATTTCATCGGGTTTTCGACGGATGCCACAGGAAGACGCTGTTAACAGTTGGTCCAAGATATGAGAACGTGCTGGGGTCATTTTATAATGCCTTATCGTATGATCCAATCCAAGAAAGAGCAAGACAGTCGCACAACTTCTGCAGACCCCATATGAACATGGTCTCAGGCTCAAAATTACCGATGTTTGTGTGTGGGACAGAGACAGTCAGAGTAGCACAGTTTGGAAAAATGATGTCAGAAAAGCCTGGTGTATATTAGGTAGCAGTCCCCTCTAACAGTACTAAGTCCTGGTCGAACGGGAATGCAATCGATACCGCCTTCGTCGGTGTCTAAGCTAAATTATGACATGGAAAACCAACGGTAACACCAAGATGAAAATAAAAGACAGCGATTTTGTTTTCATTACATCGCCCGTTTGACTTGGAGTCACGTATGGACTCGAACTCGACCTTGAGCCAGCGGCAGAAGAGACATTGACATTCCTAGCAGTAGCGTTTGACGCGTATCGGAACAACTGTAGCACAAATGAGACTGACTGAAGATATAGCGCGTGAGAGACTGCGCATTACCTTGTCTATTCCTTCTTCGCTATTCATCATACCCTCGTTCGAATGAGATACTCCCTCGATCCAATCGACCGTCGACAGGGCAGGTATACCGCCAGTCAGTTTTTCTAGCATGGCAACAAAATTCCTTCCTCTTTCCAGATGGGTGCGTCCCTGGGCCTGGGAAGAATAGGAGTTGTGAGTCGGAATATCGAATCAATGTTATGAAAGAGCCGCCCACCAACGCTTCACAAGAAATATCTCCTGGGCCGTTATCTGCCTATAGGAGGGCAGGGGAATCAGAAGCTGGCACTATAAGATTTCCAGAATGTGGGCTTCTCACCGTCCCCCAGGCGTAGTGTAAATTACGTCCAATATACCGCGAAACGATCCCGTCCCGTCCAAGTCTATTTGTGTCCGAAGTAGCGTATGCTGGAAAATTGCTCTCTAAGCCGTATTTATACTTGTCCGGGTCAATGCAAGAGCTATTTGGCATCGGGCGCTCAGCAGTCAACCAGCATAGAGAGCCTGGGTTGGCTGAAAGAGATGTCATGAATCAAGACTTGTTCCAAGAGAAGAAAACAAACAAACCGATCCAGAAATGTAGTCGATCGTCGTTCTCAGTCGATTTTCGTAACGTGGCATAGCGCTGTGTCATTTGTCCACCAGCGGAATGACCTCCTACAACGACAGTCTGTAGATCATTTGAAACAGCACTGAAGGCAAGAAGTGTAAAATCCCACGTTGAGGTTTGGGAATGCCTGCGTATCCATATAGTACGACACCAGCGCGTCGAGCACATCAAAGCTGCTGAAGTTTATCACGGAGCTTGGCAGTATATTGGCTTTTCCGTCGATCCAGGTCGTCATTCCCCACAAGAGTACGTCGTCTCCTGTGGCACCTGCATCCATATCCGCTTGTGTGAAAAAGCACGGAGCCATGATGGAGATATCTTCGCGTCTTATGCTCGAGTCATGAAACGTGGCATTGTAAAGCGCGTTGTTCACCACATTCCAGTCTGATTGGTAAAGAGATTTCGGATCAGGTGAAACAGAATAAGCGGAGAGGACCTACAGTACCAGCAGTCTCGAGGCTTGCGTTTTGCCACGGTGAGAAAGGCGAAGAGAGGACTGGAATGAAGAGCTTACCCTCGCAGGTAAAACAATGACTGCTCTTGTTACCTCAGAATTATTGAGGCCGCTCGTTTGATAGACAGGCTGAGACTCTAAGATTAGATTCGCGAATGTAATGATCAGGAAAAGGGAAAGCCCGACCAGTTGAGCACCATCATTCACGACCCAACTAGGGTACGCTGTGGCATCGTTCACTTGAGGAAACGCTTTCCACCCATGATCAGGATCACCGCCGACAGTAGGGTTCTGGTTGACCTGTTGCCGTCGGTGGAGCACACTGGCAGAAGCAAGGGCCACGAGGTGAAAGATAAATGAGAGTAGCATGCCTCTGAGAGACCCGGTCAGATTGCGGGAACGGTTTATGTCAACGCAAACATTTATGGCAATGCCGTATTTGAGCGGTTAATGATAAAAGATATCGGTCAAGTGATGCCCTCGACAAGAGTTACGGTCGGAAGCTGAGTTGTCTCGACCACGCTGCCGCTAGGCCGTGGAACAAGCACCCCGGCATAGAGTCCCACGTGTAATATACGATGATGATCTGAGTAAAGCCTGACGAAAAGACCTTCGAACTAATGTGATATGCTAACGGCGAATAAGCACCACGGGAAACATTGCGTTAGTTAGGCTGCGGTGCCGAAGAATGAGAATACTTGCTGTTGTCGGCTCTTGGTGCCACACTACGAAACCGCGGAGATGCTTGGTGGAAGGAGAGCAGAAACACCCGAAGGACACATGCCAGTGAACTCCCGTGATGCCAAGACTTTATCGCCATTGACTCTACGAGAGAATGACTTGGCTCCCGGACCTTGAACATAAGGCAGCCGCTGATATATTTCCAGTTAACTACTCACAGAGGGCCGAAAGAATGTTGAGGATATGTGCATGAAAGAGAGTAAGAAAGCACTGTGCGATATTGTGACGTAATGTTCACTCCCGTTTCTTCTTTTGAACCACCAGTGCGTACCATCATCATGCTTTCTCGGGTACGAGTTGATACGTTTTCTCTGTCTTACCCTGCCACTGTAAATGTTCCATATATATAGTGATTAACCTATGCGCGAAAGGGGATTGCTGCAGAGGCTGGTGTGTTTTGGATGGTCCAACGTGGGACCTTCCAAGGTATTGCTTCCAGCTTCAGTTTGTACGCCCTTGCTTGCAGTGCCGAAAATGAGACGGTATTTCCATTGTGCCACAGAAGGAGAAGATGTTCTGAAAAACCAGACTTTTGATTCTTGAACTAACTTATATCAGCAACATGTCAGGAATCTCACGTCGCTATCAGCAAGACTATGGCGCTTTCTCCCTTACGCTTCGTACACGTCATGAAATTTCTGTTCAGGTGCCACGACAGCCAATATAAACGCCGCCTTTCATTCCTTCCGAATGTGAAGGTGCCTGTTTGTATCATGGCGAAAAGAGGGACGCTCTGGGACCATCCCTCATAAGTGCTTAAATGTGATGCTGACATTTCTTTGTCAACGTCACATTCTGGAATTACCGCCTGCGATGTTTCACTAAAGCGGTAACATGTACCACGGTGACAATATCTACCGCATCTTCTCTGTCAGCAAGATTCTCTACAACTTCGGCAAGCATTCTAGAGGCGTCATCTTACCATTTTTTGGGGAAAGCCTGTCTCAATGTAGTCTCGTAAACCAGACTCAACGATCCGTGTGAAGATAAGTCGTTCGATGGATGTAGACTCAATGGATAGGAGCCGCCTCGGTCTCCGTCTCAAGTGCTATTTGAAGTCTAAGTATCCCCCAACGTGGGCTTATAGCGCAGTGGTAGCGCGCACGCTTTGCATTAAGAATTCTTTGTTGTGTGAGGTCCGGGGTTCAATCCCCCGTGAGTCCATCCATTACTTTGCTCTGCTGTTTATTTTAGTTTCATTATTATTCACCAGAAGTCCTACGACAGTATTGAAAAATAAGCAGCATTGGTTTGGGTTCATGTTTCATCAGGTTCTATCTCGAAAGGTATGCTTAGTTTATCCCCGGTGTATTCGGCATGGTGAAGAAGATCTCCCCACTGTTTATACATGTTGCTCATGTATACATTCACCTGAGCTAATGGATTTTTTTTGGAGGGGGGGAGGTATGCGGTTATATTCACTGTTGGAGCTACTCTATGTAACTGTCTACATAGATATTGAGGTGCTTGTTCCTTTATGATGAGTCGATCCCGTCGTTCTTCATGGTTTGTCCCTAGTAGCAAAGCAATCCATCCCTTTTCTGAACCACGGTACACAGGGAAATGGGCTATAGGTGCGTTGTATAGACCTTCTGTCCACTGTTTTTCAGTGATTCACTGGCTGTTTCTGAGATCATGGCAATGAACTGAAACTACCCGGAAATTCTAAGGCATTATCCTACCGAGTCTGCTTCAAATAAAGATCCTGATATAACAGCACACGCAGTTCGACAAATCTGGCGGCTTACAAGAGCTTGATGACTCCTGCAGACGACATTCGGATATGCTAGTGCGTTATTATTCGTCCGATTCAGATCCATCTCTTTTATACTGTCCTGGAGCTCTCTATGGAATATTGGTACACCGTCTTATGTCTATTTCGTCACCTCGAGCGACTGCATTTGCCATGGGACAATCAAACGCGTTACGTCGGGGTAACGCTATCGGCGCTCAAACTGGTTCACATAAGCAGGCAAACATTGAAGTTCAAAAGAACGCCGACGAGACTGTTTCGCAGGCGTTGATTGATATATTTAGCTCTTTTTCCCTGCCGCAGAGTGGTTTTAAAGGAAAAAACTATATGGTAGGATATGAAAAGACGCTTATACTTAGCACGCCACTATAATTCAGCTTCTTACTATTCAGTTAATACCTATTTTCATTCCTGTACAAATCGTACCTTTGCCTTTTCCCATCTTAACGTTTCTACCAACATAACAAGTTGGTAATCATGGAACTTTCGAGCCGTCAGCTGGTCGTTTCTGCTCCTATCCTGTAGCAGATTTCAAAAGAAGCCTCAGAGATGAATTGTGGGGAGGGAAAAGATTATGTTTGCATTATATGTCGAGCTGTATATTAGATTATGCTTCCCAGACTTTTCCGTCTATGAAACTTATATCAAGATAGGGCACTGCTTGTGCCAAATTTAAGTTGTTCTCGGGGCCAAAGGCTGCGGTACACATAGGACGATATAATAAGCCAATCGCTTCTGCAATCAGGTGCGAGGTGTGATGCAGATCCCGAATGGCTTTACGTGACTGTACCGGCGTCTATCATCAGGGACTGGATACACGGGAAAAACCAGTGCACATTACCTGGTGATTCCCGAGGAGAATTCAATTTCCGGAAGGAACTGCTCCGTACAGGCGATGGTAAATTTGGAGAGTATATTGGCCATAGATAGCAGCATGGACACTTCAGCGAATTGAATGCCTGAAATTTAAATGAGCGCAGCACCACGCAAAAAGTGATGATCCATACCTGGACATGTGCGACGTCCATAGCCGAAGGCAAACTGACGAGGGTCTGGGTTTACAGATAATGAATTGTGGCTTGTATCTGCGAATCTGCTTGGGTCAAACTCGAAGGGTTTAGGGTAAAGTTGAGGATCATGCATTATCGCCCTATTGAATATGAGCCGTTAGCATGTATTCTTGTCACAGGGGGAACGTGTACACACCAGACATTGGCTATTATTGTCGCGTCTTTCGGTATTCGAAAGCCCCCATATGTGTCTTCGCAAACCACTTTATGAGGGAGTGCTGTAGAATAAGGAAATTTCAGTCAATAGTCAATACGACCTAACGCGGTTCTGACCAAGGTTGGCTACGGGAGCGAAGCGAAGAATCTCTTTCAGAACCGCAGGTAGATATACCAACTTGGAAAGAACTGCTGTACGAGGCGAGTCAACCCGGCCAATAACGTCGTCTATCTCAGCCTGGGCTCGTTCTTGCACTTGAGAGTATCGGGCCATAAGCATGAGGAACGATATCATAGCTGAAACGGTCTGTGAACGGCTACGTCAACTCGAGCTAATAATCGATACTCTCCACTCACAGTGTCCGCAGCCCCCGCGTATAAACCTCCCGCGCACCACTTAATAATGTCTTCCCCCTCAGGATCACTCCCGCTTTTTGCATTGAGAAGACGGGAAGTGAATGACTCGGTGTATCTACCCAATGCCTGATACGATTGATGAGTGTCAAGTCCCTGACGTATGCGCGCGCATAAATGCACTGACCATTTGTTTTTTGACCCATTCGTGCGGAACTCCGGAAAGAGAATCTAGGCGCTGCTTCCACTCCGCTCCTTGCCGTTTGAAACCAGCGAACGGTAGCCAAGACGGGAGAAAACGGACTGTTTAGGCGTCTACCATCACTTCCAAGACAAATTGGACCGACCAGACGTACCTATTGGATAGTAATCCACAAGCCACCTGCCAGGAGCCAGCGTCTGTGCAGAAATCATGGCGGATTCTTCAGCGACCTTAATGAAGTCATCATTCTCGGTGACGGTATATCCATATGCCACTTTCATAATTACAGCGGCGGAATTTCTAATGCGTGATTGTAGATGAATTAATGCCATCGCGTTAGTACACAAGAGACTTACCTCCGTAAATGATGCACATATTTTTCAGGGCTATCGATGAAACCCTCCACCATCATGTCTGCCATAGCATCCAGGAGTGACGAATATTGTAGCGTTGCCATCGCACCGACGCCTTCTTGGAGCAGTCGTCGATACTGTTTGTGACGACTATCCAGGGACGAAATATTAAATACAGATTTTCCTCGGGCGCATATTTCATGATACATCCATGCTTTTGGCCGGTCCGAGTAGATATTGGCGCGCTTGTCAAGCAGGTCATGCACAGATTTGCTATCGTTAAGCACGATGACGCGACGATTATATATAAGGAAGGATATCACCGAGCCTTAATGATGAATGGCTTAGAAATGTGTAAGGATGACATAACGGAACGTACTTCCGTAATGGCTTGCCCATTGAGCGTACTGCTTCCATGGCGCAGAGCTGGCGAGGCGATTCTTGACACCAAGAAAGAAACTTCCTCGAGGTCCAGGAGGAAGAGAAAGACGTCTAAAAGTAAAAATATAAGCCCGTATAGCCACTAAGACCAGGAGAATTAAGGTAGAGAAAAGGTATGAAGGAGATGGACTCATTGAGGGACCAGTTTCGTGAGGTCTACTTGGACTATCCTTTATATATCAAGCAGCGTTGAAACAGCATATGATTGTTCTGGGCCATCGTAGCTATCTGAAGAGCTAACACAGGATGACTAAACCACAGAGCAGGTAACTGAACCCCGCTGCTGCGATTCATACCCCACAGACTACGAACGTGATGCAAGTCTGGCTACAGATCTCTGTTTCATATGAGCGGTAGTATTTCGCGGTCAACCACGGGGATAACTAACCTCGAAAGGCAGTCACAGCTATGGTAAGTCCTGGAGCCATCAAGCGCCTGAAGGTTGCACGATCGATGCATCACTCATAAGGATGAATTGCCCAGAGCTATATGATGCCTAGTAAATGAGATGTCAGATATGAATGGTAGTGGACAGTCTATCCACAATGTGACAAGCAGAATGAATTTAACATACGGAGCATCGGCTACATATCTGCCTCGAGTTGATGACCACGTTATCGATGATATCAACATATCCGTACAGCCAGGAGCAATGCGGCAAAGGGCTGTAGTGAGTTATTCTGATCGTCCCGATGAAGCCGGTCGCCTGTCTCAAACTCCAAGGTCGCTTCGTCCGTCGAATATCGGACAGGTACAGCTGGAAGAACACATCACGTTAGCCTCGATTGGGTACCAGCACATCCGCATTGATCAATACCTACCATTCGTTCGGGCCCATCATTCGGACTCATCAATGGCGTCGTACACGTGGAAGGGGAGTAGCATAGAATAATCCCGCCACGTGCTGTATCAGGTTCAGGTCCTTGATGGGATCAATGGGAAAACTTTCAAGGCAAGGCATAGAAACCTAACCACTGGGTTTCACTCACATCGACCGCGCGGTCGGTCGGTCGATGTGTTCTATCCTCTTTGATGTATTCAGCACCGGCTACTTAACATTCACCATCGATCCCGTGTTTCTAATAGCAGCGAATGTATGTGTATAGGCGCTCTGAGCACGGGTTTAGAGAAGGGGGAAAGTCGGGGAAGAGAACGCTCACCTGACCACAATTGAGATCATATCCTACATAAATTAGGGCATAAATATTTTATTTTGTTTCTTCGTTACGGGAGTCTCGCGTTCTAGGCGACCCCCAATATGATTATGATAAGTTGATAGTCCCAAACATGATTCCAGGCGTCAGTGTTCGTAACTGTCATGGTCTTTCGGAGCCGATAAGAGAAAGACCTCACAGTTCAGTAACCGGTCCTGGAGGCGGCAATCTCCCATGAAGATCTAAAAGATAAAGCACTGAGGCCGCCGGGATGAAGCTTTTCACGTTAACCGTCGAAAACGGTCCCATCCGGTGTACAGAACGCCCTAGTTCTCCGCAGAGGTAAAGAACAGGACCCGCTACTCGCTAGTCAGCGGAATGATATCAACTCGGTGTTTTTCACTTAGCCATACCCGACGAGAAGCACTGGCACCTTCACCTCACAAATAGTCATATCCTCCTTGAGTGCCTGTCGCAAGTACAACAAATGTCTTTCGACGCAGCGGAACAAGCGGCAAGAAACTGGATGAGCAACCTGGCTCAGAAGATAGAGGGCCCCACTTGTCTTTGTGGACGGAGGGGGACAATTAGGGAGATGGGGAAGGAACACTACACTCAACTCTAAAATAACCGATAGCTGTCTTAGCTCATAATTTGCTATGACACATACATTTGTGTGTTGACCGACCTCGTTCGCAGGAGATTTGAATGGATAACCCACAACTTTGTTATTACCCATAAGCCAGAACTACTTCCGCTGTATAGGACCATAGTTTCTGAATATCCCCAGCTTATACTGGTCAACTAGTCTCCTTATTATGCTGTCTAGTTAATACCATTTCTTGTTGGTTCAATTCCTGCTGTAACCATTTTTTCCGTGAAGATGATCCTAACAATGCCGGACCCAATTGCCAATGCCGAGAAAGAGGTTGAGGAGTGTTGATACTCTTCAGAACACTGGTGCACACCAGCTCACTAATCGAGTGTTGAATCTCTTGTTGATCCAAAACCTGAGAGTGATAATATGGAAGACGAAGTAACGGACCACCGGCAGGATATTTTCGACACGGTGGTTACAGTACGGAAGCAGGACATGTGATGCAGATGCAGATGAATGTATCGATCTGCCTCCCTCTTGTAAAGAGGCCCTTGATGCGGTCTCAATCCTTCGGAAATATGTTCGCAGCACAGATGACCCATTTGTTTGTCACCTTGAAGGTGTTTTGGTTTCATTGCAGAGACTCGTTCACTCAAGGAAACCGGAATCACGACGTGTTTTGCAACTAGCTAGGCCAAGAATACAAATTACTCATAATCGATGCTTTTTTTTTAGCTTCTTGAACCCCCACGAGACACCCTATAACGGCCTCTCCCAGAACCCATACTCTGTAGTAACCCATAGCTCGGAGTGTCAACCAAGGGGTATGGGTTATTACAGAGTCAACTGCATAGAGCGGCCGCCAGAATATCTCTGATAAAGACGCATAAAAAGGGAGGATGGCAGAAGTATTACGGGGAGATGATAGTGGTAAACGTCAGATTTTGTTTGCCAAACCCTATTTTGAGGCAGAGTAGTTTCCAGCCTCGCCGTCGGAGTTTTAAACCCAGTAACGATTTTTGCAATTCCATTTTCTTGTCATTGTCGTTGTATACTTAATCAATATCAGATCTCAAAATAAATGTTTAACAAGTAAGTGTCAGCGTTACAGTAGGACGCAGAGCTTTTTTTTTGTTTCCTAACTTCGAAGACTACAAAGTGTTCTACTCCTATACGCGCCGAGATGAGATTAGATCGGAACGACCGGACCGCGATCGGTCTCCACGGATTACACCTCTTGCATCTTTACCGCCACCACGGCATGTCCGACTCAGTGCCAGCAAGTACACTGCCCTACCCACCCGTCCATAAGGGAAAGAAATTCGTGGTTCTATCCGATTGGTTCGAAATCGCCATCATCGGACGAAGGAGGTACTAACGTGCCTGCGTGTAATAGGGATGGCACGATAACGACGTTCGATTCGAACGATTGTGCGTCTAATATGTCTCTGGGTTGGGAAATAAACATGCTTACTCATTGCTGAGAAGACATGACTGATAACCTTGGGTATGGAAAGGAGAGAAGGAGACAAGGGAATCTGGATATCCTCACAGGAAAGGCTACGTTCAGGTGCGCTGAGCAGAGACGTTGAAAAGGTCCATCGATTTACGAACCTACGACAGGGACGCCTTCCGGGAGATGCTAGCTAGTGTCGTGGCTAACGGGCATTCGTTTGAAGAGTGCAAGGATGTTCTGCGCAAGAGTCCGTCCATCACGGTTCACTATTCGAAGTCTAATGAATAACTGTTTTCCCAAGATATACAACTTGACTCCGGATTCAAAGATTTCTATGCGTGGTGTAAAGCCAATGATATCCCGGTGATTATTGTCTCTAGGTCAGCCTAGCCCGCTCACTTCCCACTTTTTTGATCTCATGTGAACCAAGTGGCATGGCCCCAACTATTCGTGCCGTTCTTTCCAATCTGCTTGGGGAAGAAGCCGCTAACGAAATAGAAATCATATCTAATGATGTAGACCTCCACGAGGACGGGACCTGGTCCATTAAATTTAGACATCCTACCAGGTCAGACTCTTTCTTCGGTCCTTTCATTTTCTGATTGCCCTGTAGTGGATTCGGACACGACAAATCTTATGCCATTCTTCCATACCGACAGCTCCCAGAGCCTCCGACGCTGTTTTTCTTCGGCGACGGAGTGTCAGGTCAGTGTAGTCTGCATGTCTGGACTGCTAACGCGCTGATGTTGATCTGATAGACATGTCCGCTGCTAAGCACGCGGATGTCCTGTTCGTCAAGACGAAGGATCAAGGAGACAATGACTTGGCGGCGTACTGTATTCGCGAAGGGATTAAACATATCCTCTTCGATGATTTCTCTAAAGCGCTGCCTGTAGTGCAGTCCGTCGTTAAAGGAGATTTGACTGTAGAGAAGGCTCTTGCTATTGGTCAGGCTTAGATAATTGAGATGTAGACGCTTAATATAAAATCACAGATTTAATTTTTCTTTCAGGGCTATCGGTCATGATCTACCGCTTGTCCTTATTGGTATAGATAGAGGCGGGTATTACGTCTTTGTGTGGGACACAATTTCTGCCACGGAGATGTAGGATCATATAGCCTTTCTCTCGACACCCCGCTTTGGGTCCTCTGGAACATTCTACTTGACAAAGAATATAATATACCAACAGGTACTCACGTATTTTGCATCGTTAGGACAGCAAAGGAAGGCGCTCTCTAGGATGCGGTGGACCCCGTTGGTGCGTATACTATGTGCTTGGTAGACGGATCAGAAGTTTTGTCATTATTGGGTTCGGTTTGCATTCGACGACTAGGCGACATCCAGGGTGGCGAGTACTGGCAGTGACCCTTGTCCGTTTGGCCTTCGTTTTACTATGAGGGGTGGAATCATCGGCAAGACCGGTGTTCGTATATCATCATTTCATCCTATGATACCTGTATGCTTCAGGTACAATCCTCTCCTGCTCTCCCTCATCATGCGAGTCAAACCGGACAGAATTTCTCATTGTAAAATGGAAACCCTTCGGGGATTGAAGCTGTTTCATTTAATACCGATATATGAGGTCTTGAGAAGAGTTGCATTTCGGAAGGAAGGTGGCCTTCATCAGTCGAAACCAATATGGGATAGATATTCAAGTGAATCCCCAGACCTCGTTCAGCACCGATGGCGGATTCAACATCGTCGCAAGGTATCTGTCTACACTCCTGGCTCTTTAAACATCTTTACAAAAAGGGAAAAATAACCTAGGTCTTGTTATCACCGACATTGGGAGCACCCAGGATCGAACTGGGGACCTCCAGAAACACAGGAAAACATAAAGAACTTCAGTCTGTTGCTCTCCCAGCTGAGCTATGCCCCCAACTTACGGGACTGGGTTGAGCTGGAGTTTTTTTAAACTTATCACAAGCGACCTCTTAATTGTAATATTAAATAATGTCCCATTTCCACTTCCCCTGCTACTCATTTGTGTTCCTGCCCGCCTGCCTCAGTCAGCTTTATAGCGCCAGTGAACACAAGCAAAAATACATTTTCGGTGAAGCCCTTATGATGTACCCAACAAAATCTCATTAACAAAATCATCATAGCCCCTTGACGCGAACAAAAGGACGTCTGGATTGGTCACGTCTTTATTTCATTTCGTTACGAAAAGACACGGTCACGGGGTAATTTATAAACCAAAAAGAGCGGCCTGAGCAATCTATCGACGCAAACTACACCACCACCACCACCATACTCCCTAGGACTAGCAGCCCTTCGATTCACTTTCCTCCGAGAAGAATTGACACTGGCTCCATTACCTTCCTGTTCCCTTATATATTGATCTCGTCGCCGATACTGATATCTTCAAGGCCAGCGACTGCCGCCACCCCTTTATTGTCGAAATCCGATTTTTCACTAGTTTCTCCAACCGAGCAAAGAATACTCATCAAATGGGCAGTCTACCACTCTCCAAACGTGAACAGGCCCACCGCGTCGCATGCGAGCGGATCGGACACAGGATCGCGAGTAAGGAACAACAGGCCTCCATCAATCCAGATTCGGGCCCAAACGATTCTGCAGGTAATGCGGAGGAAACTCCACGCGAAACGAATCCGGTAGGTCTTGGCAGACGAGGAGAAAAAGAAAAAAAAGTTCGAAGCAAAGAAAACCAGGATGATAATGACGGAAGAAAAGTCCATTTCGACGACACTCTCCGTATCCGATGGATCGAATCGGCAGGACGCGAGCCTATCTTCGAAACTAACGCGCCTCCTGTCGCTGCCACCTGGCCCGTCGAGGTCCTCAAATATCGGCCCGATCATCCGTTCTCTTCCCCGCCAAAAATATTGGCCGAGTTCGAGCATGGCAACCCGGACCTGGTAAGGACCTTCCTGACAGACGACCCAAGGATCTATGGTTGCGACGACTGGGAGCAGTCAATCTGCACACCCTGGGTCAACGGCGCGGTGATTCTTGTCGATGGCCTGCCAGACGCAATCGAGATACCAATCAGCGAGAATCGCTTTCTGTCCGCGCGCCGCGTACTGAAGCTTGTATATACAGAGTTGATGAAGACCATCGAGAAAAAACCCAAGGTTTGGTGGAGATCGGTTGAAAAAGAGAGAAGAGGAGAAGTCGCGAGGGCGTGATGGAAACGCGTCCAGAACCTTGACGACTTGGAAGCGGGAACATCCGTCGCGGATCAGCCTCTCAGGCTCGTTGACTTTTTGCTGGAGAGCGTCGTCTTTGACGGGTTTTCGTTCGTGATGAGGGACTCATCTGGCCGGGGGTGGTTGAAAATGCACATCATGCCCGTCCGGTACGAGTAAACATGTACAGAACGGAGATCCTTGTTTCCTATCAGAACCATTCCATCCAAGCATGTCAACTACGCACCATTTTATTCATTTCACTGCTTGGTCTGCCCGATATTCGTTCCATCACACCACCGGAATGCCTGATCGTAGCGGTAGGACAATCTCCTTAGTTATAGAAAGAATTCATGCACTAGGAAACACGAGAAATTTTCAATCTGTACGTACCTGCTGCAACCACCCGGCTAGGTCTTGGGTCAAAGATGAGAAGTAAGATATAGCGAAGTAAAGGCCTAGAGAGCGAGCGAGACCCTGGGTAAGAGAATATGGGAGGGACGGCTGAGGATGGAAGGTATCGTCGAAGAACAAAGGAAAGGGCAGAGGCGTAAACAATGACATACAAACCCAAGAAAGTCCGCTCCATCGGCGCCGGCACGGGACTCCATCCCGGATAGGTTCTCTTCATATTCTGGCGTCGTCGGAGTCAGGATCCCGACCAGCCGAAGGTTAGGCGCCTGGAATCCTTACTCTGAAGCTAAACTACACTTCCTCGCGAGGTGAAAAGAGTTGTTGTCCGGCGTGCGGACCGTCATCCCTGGACCAAACATACGCCATCACCTCTTCGTCTCTCAGCACACCGTGGCGAGCAGCAATTTTCATTGCCGTCTACCGTGTCCAGGTTCCATAACCAAAGAATATTCTTTTCAAGGATCGACACGGAACTCAACATGCCTTGCGCAGGTCTGTCGGTTTGAAATGGAGAGATTGAAGGCGACGCTGGCTTCAGCAAATCAGGCGCGTCACTTCAGTATCCACGTCGTGAATAGTATCCTAACTTCTACAGCAGCATGCCTTCGATGTCTGAAGGGAGTCTGTGATAATACAGGACCCCTCGATTTGCGCGGTGTCGTATATGATAGAATCGTTCGTGGCCTTTTTTTCGTAGTGAAATCTTTCCTTATCTCACCATGATAGTCGCTCATCGGACTGCACCAAACTCACTTTACCCGGCCAGTGGTAAATTCCAGAATTTCGTGGCTGTGATAGCGAATCGTATTGGCGAACATCGAGTTCAGGAGGTACCATCCCATGGGCGCTGAAGCTGATTCTGTCGCAAGTGAGCATATTTTGGTGAACCAGGATGGAACGTAATGCATTGATGATTGACCTCAGGTCTGGGTACCTTCCCTACGATCTGGCGATGGCATGTATCCCAACCACCGCACCTTTGGTTATCTCGATGTCGCATCATTTCTCCCGCCGAAAGCGCGTGATGTTGAAATCGTCACCCATCACCCTGATCTCGCAGACCTATCCTATCTCGCTTTCTTTTACGAGTGATTCTCTCGTCACCCATCGGACAATCTCAACTGACCCATAATCACGCAATTGTATCTCGATTATCAGGTGTGAAGTGATGATGGATGATACGGCCCTGCATAAGCAACCACGGTCCACCGTTATGATGATACTGGTCTGCACCAGATACGCTACCCCCGCCAATACATTGGGTATTGTTTCTCACCAGGATGGCCCATACTGATTAACCTCAGATCTGGACTTTTTTTTTCTGCAGTCGACAAATGCAAGCTGACGGGCTGATATCGCATGGCCATCGTCACGTATAGTCCCTCTCTCCCAAACACCTAATTGTCCAGCGTCGATGTTGCGCAAAGTTCTTATTTCTGTCAATAATCAAGCGGTCCAAGAGCTTCGTTCCGATTATCTTTTGGCCTCCATTACCTTGTTGACGACTGAATAATGAACCTCGCCACCTCTTCCTGCGGGATCACTTCGGACTAGTTCGCTCAGGCCTCAGACGCCGACTTGAAGAATAATAGGTAGTGCCTAGTATATCAAGCGCGACGTCGCATTGCTTAAAGAGTATATAGAGGCCGAAGACGGATGCAGCCAGATACGACCCAAACAATTCGAGCTAGGGTTAGGGTTCCCAGGAGGACGATCTCCGTTTCTCGCGAACACAGCTAACGGACTGTGATGATATCTATGTGTTTGGCTCTGGCATTTGATGACGCCACATTTATTATACGGCGACGTCGACGCACCGTTCTGTTGCATTGTCCAGCCAGGCCATGGTAAGCTTTGGGCTGTCTGTCGTTCGCCAACCCTTCTAATCAATTTTTTTGTCTTTCGATAGATAGGTTTTCAGTCGAGTTTATCTCATTCCAGCGCCAGGCGGTGATGTGTGCAACCATTCATCGATGCAGTGTTCTGTCAAAGCCATTTCGCTCTTTAACGTTCTGAGGGACAGGGTTTCTACCATTCTACCATCCCGAGTGAGGGCCACGCCACGCTCGGGCTTCTTCGTCTTATTCTGCCTTGGTGAGAGTGGAGTTTGATCCCCACGGCGTATTGCACCGCCATTTTTGCTGTTGCACCGTTCTCGGAGAACATCGGCTGATATCCTGTCCTTTGGTTCTCATCGTTGTATCGCGGCAATTGAGCGCCGAGGCAGAAAAGGAACGCTACGTTCTGTCCATACATATATGGGGTTAGGGTTCGGCCCGTCCCTGCCGAATCAGAAGAGGACAAAGTGGACTGGGATTACATCCGTATGCCTCAGTTTCGTTGCAACCCGTGCGTCTATCACGGTTCGAAGGGATGATGCGACACCGATTGACCGAGATTGCCGTAAGTTGAGCTGTCTGTGGTTTTCCAGCCCTTCGAACGCAGGATCGTTTCACTGTGATTATCGTATGCAGGTGCTGTTGCTGCAGCCCTCGTCCAGCACCTACGATGGACGACTTCGAGTGTAGCTGTGTCCATGGATGGGCAGTGATTGCCGTGCCTTCAGGAGGGAACGTGGTTAAGAAATGGAGAGGGTGGCGTACTTCGAGTAACGTATTCGAATGTCCGGACCCACGGAGTACCCAAACTCAGCTCGTTGTTCGACAGGAGTCTACATGGTCGTTTGGGCGTTTTCGGTCTATGCATCCTGTGATGCTGTGTTGGCATCTACAGTCAAGATATCGCCATGGAAATTGGAAGAGGCATGATTCGCCTGCTCGAAGTGTAAGTCCTTGTTTCATGCACAATCGTTCCAGTGCTAAGAACATGATAGTATCCTTCAAAGTTCGTGACGGTGATGCTATTACTACTACAGTGGTGGTACATTCCAGTTACGTATGCGGTCCGTGATGCTATCGGGTGTACAACATGCTTGGTTTGCTTCCTCTCTGGCGTCCGCGTCTAAGCTCGATACCTCACCCTCCTCAAATGCATCCGCCATTTGTTCTCCTCCCCGTTACTCCTCAGACGCACGCTCAAGCCGTCAAACATTGTCGTAAAATGACTCCTCTTATCAACAAGCGTCCCACAGCCACATCCACACCCCTCCTTATAGCACCCGCCAACCACCTCTGGCTTGAGCCGCTCTCGTAACACGCTCTGCATCCGTGCGATCACGTCATGTACTGTTACGATACCGCCGCTTGCTGCGTGGACTTCGACGTTGAACCTCTCGACCTTGTCTATCTCGACGAGGATGTATACCCTCCCGAGAGGCGGGTTAGAGGCGGGGTCAGAGGCTACGTGCGGGTGGGGGACGATGCGGCTTGAGGAGAAGAAGTCGATGGGCTGGCATGTCCCTAGACGAAGGACTCGGTGGATAGAGAGACGCCTGCTGGATGGAAGAGGAGTTCGAGTAGACGCGTAGGGCGAGTGGACTCCGTCGTGGGGATGCGAGATGGAGTGACGTCGTGGTCGTGGAGAGGGAGAAGGGGCTCGAGGAGACATACTGGGACGAGGTAGCTGCACGCTAGTGGTGGGTCTGTGCGAGCGCCTTTGCGGGGGGAGCTGAGGGAAGGGCGACGGTGGCCGCAGACATGGGCGAGGAGCGGGAGATAGGCGATGTCGTGGAGATGAGGGGGACCAGGCTGGTGAGTGGGGAAGCGGGTCAGACAGCGGTACAGGACTGACGAGGAGCGTCACATAGAAGGGCGACGGCGCTGCATAGCGGCTAGAGTCGTCCTCCCAATGGACTCGTTTAGTGGCCACGGGCGACATAATAAACTATATAGTTGAGTACTGCGATGAGGATCGCGTCTACCAATTTATACCCATGTGAAACTGCGTATGGTATTTACTAGATCACATTATCGTTGCTGTATACGTCTGTCCCGTTGCTCCGAGCTCCATTCTTTGTTCCGTTCCTTCGTTCCGTCTTCGACGAATTTGACGGTTGCAAACTACGCTCAGGAGTCCGAAGTCTAACGTCCCGACGTTTTTTCTCGGAAAGCGGGGCTGGCTGTTCAGCAGTGGAATGGGTATCTGAATTCTGATTCTTAAATAAGTCCACCGGGTCTTCTCAGTTTATTCCCCTCTTATTATTATTAAGTTCTCATGCAGCTGGCACGACTCTCTCCTAAAACGAACTCCTGCATACTGATGGACTCCAAAGAAGGGTATGACGTCGTTCCCATCGACCTCAGCCCGGAGGCACTTGGAGAAATAACAAATAATCATCATGCTCAAATTCCTAATCGGCTGTTGACGTAGTGAAAGACCCATCAGATTACACAAGTTACAGGCAGAAACTCATGCCATGGAAGAACCGGGCGACCTGGGCCGGCGGAATTGGCAAGAAAACTAGATGTTGGCAAAAAAAAAATCTTTGAGTGAAAGGCAGACTCGGAAGAGGTCCAGAGGGATCGACATCCTGCTGATCCAGGGACAGAGAGGGAGTCATCATAATAATAATAAATGGTATTTCATCCCATTCCGAGTCCCCTGGTTAATGATGGCTATGCAATCGCAGCGATGAAATCCGGTCGTAGCCGAAAAGTCGGTCTAAATAATACATAATCAGGGACTCCAGCCACATGGCATGAGGGAAAATTAATGCGGCCTGAGTATATCTACTTGTTATGGTGGCCGCGCCCTCGACGTCGATAGTGTATTGACCAATGACCATAATCCATGCGCTGACCAATCGATCTCGGTCACTCGCCCAGCCATTCGCGCAAGTCGTATTCTTCCAATTATCACAATAACCCAATATGACGGTCCCTCGTGATTTAGCCACCCCTCGTCATGACACCTGGTATCCTTGATGAGGAGTGGAAAGTTCCAAACGGGTTTGCTCTTCAAATATGTCCGTGATTTTTTGCTATCTTCATCTGACGCTTGCTTGGGAGCGGCATCTGGGGATAAGTACGTTGATTAATTCGAGAGAAATCATCATGAAGTTCGGCATTCGCTTCAATGATAAGGCATCCATCCAAGTCGAACATTTTCACTCAAGGCCTTATCATGGATTAGGGAAAGTCATCCATCATTGGGAACGATGCTCATCAACAACCCTTGCGTGTGCACCACGGTTCTTTATTCCTCGCAGTTCTCCCAACCGCTGCAGCTGGGAGGATATGGAAGCTGTGCAAGAAGGATCCATGTTTGTGTCGTTATCCGTATCACGGATGCAGTAATTCCATGAAAGATTGATACGCCTGGAACTGGGCACCCTCTTGCTTTTCTGTTTCGCCTTGAGGGATATGGCGGTTAAAATGCGTAGGTACCATCGCAAGACTTTGTGTGAGTTTCATTAGCCACAGATATATAAAGATCAAAGGACGAAGGGTATGGTATGTACCTGTGTGTTGAAGTACTTGTGGAATGGTCTATAACTAACGCAAGTAAACCCACTATGGTTTTGATAATAGATATCATAGTGCAACAACAAGGACCGTGGGATGACCAATGTCTATGAGGTCAGTGACGACGAGGGAGACGTGCGTACGACAATAAAAGATTCAATGGCGGTGAAGTAAAAATCAAAAACGACACCGTGGATCATAGTTCGTGAGTAAACCTGCAATTCCACATGATCAACGTCGGGTTCAAAGAGCGAAAAAAAAAAACAGAAGCGTACGATTATTACTAGTGAAGATAATGAGCTTGCCCATGACAGATTTTGTCCTATGATTTTCAGTTACAGGTACTGAATGGAAATGAGGTCTATTCCTCGACGACTGTTCCATAGACGGTCTGCGACACAAATATGAGTTCTTATTCCAGACGCAATCGTGTATCGAAGGTCGTCTAGATTTAGAACCGGACCTGGAATTCAAAGACCAACTCTTACGAGCAGAGATTACGGTGTACGATGCCACTTCTGTCATATGAGAGACGCGGATGTGTTTCGCGGGAAAAAAATTCGGAGAAGGACGAGAGACGTAGTATTGATGAAGGATGTTCATGATTGTCCATAAAGAGCGGGAGAAGGACTTACTAGCAGCCAACACTAATACCTGAGGCTGAGTGAAAAGACAAGAGAACCGTCGTTATGAAATAAAGAGTCTACGTAAACTACACGTGCACCGAAAAACCTCAAGAACCTTCCCTTCGCTCAGGAAATATATCGACGACATACCGCACCGAACGCATGAGACCGAGGAGCGGACCAGCGTTTCAGACCGACGTTTACTGATACATGCGAAGCATCTCTGGAGCATGCCAAGGAACACATATAGATTCCAGAAGTTGGAAAACACCAGTGAAGCCAGACCAGAAATATATCAACGCAGGTGAAAAGGCTAAGTTTCATGCTGAGTTAAGGACAGGGGAGTCCAGCTGCAGCTTGTGGTCAAAAGAGAACCTCTGTACTGTGATAAATGAGCTTTGAGCAAGAAATATAGCGTTGGATATGACAAGCTGGCACAATGCCCAGTAGAAAGCTGCGGAACTTCGGGCCGGACCTTTTGCCGCCGAGAAATTGGCATCTACTACCCAACATCTACCTCCTCGTGCTCTTTGACTAGGATCTTTTCGAGAAACACGTCATTTTGGCCCATCTGACTTCTATCTGTTACTTTTGTTGGCACTTATTCCCCAAAATCCGATTCTGATCCTGCTGGTCGACATTCAAGTTTGTGGGGCCAGGGCCGACCACTACCACATTGTATAACAACGAGAGGCCAAACGGGCAGGAAATTGCGATCTGATTGAATGCAATATCTCATACATATAAAAAGACTGTAAATGATCCATCGCAACATTACTCAGGTTCATTCAATGGTCAGTAGCATGTCAGCAGTCCCGGAAAATGGTGACGACACTTCCTTTGAGCATCATTTGCACTGTTTTTCAGACCAAAACCATTCGTTTAGGACGTGAACCCGATGGCCATCCAGTTTGTTCAACGTGTCTACGATAGCCCTTCGTACTAATTTTGATTCTTTTGAAGCAATCTTACCGCGCTTAAGGTCGATGGCCATACAGGTGACTATTCCACAGGTTTGAAGATGCTATCATTTATGACTTCTCATCAGCAACTTCCCTGCGTCGGGAGCCGCAATAACTGACAACGTATTGAGGAAACCAGGCAATGGAAGATCGGGCCGCATAAGGCCGTGCGACTAGACTGCGCGGACTCCGAGTCGGTGCGGAGAAAAATTTCGAACCTGTCTGATGCATGTTTCAAATTTGGTTGTTTCTTAATCATGGTGGGTCTCCCTTGGATTTTTTACATTCAGAAAACATACCGTTGAGTCTGCATACGATTTGTACTGACGCCTGCTGTGTTCCTGCTTCAGGTGAATTCAGGTTTGTAGGCCCGCATGGGGATCATGAGTCATCACCTCCCTGATGGTTTGGTCAGACAGTGGGCATAAATGATGACTTTAGAATCTTGACTGCTTAAAACTTTTTGCTCCATTTTCTCTCCCAATGTCTGGCCAATTGATTACATCTCCCGATGGTACTCGCATTTGGGCTGATGCTACAGGCACCCCAGGAAAGCCTCCCGTCGTCTTCATTCACGGTTTTCTTGGCTCAGGCCTGAACTGGATTAAGCAGTTCAATGACAAGCTATTATTGGACAAGTTGTATATGGTACGGGTTTCCCCCCCATGTTAGCATGGTTTTTAACATCGATACTTCCAGATCAAATACGAGGTGATCCAAAACCACGCTTCCTCGGGGTATTCCTTTTATTCCTTCAAATAGACTCGTGGACACGGTCGTAGCGACCAGCCGGAATCAGAGGACGCCTACGCTTCTGCCAAACACGCGGAAGACTTCCAGGCAGTGTGCGCCGCTTTCGATGTCACGAAACCGGTTATAGTAAGCTGGTGCGAAACTTTACTCTGTCCTTTCCCGTTGTTAATCTTAAAATCTCGAACCTAGGTCGCTTGGGGGTGTCGTCGTACCCGAAATCCTGTCTCGATACGGCACGCACCCCGTTCCAGTGGCTGGGCATGTCATGCTCAACGCCTTACCCTGGATTTCTATGTCGCGGGAGATCGCCAAACCCTATAACGCTACCATCATCTCTTCGATCCGGTCTCCCCATACCACCGAATTCCATAATGCGCTGAAAGAATTTATCGGGGCTTTTGTCGCTCCTGGAAATTCAGTTTCTTTCGAAGATCAATGCGCGTGGATAGGCAGTGCAGCGGGCATGGTGAGTTTGATTGGCGCCAAGTTTCTGATCGTAAAAGGCTAACTGAAGGGCAAAGAATATTGCTGCACGGACATTTTCGCTCTCACGGGAGCAAGATGAAACTGCCTTGCTCTCTGTTGCTAATGAGTTGCCGATACTCTGTATCCAAGGTACAGAAGACGTGCTGGTAGATGTGGAGAAACATGAAGAGTTTATGAAGAAACATTTTGGAAACAATTTGGACTATCGACGACTTCCCGGAGCGGGCCATGCGCCTTTCTATGAGTTCCCTGAAGTTGTGAACCCAATGATTATACACTTTGCTGAACGCATGTATGATAGCGCGTACTAGGATGTATTCTTTCTGACACTTGATATATCTGATAGCCTAAGAGTTGCTAGACTCCTTGAAGTTTTAGTTAAGATGGTTGACTATAATAAGCTAATAAGAGTCATTTTCCTGGGGCTAGGTCTAGAGAAGCTGCCACTCAGGACTTCTCAATGGAGGAAGCTAGCGCGATGGTAAGAGTTGAACAATGCATGCGGAACCCTAACCTTAGGACATTCTTACCGCCTTCTCCCGCTTACCATCAAGATATGACGATCATACTTCTACTAGTGTTCTACTAGGCTCTACTGTGCTACTCAGACGCCAGATTAGTCCAGCTCTTCCTTGTCAGCAGACTGATATTAATCGTTTGATATGCATCTCAATCTCAAAATTTTTTATCAGTACTGACTCGGAGGTCCTTGCGGCAGTATCCACAAGGGGACCAGAGGCATGTAATGCGATCTCCTCTAGGAAATGGCCCAAACGGTACTTTGTTGTTTCCACGGTCTTCGCTACGCCGCAGACAGCAAGAACGTACTCACGGTCTTAGCGGTACCGGCAAGTTTCCATTGTTTTGTCTGCGGAACAAGGAGTCTGGAGCACTGGATTTCTTGTTTGAATTTTCTTCGAGGTGCGTACCCTTGTCTTTTCGATGAGCTTTGTATTAACATGCACCCGATTACTACCAGTCATCTGAATGCGGTTCTTGTTGACATGAATCAGATACCGGAACCCACTTTCCGTGTGGCTTTCTGTGCCAGTCCTTCGCTCTACAGCTTCCCGACGAGTGTAAATTGGCGTGAATTTGTCATTGCCTGTACCTCGTGCTATCTCCACTTTTCGGGATCTCCTAGCCTCGTGCCCCTTCGAAGGTAGTTGGTTTATATGGGTCCTGCAACGTGTTTTCCGCGAGGCATCACGGTCAGGTGAGCGCTTCGGTATCTTTGTTCTAATGGAGTTCATCTGAAAAAATTTTCGTCTCTGGCCAGGGTAAGCCATATCTATGGTTCCCTCCTTCCCAATATCTGCATACTTAGTCTGTCTTGTGGCGGGCAAGGATACCTGTCCCTAGTCAAGGGGTACCACTAGCGCTCCTCCCGCGGTGAATAGAGATTCGGATATTCTTACACCTATTCTCAAATTATTCCGTCTTCCTTCCGCGAACTCCTATGTGCTTCGCTTCTTACATTTGGCAGGGGTGAGATTTGATTGCGCGCGCCTGTGGGAAAGCAGTTCCGTAGCTATACCGTCCGCCTTGGGCTGCATTAGCATCACGGATTGCGGTGGCCGACGAACACAGAACATGTACGTCAGATGTCATCTGCTGCCGGAGCACTGCGCTAACCAGGCTGTGTAGATGATACAGTGTGTATCTTCGCCTGCATGTTCCTTTTTGGGACGTCCGGTCGAGCTGTGCTCTAGGCGGACACTGCTTACAAAATCACATTAGTACGCGTCAACAACGAAATTCAGTGCTATTTAAAGCTTCGAGTCAGTAAACTCTTTCTTCATTCCCCCCGCTTTCCTGACCTACCATGCCCGTCAAACAGGTGCGATTCGCCCTCGATCAAACCCACAAGGTGCCCTCAACACCTTCTCCTGCCAAAACCTCGTCGACATTGCCCTCGTCGAGAGGGTCCTCGTCGCGACAAGAGTCGCGTCTTCCAGGGCCGACTCCTTACACACTTCCCAGACCCAAAGTTCGGGTCATTCCACAAGTGCATTCACTACTCATGGTCGCGAAGCCCCCTGCAATCAACTACGACCTCACGAATCACCCCTCCACCATAACCACGCCCTATTCCACCCTTTCTTTCAGACCCAATTCACTCTCTGAGCCCGCCATCTCCCCTCCCATTTCCCACCTAACGCTCACATCCCCCCACCTCCCTTGGCGAATCTCTGTCCGTCCATTGCTCAACGGCGCCTATGTCACCGTCTCTGATGTTCTTCACGCGATGTACAATGGGCTCCGGGAGAACATCTCTCCCGCCGAGTTCTACGGATTGCCCTCGAAGACGGAGATTCGGAGGGTAACGGACGCGTATGAACAGCGATACCGGCGCATAAAGAGCCGGAGCGGGTCGTATGAGGAGAAGAAGGCTGGTGTTAAGCGGGTCGACTTTTTCATGGGGCGGACGAGATTTGCTGGGCTTTCGCCTAGCTCCAAAGGCCCTGATGTCTGGGTTATGAACATCCTGTGATTGGGATGTCGCCCTCGAACATTTTCGTTTTTACATTCCTCCAAAAGCTCACGCATCGGATACCGTACTTTATTTTTCTCCCAGTCATTGCGCAATAGTTAATTTATACCGACAATTGTTTATGCATCACTTTGTAGCACAGTCATCGTCTCTCTGCCTTGTCTCATGACCTACGTACTTACGTTGCTTCCATTATGCCAACTATATGATTTATGACCTTCCGATTGGCTGTATCTGCCATGGACCCTGCAGATCTTCGGCGTCCAGGTCCAAGGATCCTTGTCTTCGCACATCAAATGACTGCATGGCTGTACCGATTGGCCCGGTGCATCGGGACACAAACTAATGGGAGTAGCAAGATGAAACAAACAAAAGCGGAAGGCCGTGCGCTACAGTCATGTCAAACTCGGATCTCGAACGTCATCACTTGTGTTCGCCCGAGTTCATATCGGATTCCAAAACTCAGTGTAATTTGTAACCTGGCCAACTGCTATTGGGACCAAGACGAATAGCGAAAGAGCAGTGGAGGTGAACCACAGACACCCTCTGTGGAAATAGAGAGGCAAAGGAGTTTGTTCGTGTTGACCTTCCTTAGTTCCGACGTACATTTTGGTGTTGCTCGAGCATCCTTCTCCAGAGCCTGGAGGCCTTCATTACCTGCCTATACACTCTCGACGTCCTGCGGCTAGAAGAACTAGATGGATCTTGGAGCAACGAATCATTCTAGTTACGCTCAAGAACACGGAGCGCAGGGGATGGTAGCACCGAAAAGCAAAGCATAAATGACGCTATTGTTTCAGAGCCCATCAACTTTCACGAGGGCCAACGATGCCGAAAGTATGAGGAAGTCCGCAGCACGGCTACATCATATGCAGAGGAGAGAACAGGATACTATCTGTAAAGCGAGATGAGCTTCGGATCAACAAACAGTGCAGATATCAATCCCACCCTTCAGAAAAGTCTCTGTTATCCTAACCCGATTTCTTCGGCAACTCTTCATTCAGCCTCCGAATGACTGCAAGCTGATACGCGGCAAGGTCAGGAAGCGACAGAGCTTGCTGCTGCATGAACGCTAACGTCTGAAAGAAAGACAGGTCCCAGAGCTACACTGAGACACAACTATCGCCCACCAAAGACGCACATGGAGACTGATACATGTCAACCCAATATTGGTGGCATCGAAGAGACGAGCATGGCAACGTAATATCAGTTTATCCGGTATTATCGGACACAGAAGTCTCTCCCCGTCATGTAAGGTCTCGACGTTGGCCAAAATTTAAACGCGTACGGGGACGACTGCTATCCAAGCAGCGACGGAGAGAATCAAGGATATTAACGAAGGTCGGCACCGAAAAGCACAGCACTGGTGTCACCGATCTTGATATATGACTTTCGAAGGACCCGGATTTACGCAGCACCGCAATAAAATTTCTGTGGCTCCGCAGCGATCACATAGAACATATTTTGTCTATCAAAGGACGTCAGCATCAATCAACGCAAACTGTATCCACCGATCTCACCCTTAGGCAAACAACAGCCTCCGCTTCCTCTCCGCCAGCTCTTCATTCATCTTCCCATCCAGTTCCGTCCTCAAAGACACCCAGTCTGGCTCGTCAACATCCGCGAGATACGTACCCTCCGTGGCACATCGATCCGCCTCCTCATTCCCTTCGACACCCGTGTGCCCGGGAACATACTCCAGAGCGACCTTCCGTCCGAGCCGTTGCACCCTCTCACGGAGCTTTGCGAGGTAGCGAATGATCGGCGCGTTCTCGATGGGTTTTTTGCGATGGCTTCCCACGAACCCGTTCACCTGCCAGGCGGGAAGCCACGTCTCCAAGCCTAGACCATGGACGAACATGAGTGCAACGAAAAAACAGAAATAGGATGAAACCGTACAGTTGATGGAGTACTTTGAGTCAGTTTTGATGGTGAGCGGGGTCGCCATATTCATCGTTTGCTCATGAACGCGTACGAGCGCCTATCGAAGGGGAAGTTGAGAACCGAGTGGAGCAAATAGATATGTCCTTTACTGACTATTAGTTCCGCTCGGTTATTGGACTGTCTCCCAGGACATCGTTCCGAGATGTTGCTACGAAACGGTCTGCGATCAGAGTCATGTTGATACATAGAATGATAGCCTACTCACCGCGAATCACCATGGCTCCACCAAACACCTACACCCGCAATAGCACCGATCTTGCCATTCCCTCTGCAGGCGCCATCACAATAGACGGTCACAGCGTCGCTAGCTGGCCTGATCCTTAAAAGCGGACCCAGCCCAACGTACTGCTCTGCCTCCCTCCTCGTTGGGAACTTCTTGTACTTGCATCCCGAGAATCGCGTTATCTGTCGTTGGCACTCCGTCCTGCGTGCATAAAATCAGGGCTGCGTTCTCTTTTGAACGTATCATTAGGTCGTACCATGTCGTGTAGATACCCTTATTCCTCCCGACTTTCACAGCGTAGTATCCAGCTGGCTTCTTCGCAAAGGCACTGCGAGTAGCGACTGCGGTCTCATGCGAAGATCCGATGTAGTCTTCTGCATCCTGTTTGGCCACGAACTTTTTGTACTTGCTGCCAGGGAATCCATCAGTCTGGATTTGACATTCAGTCCTGTGAAAAGAGCAGGATAAGCTGAGAAATTGGGGCAAAGCGGGTATTGAGCAGACCATGATGAGTATATACCCTTGATTCTCCCAATTTTGACGGCGTAGAACCATGATTTCACCTTGCTCATCAAAGAAGGTGGTTGGTGTAGTGGTAGGAGGTAAGGAACCGGAATAGACGGACCGGGAAGGTTGGAATCAGCCACGTGCTTCGTCTCGATTCGCCCGCTTGACCATAACCAATGGTTTATTATGTAAATTAAACCAAGTATTTGAATCTCAATGCATATTCTGGATTTATCTCCACCACTGCTACAGTGATCTGTGTTGGAAAGAAAACCAAGGGATAATATTGTTTTTTTTTTCAAGAAAGGCAGGCGTCTCAAGCCCAAGAGCTGCTTTCGCACTCTCGGCAGTCATGCACAGCACTGGAATTCTTCCAACTGTATCCTAATAAGGTTCTTACACCCTCTCGTGACCGGAATACTACGTTTTACAATCCCGCCTAAGCAACCATTGGGCCATCCATATCATCTATGCTAATCTCAACAGTCTTCTGAAGGTAAGGCATGCGCTATTTCCGCCATAGTACATGCTCAAGGTAGATTATATACAGGTTATCCCAAATAGGTATCACCTCATCTTTGCCCCGGCACTCCGAATCAGCCCTCTACAGCATCACCCTGATACTATGGTCTGGCATGGTGCCAACTTCTTTACCCTTCAAAAATACCAATGAAACACCACCCAATCGAGGAGAATAACAATGAAGGCATCAATATCACTTAACGTGTTTTCTGTATAGATTACTACTCGAATGTGCTCCTGACCCCTCGGTACAGTGGAGAAGGGAATCACTCGGGTGAGTACCCCTTTGAAATTGAGATATTCCACTAGCTTCAGCGACAGACTCGTGAGCAAAGGGAATATTGGCGAGACAAGGGGGTCGTTGCTTCTGTCAGCTGCGCACATGGCCAGGACGGATTCTGGAACGCCTTCCAAAGCTAGCCGGAGTTCGGCGGCAAGGTACTGGCTACACTCATAAACTTCTTTCCGAAGCTATAAAGTGGTTGGTTAGCAATTTATTCAAAAACGTTGGGACGAGGGCTTTCACTCTATCACCTTCAGGGCCAGAAATGAACTCGAACGCGCTTTTTATCGCTATAAGGTGGAGATGGGGCATCGACGTCATGTATAACAGAGGTCGAGCATAATTGACAAGGTACTTCCGAAAAAAGGGGCACGTAAGAATGTCGGCTAATGATACAGTTCGGGTCACTTCAAACAATAGAAGGAGACTAAAAGTTTACTGCCCGTCAAATTTGGCTTTCTGAACGTGTGAAGGACTGTGTCGATTTCGCCCCACCACCCTAGATGTGCCACATACCCCCACCCATGGGGCCATACAGCCCGGTTGTATGTACCTCATCCACGACCACATGTCTATATGCCTTCGGTTTATAGCAATGGAGAATATCAACGGTCTGCGGCAAGGGAGAGAAATCCCCATCCATGCCATACAAGCTCTCTACTGCAATGAAGACAGTCGATTTCCCGGCAAAAATCTGTGGTACGTCTTCAAGAGCTCAGCTAAACAATTCTCAAAGAACATGAGGGAGTTGTGGGAAAAGGGATACACGTTACGTGTCCACGCCGCTGTGATCCCATCCCTCACTGATGCTTGGATGAGCTCGTCAAAGACAATGACGTCCTCGGCCTGGGGCACATATTCAAATAACGCGACACTGGAAGTAAACGAGAGGGCGGAGGGTGTATTAAAGTGGGATTGGAGATACATCTCCGTTTCGACGTGATTTGGGCTGTTTCCGTTGAGCAGGCGGGAACTAGTAGAGCAGAGAAGGCTCTTGGATAGGCTGAGCGCAATGAAGACATCCTTGTTCAGCTGGGGGGTGGTGGTGGTGATGGAAAGTTAATCATTGGAGAAGAAGTCGAGAACGTTGGTGGATATCGCAGGGCGAAGAAGATCGAGCACTGACTTGTCAATTTTGGCCCGTTTGTGGAGATTCCTTTGCAGTGAGATTTTGAGTGCGGTATCCATGAAGAGCGAATGGTGAGGTAGGGCATACTAACGTACTAATTATACTACAACCTCATCTTTTCTTAGGTCCGCCAACTGTAGAAAGGCAACGCTCACAATAACTATAGCAGGTAGCCGAACGGTGTTCAGCATAGTTATAGATCATGTGTTAATTTATTGGGGTGTGAATAACTTCACTGTGATGAATTTCGAGACGATAAGATGCTCTCGGCTCGTACATATCCGAACTGCTCCATGGTTATGCAGTTCTATGTTTGGATTGTTACCTCACGTCCAGATAACTCATCTGCATCGCACGTGTTCCATAAACATACGAGTATCAGGGTTTCATCGAACGCGTTTCGTGGCAAGTTTCTTTTTCATTCACAGCGTTCTGAATAATGGATGGAGTGAGGTCGGTACAGAGACTAACACCTCAGTTGTGAAAATTTATGTCTATGCAGAGCACGAAGTCATTGAAAGAGGAGAACTAACGATTCATGAATGATGTTAGGTTTAGGTGCTTAGGTTGAGCACATCATTGACATTTTATGAGATTGACTGATTCCAACCAGGTACCTCCTTCGCTTGCTTCCTCCGTTTGTGATTACAAAGGTTATTGGCGAACATTGAATTGGGCGAAGTCAGCTTAGCTTTTTGGTTTTACTTTCGAATGGCCATTTTTACGCGTGACGTATTTGCATCCCCTAACGCCCATGATCTTTATTATTTGCAGGAACGAACTGAAGTCTGAGTGGCATGTTTGGATTCGAGGTGGGCCCGGTCAGCTCTCAGTTACAGTGATCAGAATGATCGAGAGTTCCTCTCGGTAATCGCGGGAGGACCCCGAATATCCCGACCGATGTCTGCCCAAATTTCGGTTTTTTGGCATTCCGGATCCACACCTGTCCTCAGACCTCCAAAAATCACGTTTGAGTGCCACGGCAGGGATACAGACTGTATTTTGCCGCTTTTTAATAATTTATACCTTCAAATACATGTCGACATTGTAGGATAAATAGCCGACATGAACTACCGTGCAATATACCTGGACAAGGAGACAAGGAATCACCCAGTGTGCCGCCCGAATGGTGACTTTTGTTGCTGAGTAAGGGAAAGATGGGGGCTCAGGGATGATGGCAGTAGCGATATGGGCGCCTCTTTCAAAACTTCCGAGCGAAGTAGCATTGAAACTGGGCCCTGCTTGTATAAGCGCAGACCGAGATGTCCTTTGATATCTCCTTCGGGCCTCGAGAAGGACTCTTCCATGTGTGGTTTACTGAGCATGTTCAGATCGTTGGAGAGGTCAGATTATTGATTTATTGCAGTATTGGATAATTGGGTAATCAGATCTCGTGCGAGTGGGTCCAAGTTTCGAGAGCTTTGCCGATAGTATGGAGGCCGTGTCTCCTGTTCTTGAACAGAGCTGTATATCCTGGTCATGGAATTCAATCAGGTGCATAACAACGGTGATATGCCTGCGCATGGGTCTCGTCCTTTGGTCTAGGCCAATGAGAGTGGATCACCGTGCATATCATCGACCATAAACACTGCCGTTTGGCGTAGGAAGGATCTCGTAGTGCTTTTCACCAGACATGGAATATGGTGCTCCCTGAAGAGCGCGATGTTCGCGTTTGAGCCCGACAGTGGGGTCGGAGCGTACTTCACGTATCGACATGGGTGGATTAAAAATGCGATGATGAGACGGAGTTCAACTCTAGGGAGAAAATCAAACTCCGATGCTGGGCGAGGACGAACTAGACCGAGTGTGGGAAGCGGGCCGCTTTCCAAATCAGGATTACACAGCCGTCTGCCATTTGTTCGTCTACCCATCCCTGCAGGATGCACATTCTCTTAACATACCAGTTTGTGTTCCATCTCTACTTGTTCCCAGTATGTCTTCACCCCCAGAGACTACCTTTGGCACAGATGCCACCGTACGGATAGCAACTGGAGATGATGTCGAAACAGCTACTACCGTATTGACGCGTGCTTTTTGTAACGATCCAGCCATGAATTGGTTGGAATGCGTCAAGAGGGAAAACAAAGTAACAGACTGTAACTCCACAAGTCCCCCAATCTTACAGACCATGGAGCGTCTTCGGCGTTTTCAGCGCTGCATTGTCAAGATTACTATGCTTGTTGGGGGCGTCGTGACGCTCGCCGTAGTACCATCGAGCGACGAGAAAGGAGAGCGCGTCGTTGCCGTATCCCTTTGGTTGAAACCGGGGCAAACCTATGATCTGCCTCTGAGAAAGGCGCTCAAGGCTGGAGCCTGGCCCGTTGCGATGGGTTGGGGGATACGCGGTCTTAAAGTAGGTCAACTTTCTGATTGATTCAGAGTCCCAATTAAATTCGGTTCCACAGCGCCTCTTTGTGGATTTTACGCCTCAAGTGGAGAAAACATTGTTAAGAGCGTACAAAGCACGGAACCTTGATCGTCTGGATTCATGGCACTTGTTCGAAGTCGCTGTAGATCCAGATTGGCAGGGGAAAGGTTTGACCAGTTTTTTTTTCCCTTTATAGGAGCCTTCAAAGCTGACAAGCATATTTAAGGCATGTCTTCTCTTCTCATGAAAGACGGATTTTCTCGCGCTTCGCCAAAATCTGTACATCTCGAGGCGACGACCGCGAAGAGTAGAGACATATACGTTTCTTTCGGATTTAAGGTAGAATTCATCCCACTTTTGTTCGCGCATGTCTACTTACCTCATGCTCAGATCGACGAGGAATACTTATTTGGAAAAGGCCAGGTCGATTCTGATGGACTGGCAACTAAAGGTGCGGAAGCTACTGGCTACCCGGAATGGGTGATGACAAAGGTATGTTTGACATTGAGTTCATAACTGTTCTGGCTCAGATGCCATTATTTTCAAGTGGGAAACGTAGGAACATGTGCGTTCCAGTTCGCTCCAGCGCTTCGTCCTATCTGTCTGTCGTATTGCATCATTCTCCACTGATCGTATAACAGTATACAACTTTTGTGAGTGCCTATTATAGACTTGACTACATAGAAATGAGCCGACTCTGAGAATGTTTCCAACCGGCTAAGTTTCGGTGATTTTCGGTTTCACCATCGCTGTGCCCGACTGAGTGTCGTACTTATCCTTATCTTACTAATTCATCCAGGGAATCATCACTGATCCTGAATTTTCTGCTAACGATGTTCGCGGTGTGAACTTCAATAAGACCGATGATTATTTAGCAGAGGATGTACAGTTTCATAGTCGTTATGCAGCTTCGCTGTTCTCTAATTAAACGCACGTGTCAACCGCACCGCGTCAATTACATGATTGACAAAGTAGGCCTGTTGATCAAAATAATTCTTTAAATCTCCTTTTGGCATCACAGCTGGTTTCCACATCTCGGTTCTCTTACTCCATTTTGGTCCTCGAAGCCCTGAAAGGCCTCGGTCTCTTACATTCTCATGGCCTCTATTCACGCATCTCAGGCAAGAAGTCTCACTCGGCACCAGAATCCGCAACACCCAAAGCTCGCCAACTCGAGGTCGTAGTCCAGCTGCAGGCAAGAAACGTATCCGCTCTACTAAAGATGATAGTGACGAAGAGAGGGATGATGATAATCAAGGGGAAGATAGCAATAATCAGTATGTTTACTCAAAGGTTTCTGTCATCCTCAGCTAGAGAGACTGATCTGTCCTATAACATTGGACTGGGATGACGAAAGGTTTGTGCTCATCTTCTAGAATACCACATACTCATGGTTCTCTCAAGCGTTCATAGAGAACTGTTATCAGGTGACATCGAGATCACTACAGGTGACTGGCCCCATTTCTTCTTTACAAACTAAGGTAGTCAAAAATGTCGAGTCCATTACGATTTCTTCCATCCTTCTAGGAGAGGCGACTCAACAAGCCACTAAATGATTATTTTTTAAAAAGCCAGTACTGTATCCGGTGGTCTGAGCAGGGTAAAGCGAGAGCGCCGCTTAACAATAAAAATTACATGCTACATCAGGAAGAAGCAGCTTGGATCAGGTGAAGCACCACATCATTGTTTGATGGAACCAAATCTATTCAACATCGCATCCAGATGGAGCGTGCTTTCCTAACTCTGTCTCTCCCCCCAACATGCACATTGATATTGACTTTACTGGGTGAGCTTGAGTTCTTGGCTTTCGACTTATGTGGTCTATTCTTGCATGCCCATGGATGACTTGATGGATATGAAACATCTACGGCCGTCCACTGCCCACCGCAAGGACCTTTTGATTGGGAGGTTCGAGCTTCAGGATCAGGTTCCGGATGTGAAGACCATGCTTGGTATATAAATATAAACCAGGACTGTACACTGAGCAAAAGGATTGATATGCCTGTTCCAAATTAGGTGCACATAGTTTATAGGGCCCATCCAACCCCAAAAATTCCATCATGATCAACCTCTGTCTTGTTAGTGCACATAACCCATCTGTGATGAACAATTGACCAATACCTAATCTTCTGCAGCATAAATATCCAGTCTTAACCCACAAGGCTCACTCGTATCGGCATCCGGTGCATATCAAACCTCTCTGTGAGCCCTGCTGATACTCATCTCCATCTTTTTTACAAGGTCAGGAGGTGCCCAGACGTACAAGTTACCCCAATGAGAAGCGTCAGAATGTTCATCGGTCTAGATGGGTTTCATCTCGGACCAACTTAAAAAGAGATCTGCAGCTGGGCATGAACGTTTCAGTTCGATTGCCATTATCTTTTTTTTTTGTTAGCTCATGGTTCAATATTGCCAACTTTTGGAGAAAAAGTATATGTATGGAAAGCGGAGAATAGAGAAAGTTCATGGAATGGACTCCTGCTCCACGTCGTTTGTGTATATATTTAAGCATCTTGGGTGTTCCGAAATAGAGTGTGCATTTCAAGTGCTAGTGTCTAGCAAGTAGCACGAATAAACCATGGGGTTCTGGTTTAGGGAGGCTTGAGACTCGTGCATGCCAATTAGTGATATGTGGGGGGGGGATATGATCGTCGCTGAAGACCGACGACCACTGTATCGGTCACCACGGCTGATAATTCCACCCAATATTTCTGACAGAAGACCCCCTGAACAAAACTGCCACCCGTCCAGATGTCACGAGAGGTCCCAAGACCGGCGTTACATGTTCCATACAATAAAAAATAAAAACTTCACTTTCTGTTGAGGAATGAGATACGATTGTTCCTACCCAGTTTCCAGCTAAAATACTATGTGACTTTAAATAAATAAGAGGTCGGCGAGAAGCTCGCCGTATACTTATGGAACACAATATCAGCCCGATCATGTCTGAATCATCAGTTTCAAAAGAGGGATCACACCAGAACCAGAGCAACCTGTGTAACAAACACCACATTGAATCGACTGTTAGAATCCAGATCTAAAGAATGGATAACTCCATCTCGACACGTCGGTGCGTTAACAGACTGAGGAAAAGAGCTGGGGTAAGGGGCTGTGCTACTTAAATAGCGAGAGAACAAAGGAGAGTCCTCGGTGTTTGCCGAGAACAATAACCAGGCGCCAACATCGACGATGAAAAAAAAAAATTGTGGAGGCCATCCTCCTGGAAACACGGCTTTACCACTTAAAGGGAACCCCGAATGCATTTGTAGTGGTCAAAAGCCTGTGTCAAAGTTGCATACATACCATTTTCCGCGGGGGGTTTTTTTTTCCGCTCAGAAATAGCCCGCTTACTAGGAGTAGTAGCACGAAACTACAAATATCTACGTGAAAATCTCGTCTAAGAGGGATTCTTAGTCTGTAAAGAGACATAACACTCTGTGGCGATCCGGCAAGATGAGAGCGGGCTCTTTCTTGATAAAACACAAATTCAGAAGAAAGACGGGTGTGCGGGTAATGTAATGATTAATGACCCTTCAAAAAAAAGATCGCCGTCTGGTCCGAGTTCGGGAAGTAGGTACTTTCGTCGGAACCCCTCGCAGGAGGAGGGACAAAGTAAACTCACGCATCCGTCTGCCATCAATACACACAGCCCAACCTTGCGATAATTCAGAAAAAGGTAGTAGTGCGACGATCACTGCAAAGGCAAAGTTCAGATCGAACACACTCACTCTTCAGGGCAACCTCAGCGGGAGTGTTGGATTCTCAGGTAGTTGGAAGTCCTCCCCCCCCCCCCCGAATTTGGAGGCGCTACGCCAGCCTGAGTGTGATATATTTGATGAGAGGGTAGGGGGAGCCTAGGAGCCGACAATGTGCGAGCTAGACAGATGATGTCGCTCACTCGAGCGAATGGAGAAAAGCAACGGTACAAGGGGGCCATTAGGTTTGTAGACCCAACCAGACCGAAGACGGCCGTCAAGAATGAGTCTCCGCCGGCTGAGAGAAACGGCCAAGCTGAGCTGAGCATCGCGTCTCTCGGCCCCCCGGGGCCAGTGTCTTCCGCTCCAATTATATCTGAAGAACATAAACCAGACAGTGAGGACATACATTCCCTCTGCTAATAGCTAACTTCGCCTTCAAACAGCAATCTGCCGTTCGCTTTTCGTCATCAACCATCGGTGCAGGTGATGATGAAGGATGGCGCGCGCGCCATCCTTATGAGTTCATTTCTGAACGATATGACACTTTGTCTTTGCACGTCGTCTCACCTCATCTCCATTAAGCAAGTGAGGCGACTGCAGATGGTATGACACGACAACTGTTTTCAAGAGATTATTCGGCGCTATTCAGGTCGAGGTCGAGTCTGCATGGTGATGGAACCCGTACCGGTCCATCTGGTCGGTACGCCTATAGACAATGGGCCAAAGTGGGAAAACAAAAAAGAAGAGCCATGTCAAGCTCACCTCCCGCAGGAGCTCGAAATCTACATTAATGCTCCTGTGGACTGTGCATAGAAATGACAGACAGGCAATGATACCACCAGACGACCAACATTTCTGACAGTCGTGAGATGACACCTGAGGAGTCGGCCTATTTTCGGTTTCCAGCCTCCCCCCCCCTCTCTCTCTTTCTGATATCGAGCGTGCGCCACTTCCCGTAGAGGTCATTCGACGTTAATCCGAATCACAAGGCACCCGAAGTATATGCGCGGCCGTACTTGAGTTAGCATCATGCAAAATCCCTCAGCTAGCAATCATCGCGGTGAACACGCCAAGGCTCACTGTAACTACAGGCGTTCTAGTCCAAGCTATATCCACGGTACTACCCCATATATCGCGATTTCATGCTCCCAGTCCAGATTACCGGAAGACGGCTCGGGCTGGGGCTGTAAGATGGAGCAGCCAGCCCAGCCGTGAGGGCCCGACTCTCTTATCAGGAAAAAAAAGACCCGGAATCCGCACCTGTAGCTATATAGGCCAAATTCCATGATTGAAGGCGTTTCGAGAACAGCAAAAAAAAAAAAAATTTTTTTTAAATAAAAAAAGACGTGATGGTGGTGGTTTCAGTTTTGAAGAAAGGAACCCGGCCCGTGATCCGAACAATGCAATGCAGGGTCGTAGTAACATTGCACCGTTTTTAACCTATCCTCTTGCCATCTCGACTCCAGCTCTGGGCTACAGCTGCATACCCGATGCCCTTTATCAAAGTGCTCTTAGTCGCATGTAATTCCTTTTTTTTTTCGTCACATTGAAAACTTTGTTTTTTTTTTCCAGCCTTTCCCAATCGCGACTATTGCCACAATTCCATGAAGATAATTCCCGTGGGTGCCTTGTTCCCATCGTATGTGGGTGCTTTCCTTAATTTAGTTTCTTCAAACCGCCATGTTTCTCATGCATCACATCCCCTCACGTGTTGTAACTACCGGTTTCATTCACGTCTTCACTTAACGTCATTGTTAGGTCGGAAATTCCTAGGAACTATATCTGCTGAGTGTCGACGGACTAGCTGGGCCTTGTCGAACCCGTGTAACATAGACATGTGGATGGTGGGTTTGCAAAAATTCCAGTCATGGGGTTTTGTGTACACCGAGTTGACGACCAAACATTCTGGGCGTCAGTAAGATTCTCCTTAACTGGGCGTTCTCGCCATCCGCCGGAGAGTACTACAAGGAACGATGGTCAGAGTTACTTGTTGGGAAACTGTTCATCTGCCACCATAATACATAATATTGGTATATAAGCTCAGCATACGCAGTAAGTAGCATTGCCGCCAGATTATCGAACACGCTGCCATTCTTACGTCCATGCAAGGAAACTAATGCAGCTGTTGCGGCGCAATACACTGGCCCGCAGAAACCCATCTACTATTAGTATACACCATGTGATGATCTTCGCACTCCGACTATTAGCACTAACCATGCTGCATCATGTTCTTTACCCAACGTTCGAGCGGGCCATGGTCCACGCACGTGAAGCCTCCCTGCCCTTCGTTCGTACTCTGCACAAAGGAGTCGTAGTACAAATAAGGCATTAAATTGGTGTAAATGACGTTGCGTTACAAGCCAAGCCGTAGGTGGGGAACAAGATGTCAACGACTCATCCATCAATCGCGCGAGTTGGCAGAACACAAACGAAACGCCATCCGGAGACTGAAGCGTGAAAACTAGGCGCCTCACGCCATAGCTCGCCAGAGGGATGCGATGTAGCGAGTCCACAATGACTATTATTTTTCTCATTCATGACCCCAGAGATGCAGATCAAGCCACGAGCGCCGAGAGAAACCCAGTCCAATCGAAGAAAAACACCCCCCAAAACTGAAACATCACGCGCACCCCATCAGTTGCACACCACTCGTCTCAGTTCTGACTGGTCAAGGAACAGATCACTGCATGCCTGCCGCAACCGACCGGCAGCACGTTCGACCCGCAGAACACACGTTCAAAGACGATCCCCGAAGGAAGAGAAGCCGAGAGCTCAGGAAAAAAGGGGGGAGAAAAATTAAAATAAAAAAAACCAGATCCTCCGCCAAAAGTTACGGGTCGCGGAACGTCAGTTGGGAAAACTCTTTCTCCATCGTTAAAAAAAAAAAAAATAATCCTCGTCCGAGGCGCTCTTGTGATCACCCAGAACGGACGAAAAATTTCGCGGGCGGATCCACTTTTCCCACCGAAAGGAGCCCGATTGTCTGAGGGAACATAACAGTCGCAGTCACGGCGTCTGAGATGGATCTAGAGTGACCATATGACCGTCCTAAATGTGGCCTTATGACGGCAAATTATTGCGAAGTCTGAGCGTTACAGAAATTCAAAAGGCCGTCACGCCTGATTGCCCACGTTTAGCGCCATCGCACCAACACTGACTCTTGAGAGTTTATTTCTTCCCTTCCTTCATTCCTCTATCACCGCCGTCCGCGTCCTTATAAACCCAGCATCCCAAGGAAGAATCTGATGAACCGACCACGCTCAGAGGCCTCGCGCGACAGAGAAAGAGGCATGTCTGCATTCGGCGCCAAGATCAACCGAGCCCTTAGCGGCGAGAGCGACAAGAACAGACCCAGAAACAGAGAATCGTTCGCCAGCACACTCGTAGAGCCCCCTAGTGAGTCCCAGAATTCATTTTCCCGCACGAGATGGTGGCGGTAAGAGCCAGAGATAAGGCCCCGGAGCCTTATCTCTGCCCCCACGGGCATCCTTATCGCTTGCCTCTTTGCCCTTATCGCAGCTCTTATCGCAAAACGCCATCTCGTGATTTTCCTCTATTTCACGCACGTATGCTAACAGGGCTGTCGCAGGTGGCCCCACGACGGGTCGCAAGCCGCTGGTACGTGTCATTTTGCCCGTCCTGTGGGCTGGCGCAGACTCCTTTCCCTTGGCAGGCCTCATTCGGCCGCGGCGGTCTAGGAAACATCCGACCTCAACCCTCACCGCCCCTCCCACATTCTCCTCCAGACGAATCAGAGCCGCGAGGCAGAGATCGCACCGTCAACCCTCACATCCAACACCAAAAGGTGATTTGCTCCCCCCCCCCTTTCCTCTCACGCGTTCGGGGCTCACGCTCACTATTTGCGACAGCTCGTCTCCACCGGTCGTGGAGGTGCAGGGAATTTCCGCACAGCGTCAAACTCACCGCACGACGACATAAACATAATCAGGAAGCAGTCGAAAAGCAGCGACGGGGAATCACGGTCATCCGGCCGCGGGGGCTTGGGGAACATTACTCGTATTAGCGGAGCTCGTGAGCCCAGCATGACCACCGCCAAAATCTCTCCCCCCCGCTAATCGATAGGTAGGAGCAATTCCCGTCATATCACTTTCCCATGGCTGATTATTTTCGTTTCTCCAGTTAGGTAACCATATTGTAATATAGAAAAAATCCATGTACTACGACGACCGGTTAATTTATCTAGGACAACTCTTTTGCTCTCCACACCGCAAGAGGGGCGAATAATGCCTGGAGAAAGTCCTAAGAGTATACTCATCGACATGCCATGCTGCATCATTGTCCTGGGAGACACATGCCAGTGGCAGTATGTCATGAGGGTTGCGGTTGGAAATGCACTCTTCCTGCGGAATTCCGCGAAACAGGTGTTTCCGGCTCACAACGTTGAACTCGCCTGGGTCGACTTATTAGTAGTACACGGAGAAATCTTGGATGCATATGACAAGCCTAGCCGACAGGAAAACACAATCGTTGCATCTCTTTTTCCACATCTTAAAAGACAACCAGGTAGATAGTTCCCCACACCATGAGGTGAACAAGTCAGATGATGGACATTTATCGAAATGGACGTTAACGAACCAGTCCGAGCGTGCTACTTAGGTGAGTTATTTATCGACATATCCCGGAGGACCGGACCGGGACGTATTTGAATTTCTCCAGGCTCATGACTACGCAAAAACTTCTCTTTCGCTCGCACTCGCATCCGTCACGCCGCCTGCTGTTGCACATCGTCCGTCGAAAAAATGATGAGGAGGAGGAAGGTCCCCATTTCGCTGGGAGAAGAAGCAGGTGCATCGTTTCCCAGTCACTCACCACCCGCAAGGATGAAACTCCGTCGAGAAGTAAATGTAATGTTGGTGAGCTCGCTTGATCCTAGACGTCGCCACCACTAAAGACCACGTCAGCGTCCTACCTAGAAAGCGGTTGGAGCAGAGGACACGGCCCCTGTCGTGGACATTACATGGGGTCCTCAAATGGCCTTCTTATGCTGGAGAATTACCCACCGCCTACCAGAACATCCGAGAAACATCAGCTTTCAGGCAATAATCTTGGATTGAGAGACAGGGCAGAGTAGATGGAGGTGTGTCACAACGTCTCGCTGCCGTGGAATATTATTTTTTCATCACATCGGAGAAGGTATCGCTAACGGAGAAAACCCGCGGTGCGAGAGGCTGTCCATCCTTCTTGTTTTCAAGTCCTATGGAACAGAGCAAAATCGCACGCAGCGGAAACGAAGGGAGCGGTTCCGGTACACAGCAGCAGTTTGGCCAGCAACATCATGGGAGCAGAGGAAAAATCGTTTAGGTGCGCGCGATCCAGCGAGCGACTATCGTCGAAATAACTGAAGACTATATATAAAGGTAATTACGGCAAGTTCGAAACGACCACCGGCCGACCTTCTGCACTCTCGCCTGACCCCGACCAAGTCCAGAGAAAAATGCTCCCAAACCCCATCCCGGCCCTTCACCATGCAGAGCGCATGTTTAGTCGTTCGTTCAGCCCGTCGTTCGTCGTCGACATTCGGTCGTAGCTCGTACCTTGGCAAGCAGCGTGCTGCGCGTACCCATGTCAATATGGCCAGCCGGTCGTCTGGGTGGTTGATGTCTAGGATCCAATGGGACGAGGTGGACTCCATCGTTCAGCGTGAGTGACGTTCGTTCATACCAAGTGCAGGCATACGCTTATGCTGCGCCTCAGCTTCCTGACCGATGTACGCCGCACAGCATTTGGTCGCCGTCGCAGATGAGGCGCACTGACAGTCACATATTCACGAGACTATATTTTTGGGTAAAAACACTTGGAAAAATACTTTGCGGGTAAAGAATTGGAAGGGACAGAAATCCTCTCCTCAGTCAGTCCTGGTCTAGGAATGCGGGCCAAAACGGAAAGGGTAACGTGATGCCGGAAAGCGGTCCGTTGACCCGCTCCTTCCCTTTCCTCTACCACCAGCCACCTTGTTTGATGAGCAAGGTGTTCTACGCCGTCAAAACGGGGAGAATCAAGGGTACATACTCGTCATGGTCTGCTCGATACCCACTTCCCCCCTCCCCCCCAATTTCTCAGCTTACCCCTGCTCGTTTTCACAGGGACTGAATGTCTGATGGATTCCCTGGCGGCAAGTACGAAAAGCTCGTGGATGCAGAAGACTACGTCGGATCTGCGCGCACGTCACCCTTCTCGAAGAAGTTAGCTGGATACCACGCTCTGAACGTCGGGAGGAACAAGCGGCATGGTACGGTTCGCAACGACGAGGGAGGCAGAGCACTGCGTTGGGGCTGCGTCCGCGTCCGCTTTGGGGGATCAGGCCCCAGCTAGTGATGGTTTACTGCGATGATGGCGGAATGGCAAGATGTTGCGGTGAGGCTATCATTCCATCAATGTGAGTCTGATCCGCAGACGCAGACTGTGTTTCGTTAGCGACGATGCAGTCCAATAACCGAGCGGAAGTAACTGTTTGCTCGACTCGTCGTCTCCACGAGCGAAGGGCGCCGTCAAAACTGAACGACTCAAGGTACTCCCCCCCCATCAACTGTACGCCTTTTCCCATTTGGCCCCTTTTCGTCGCGCTGACCCTCTAGGCGCGGAGGGCGGCTTCGAACAGGTTCGTGTGGAGCCATCGCAAAAAAAAAAAAAAAACCCATCGAGAACACTCGCTGCCTCGCCAAAGCTCCGTGAGAAGCTCGCCCTGGAGTATGTTCCCGAGCACACGGGAATGGGGAGGCAGACCGGTGCGCCACGGAGGGGAGGGCACGTACCCCGCGGATGCTCTCTGAGGACGGAATTAGATGGGGAAGATCGCGGGGAGAGGAAGCGGGGGCGCTTGCCCAAGGCTGAGATCGCTGTGTATACAGTTTGCGTTGATGATCCAGTGTGGACGTGCGCACTCTTTTCGAGGTGGCGATATGGCAATGCTGCTGTGTAGCGTATCATATCATTCGGCCGCCTTTGAGAAATCAACTGTCGAGAACACGGATATATTCATTCATTCATTCATTCATCAGTGCTGTGCTGCTGCCGATCCCGATCCCGACGCATGCATGTATTCCCTGGTATCGAATGTGCGTTACATGACCAGTGTTCCCCATACCTGTACCAGTTCTTACTATAGACACGGAATGAATGGCTCCCAGAAGGATAAGCACGTCGTGGTCAACACTCATAAACTCCTTCCCCTCTTTATCGCCGCAGAGGGGGTGGAACAAGTTATAAATTCACTTCAGTTGTTGCCTCTGGTCCGTCGCCAGGTTACAGATTGAAGATCGCAGCCTAGTGCCGGGATTTTCATGCCGACCTTTAAAAAAAAATAATTTTGGTACTTACCCCGAAAGGCGAAACAAGCACGCCAAACCAAACTGTACAGCCCTATAGCTATTTCACGTGCCCATGGCATGGAGGCTGAACGCACCACTGGGTCCTTAGCGCAGGAAGTCATCGAATTGGCATAATCGAGAACTACATACATAAGAGTACAAGAAAAAAGAGACAATGACGGGGTTACAAAGTGATGCTGTAGATGATTGTGCGTGGGTATACAAGTTGACTGATAAAAATAAAGTAACGATATCTGATGACGTGAGGAGGACGACGACGACATCCCAATCACAGGATGTTCATAGCCCAGACATCAGGGCCTTTGGAGCTAGGCGAAAGCCCAGCAAATCTCGTCCGCCCCATGAAAAAGTCGATGCGCTTCACGCCAGCCTTCTTCTCCTCGTACGACCCGCTCCGGCTCTTTATGCGCCGGTATCGCTGTTCATACGCGTCGGTGACCCTCCGCATCTCCGTCTGTGAGGGCAACCCATAGAACTCGGCGGGCGCGATGTTCTCCCGCAGCCCGCTATACATCGCGTGGAGAACATCGGCGACCGTGACATACGCGCCGTTGAGCGAGGGATGGACGCGGATGCACCAGAGGAGATGGGGAGACGTGAGTGTCAGCTGAGACACTGGCGGCGACAGGGCAGGCTCGTGGAGAAAATTGGGTCGGGAGGAAAGGGTGGAATAGTCCGTGGTTATGGTGGAGGGGTGATGTGCGAGGTCGTAGTTGATTGCAGGGGGCTTCGCGACCCTGAGCAGTGAATGCACCTGAGGATGGTGAACCCGAACTTTGGGTCTGGGAAGGGAGTATGGGGAGTATGGGGTCGGCCCTGGAAGGCGCGACTCTTGTCGCGACGAGGATCCTCTCGACGAGGGCAACGTCGACGACGTTTTGGCAGGAGAAGGTGTCGGCGGCACCTTGTAGGTCTGGTCGAGGGCGAATCGTACCTGTTTGACGGGCATGGTAGGTCAGGAATGCGGGGGAAATGGTAGGAAAGCAACCCACTGTATCCAAGTTTTATATAGGACCAGCTTGACGCGTATTGACTTGACTCGAATGGCAGTGCCCCGCCCAGGGCCGCTGGGCCGGACTTTCCCGAAAGGGCAGATCCAGAAAAAAGTTGCATACTCTATCATCTACACAGCCTGATTAGCCCACACAAAGATGACGTCTGACATACACGTTCTGTGGCGGTCGGCAAAATCCAGCCTAAGGAGGTCGGTATGGCTGCGGAACTCTGCCAAATATGAGACGCGAAGCACATAGGAGATCGCGGAAGGACGACGGAATCCTTGGGAGGCTGAAAATACCAACTAGTCCATTCATTAGACGGGGCGCTGGTTGATATACTTTGATAGGAAATCTGTCCCTGCCTCCCACGCGATCGACAGAGGAGGGGGGGCTTTAGGAAGCAGGGAACCATGGAGATGGTTTGGGTGATGTAACCAAACACGAAAAATAGTTCAGACGTGCTCCATTAGAGCAAAGACACCCAAGGACCACCTTACCATGATGCCTCGCCCAAAACACGTTGCAGGACCTATACAAACCTTCGAAAGACATGAGGCTAGGAGATCCCGAAGAGTGGAGATAACACGAGGTGTAGATAATGACAAATCCCCGCCAATATACACTCGTTAGGCAGTGCTGTTTAGCGAGCTGTAGAGAGAAGGGGACTGGACAGAAATACAATGTTAAGCCACACGGAAAATGGGTTCCGGTTTCTGATTCATGGACAGCCTTGCAGTTGCCTACACGACCTAGGTAACCAGCTCAATAGAAAGCTTGTCGAGCTGAGGAACATGCCCTATTCCGCAGTCAGTGCAATGGGAACAATGGCCGGCCACCGAAAATGAGCATGTCGTCGTTGTCTGCGGCGTAGCGAAGACCGCGGAAACAAGAAAGTGACATTGGGACCAGTGCTCATGACAGTTACTTGGCACCGCATCGTCATAATTCCCTGTAGATACGGCTCAGGGACTCACCCGGAATTTTTCGACCACTATCAGGAATTTGAGATGTGTATCAATCAAGAGTACAACAGCCGTTGTCGAAATCATGATGACAGTACGGGAAAGAAAACCATTTAGGTCGGAGTGCAGAAAAAGGGAATGTTTGGCTGTTATTTGGCAACGTCCTCCAAGCTCAGGCTGTTGCTTCTCACCGCATCATTGTCTAAGAGAAGGCAATAAATTCTTGCTCTGCCACGAGGTGATATATTCCATTCCTTCTTAGACGAAGCTAGATCCTCTCGACCTATAGGAAGCGCCGCGTCCTTGCCTTCCTCCATTGACTTGTTCCTTGGATCCTCAGTAAGGTAAAATGAACAAAGTAGTTAGAACTAAGGGAACGAATGAGTAAAGTATCTATGGTATATGAGTTAAATGAAGCATACCTCATTCAGCCCAGTAATAGTGAAATGACTGAGGATGCGAATGCAACTACCAGGTATATATACTGTTAGATTGAAGTATGGATAAATGAAAGGGTCTGTAAAGAATGGCATACAGTATGGGTAATTATTGAGGAAAGAGTCGGGTTACACATGTCTCGTTCAACACTCATTTCATTCTTTTAATTGATCAAGGTCATATATTTCAGGCAAAAAATATCCTGTTCCAAGTCAACAGATGGGTGGTGAGGATTATATACATTCTGAGACATATCAAATCTACTCAGATCTCAAAGGTGCAAACGGAAACGCTTCGTTTATTCAGTCTAAGTCACTGCATCAGTCTCGCAGGGGCTATCAATGACCTTCTCCAAGCAAACCGCTATCCATAGCCTGCCAGACGATGTTTTTTGGGTATTTTACTTCTTCCGCCGTGAAAAGATCTGCCAAGTCTTTGCATACCACCATGCGATTATCTCTGACCTGTCGCAAATGGAGAAATGTAACCTTTTTTCCCCGTTGCTTTCGACGAAGATCGTAGTTTTCAATACCTCGAATATCGTCAACCTGCTCCTAGCCAATACAACCTGATACCAATAGGCGAGCAGACAAATATTGTCAGTCCACAGATCTATCTCACCAGATCTCAAAATGTGCCATTGGAGATCTCTGTACAGAGTCGGCCGCAATTCCCCACGGATGATGTGTTCTTTCTCCTCCTCCGCGCCAAAAATCACGACTGTTGCATCCTCGACATTACCGGATTTGCGTACATACCTGCCCACCAGAACAACTTATACAGCCTGTTTGGAATGGAAACATACCCAGTGTATGGTGAGCACCATCTGACCGACAGAATCCCGACAGCCGAGGAGCATATCAAGAACATGGGCACGTTGGAAGAACTTCGACTCGCCAGGCATCATTTTATCTTTTACAAATGGAATCTACAAAGAAGTTGGGCACGTTACGCTTCAAAGACTTCTGGATTGCCCCGCCGCCATCCCCGGGAATGTCTCCGTGGTCGATAGCATTCCCATTCGCGAATATCGAGACCCTGACAGCAGATGAAACCGGCCCACATGATCGTATCCCAGAACAAACCTTATCTCAACCAGTTTCCCGATTTACGAGAGCTCACTATCCTCGTGGGCACCTTCACCTCAACGAACCTCACAGGAGGCCCGGTCCTTCCACTCTCCCATACACGTATTACATCACACGCGTTACAGTTGCAGTCTCAGAGCGGACACCGCCTCGACTGCTACCTCACCCATCTATCAGTCCCGTGTCTTCGTACCCTGAAACTCGTCCATTTCAGTATGGACATATCGAACGATTTATCGTTCCACACACACAGAGAATATCCCATCTCATTATGGAGAGTATTCATCCGTTAGCCGCCGATATGAAGATGCGGAGATTATCATCTTCTGCAACACATCTTTCGATATATGGCGGCGTACCCAGAGTAAAATCGAAGTCTGAGGTGCTCATTGGCCGCCTTCTCTCGGATCCGCTATGAATCCTTGAACCGTCCTCAGCTCCTCGCACTGCAATTTATTTGGGATCATGCCACTGACGTGGAAACACTTTTGGGTGCCGTGGAGAGACGGAGTAGACTAGATATCCTACCCAGCCCGAAGGAAGTGTATCTATTCAACATTCCATTTGTGCAGATATTATCATGCAGCCGGACGATGTAGGTACGTGTGAAGTGACACATATGTTGCGATATGCTTTCTCACTAGATCATATGGAGTGTCAAGTCTGACTACAGGACCACGCGTAGCAGAGGCCATGGAGAATGTATCAAATACCATGAAGGCTCTGGGAAGAAATGGACCCAGAACCTTTTTGCGGTCGTCTAAAGAGATTTTGATCCTCACCTCCGACATCAGTGTTTCGGTGCAATGATCCAGAGGAAAACCACATGGCCGGATATGCCATTGGCGGCCTATGTGGCAGTGAATAAAGGGTTCGTGTCTTTCTCAACCAACACCGGCCTTGCTCTTGATTAACCTGCAGATGTCTTTTAGAGAATGTATGGATCCTTGGCTGATTAAATAAGGTATACACACTAAATTTCAGTTAGTATCAAGCTATGAGCAGATAAACTACCAGAAGATCGTAAGCTCCATTTTCTCTTGGCTTGTATGTGTATTGACAATCTCCAGGACCTCGTTATTCTATGGGAATCGGCTTTGCCGAAGGCAGGAATTTTCTTCTACATCTACTGGGGCTAACATCATTATTCTTTCAGATCTACTTTGTCGCATATGTATGCATCTCTGGAGGACCGCAAACATCAGAGGCGCGAGAGTTCTGAGATCCAATTATACTGGGAGGAAACACTTATTTCATGCCACAGGAAATGAGATAATAACGTCGCTTCTTCAACATTTATGAACAAAGTGAACTTACCCCACCGTGCACCCAAGATGTCCAATGCTGTAAGGTTGGAGATTCTTCCACTTATTGCCTTGCCGTTCTTAGATTACCGATTTTGTCTTCATCACGATCACACGTCGATCACGTATATAAGCCGTAGCTTAGCTTTTCCGCACATCGATCGTTTCTGCTATCGCTGTGCCGACTGAGGTGTGTATATCCCTTCCATCCTTTGTACCCTTACTTACTTAACCTTTACAGTACTTGCAAATATTCTTTTCTCATTATGTAAGAGCCTTACAAACATGGTCGAGTTATCACCAACCTAGACCCTGCTGTTCCCACTCTGTTGGAATCTACGAGAGAATTTGGCATTTCAGCATGCTGAGTAAGGAAAGAATCTGAGGGAAATTGAAGAAGTCAGGTAGAAATTACTAGAAAAGGTGTAGTCTAGTATAAATATGAGACGTCAATGGGGAAACCCCTCAGGAGTTTGTAACCCAAAGACTAAAGGTCTTACAAGCATGTACTCTGGATACAGTCCAAATCTCAACACACTCAACACATCATATTCCACTGTGTATGTATCTCAAAGAGATGACATCCCCTTACAACTTTGTTAAAGAATTCTGTTGTTCACAAGTGGCCTAGGTTGCATTCACATAGGTTGGTGGCTTGACGAATTGAATCGTGCGCAGCACCGTGGCCTGGGCTTTTTGTATTGCATCTTTCCTTATTGGCATCAGGACATTCCGATGCACCTCGGATCATCGGCAACCGGATGCTAAGCGAGGGGTGCATAAAGTGACTTTTACACGCTGATCCCATCCCTTCCCTCTCTTCATTATACCTTGGACTGCTCATCCCAGGTCCAGCACCATGTCGACGAATTTTCGCTCGCTACTTATCGATAACGGATGCAGCGACCTCGATCGCCTTACTCAACTGAAGCAGAAGGTACGTAAGTATTCGCTCAAACCCAAATAATATCCAATTTTGTTCAGGGCCGGCGCACACCAGCTATCCAACAATACTTCAGGAGCCAGCGGGAAGTCGCCGATAATGCAGACATGGAACTCAGCGAAAGATGGCTCAAGAAAATGAAGAAAATCATGGGTCAAATCGACGACCACGTTCAGTGGTGTGTCCCCTTCTCCGGGAGACCATTCCGCTTCCTGGACCTTGGGTCAGTTGTCACACTGCCTCATTGTGATTATCTATCTAAGCGCGATCAGATCAGCTGTTGCCCCGGAGGTTTCTCCACTTATATCTTAAAGAAGAACAAACAATCTACCGGCATTGGCGTCTCCCTTGACCCCGCCGATGGCGGGCACCCGTATCTCATCGAGCAAAGCATCCGTGACCGACACACGATCATATTCGCGGACCTCACGCTATTCCAACTGGGTCCACAGATGATATCCTCTCCCTCCTTGAATTTCACGACCCTTCCCGAAGATTTGACTACACGCCAATTCGACCTGGCTCTCCTCGACGCCCACCACCTCCGCACTCAATACGACTCCCCTTCTGACCTCCTCGCTATATCCCAAATTGTCGTTGCTTTCTTGTCCATCAAGTTTGGCGCTACTGTCATCATGAAGCTTGCGAACCCAGAGAGCTGGTATACTGTCCGCATGCTGTTTCTTCTGGATGTTCTCTCGGCATCCCTGACGGTTCATAAGCCATATGCGATGCATCGCAATCAAGGAACTTTCTACGCAATTGCTAAAGGCGTCGGAGGGAAGAGGGAAAAGCAGATGTTCTTGTCGCATAATCTCCTGCCCGAGTTTCAGAAGCTGTGGGTCGAGCTGAGGTCAGGGAACATCGGTATTGGGAGATCTCTGGTCCCAGAGGATTTAGACTTTATCATATCCGACAAGCAGGTTGAAGGATATGCTTCGAGGATAGCGGAGCTGTGTGAACCCGTGTGGAAGATTCAGTCTGCTGCGCTGGAGAAGCTCTATATAGAGCAAGGGATCTGAGGCTCTGGTTGTTTCTTGTCTTTCTTGTATTGATTTTGTATCGTGTTTCCCATGTACGATAGTGTAATTTTAGGGCTCTCTTTGCTGCTGTACTAGCGATCCACTTCGATCGAGGTTTCTGATCACTGCACCCATGTAACCTTCATAACACTACATTTCCAATGTCACACTCCTTACACTTTTACCATCACCTCTCATGGCGTCATTGTGCCTACCAATGAGCAAGTTCTCTCCAAGATCCAGACCTTCACTGCCAGAAATTGCTGCCGGGCTCTTTCTGATGTGTGCCTCAAACGACTCTTGGTTGAGGCAGAGGAGAGTACAAAAAGGTGCCTTGTGACGCTCCTCCAGGACGGTCTGGACGTATTCTGTGGAAGGCCGTAATTCATATTTTAAAATTTGGACTTGCGCAAGCCACGGGAGAATGTCAATGTCCCTATTTTGCTCGACTCTGTTAAATGGCCCCCATGCATCCCGAAACGAAGTACGTCTGAATTGCGAACAAAGCCAGCGGTGATGCTACACGAATGAATGAGAGATACCTGCACAGTCAGCTATGACGAAGATTAAGCGCCTATCAATGGGCCGCACCCGAGTGTCGGGGAATGAGATTTAAAACAGATCAATTCATCTGAGAGAAGGAGACTAAACTTAGTTGGTATAATAGTTTTGGCGTCGAGTACGTTCAGTTGGCCATGGTCCGAAATCATTTGAACCGTACACTATCCGAAGTGATGCGAAGCTGTTTAATGTATCAACGGCCTTAATAAAATTACATGGTGCTGTGAAGGCGTTTTGTGTTCATGCCTAACAGAGGTCATGGACAATCTATTGTAACGACTCTTGAGTTCGGCCTGCAACAAGACTATTTTCCTATCGGCGTCGAAGGCTCGAAAGGAGCGTTGCCAGACGTTTATCTCTGCGGTCCCAAGCTAATTATTCGCCGCCGTGGAATATTCTACATCAACGTAATGCCCCATCCTGTCGCCATGTTTGATAGTTAAGCACATTGTCCTACACCAGAAACATGAGGCAGGGTATACGTCACAACCATGCAGGCGACTTACAGAAATCCCAACAAAGCAAAGGCAGCCGCGATTGCGTCGGTGGTAGCCACACCAACTTTGTTAATCTTAGGTAAGATCCCTGCAATTAATATGGACATCAAGAAAGATCGTAATGCACTAGATTTAATAAGCTTAGATATCCTGTATCAATGTGCAACGAAACGACTCACTTATTTGCCGCCCGCACTCCTCGAATGCATTATATCGACGCCGTACGCCGCTGAAGGGCTAAGCACCAAGTTGACCTACATGCCAAGCTCTCAGAATATCCCAACCAAATTTAAATAAAGGGAACTTACAACAAACCCGTTCAAGAACAAGCACACAAAATCTCCAATTAGGCCAACCTTGCAGGGGACGTACTCAGTCAAAAACCCACCAGATCATAAGTTGAGGAACTGACCGAGAGAGCGACGCCTAAAGACCCCACACAGAGCAGTGGGAGACTGACGAGGTATACGGGACGACGGCCATCTGGGTGACGAGGTTCTGAGACTCAATAGAAGAGATCCTGTATTACGGACATACAGAAACTCGAATACGATGCAGCAACTAGAGCACCAATGCTCGTCGCAAGGACTGATGAACTGACCGCAAGGCTGAAGGTAACAAATATGAGACGTCTGATCAAGGCCAAGCAGAACCACGTAACCTGATAACTGGTCCACTGGAATCCAAGTCCCGCGCGATAACCTGTACCGAAGGGAAGAATGAGCCAGATATGAACACCGCCAAATATTCAAAGGGTATATCATAGCTATTATGGAAATGGAGAACACACAAGGTAAAAGCTCGCACCACGAAACCAACGTGACAATGCTTCTTTCTCGTGAATCGCTCATATACTACTTCACGCTTCTTCAAGAGGAGGGTATGTTCACTGATGGTCATAGTAACTTGAGCAATATGATAATCAGGCTGGGAAGTGATGGTCCCATACGTGAGATTTCACGCTTCGAAAAGGCTGCTAAGAATGGCGGAAGTATTTAACATCACAGATAAGGAGAGCCGCCAGTGATCGGTAGCGGCTGTGAGAATTATTTGGCTTCGGCGACACTAGTGTAGCCTGAAGAAACATGCGAATATTGGACAGGTATCAAAATTACAGATTGTTCTTATAAACACGTTGGACGAACTGGAGTATCATCGGATTCACAACTTCTGGGAGCTCGTAAAAAGGCGCGTGGCCCGCTCCAGGAAGCCTCCGATAGTCCAAGTTGTCCCCAAAGTTTTTCTTCATAAATTCCTCATGCTTCTCTAGTTCCATCATAATATCTTCCGTAGCTTGGATGCAGAGTATCGGTAGCTTCTTCGATACGTACAACAAGGCAGCCTCATCCTGCGTACGTGAGAGGGAAAACGTCCGAGCTGCAATGTTCTTTGTTTGATCCCGTTAAAAAGGGTTCGATCCATGGTGTACATCAAAGCTCACCATATTCGTTGCACAGCCCATCCATGTGCACCGGTCTTCAAAAGAAATCAGTCCCAAATTGTCGGGAGCGACAAACCCGCTGATAAACTCCTTTAGCGCATTCTGGAAATCGACGGTATGTGGAGAGGACAGCGAAGGAAGGATGGTGAGAGTATACGGTTTGGCGATCTCCGGTATTGTGGAGTGCCAAGGGACCGCATTGAACATGACATGCCCTGCCAAGGGAAGTGGGGATGTACCAAACCGAGACAGGATGTCGGGAACGACGAGGCCTCCAAGGGACCTAGGCAAATCTTTAGCATCGAAGATCACAGAGACGAGAGAAGGTGCGCACCAGCTCACGACAATTGGTTTATTAACGTTGAAAGCGGTGCACACGGCCTGAAAATCCTCTGCGTGCCTTGCAGAAACGTAGGACTTCTCTGATTCCGGTTGATCGCTGGGACCGTGCCCACGTGTCTATTTGAAGAAGATCCATCTTAAACGAGGCGAACAGTTCACGAAGTATTGTTTGCCTCTAACCTCATACTTTATCTAAAATAATTTGAGCTTTACGAAAATTGCATCCACGGCTACACGTACCATATACAGGTTATCCAGCAGCTGCTTGTCGGTAAACTGCTTGGACCAGTTCAAGCTTGAACAGAGCAGACCATGAATAAAGATGACAGGCGGCTTCCCTGGAGTGCCGGCAGCATCAGCCCAGATGCGAGTGCCATCCTGAGAGGCGACGTATTGACTGGGCATAACACAATGCAACGGAGAAAACTGGAGATCGAATGGGGAACGTCTGTTAGTAAGCGGATAACGCAATATGCGGAGAAAATTGGAGGTTAAATGGGGAGCGTCTGAATGTAGACCCAGGCATCGGCTAGTTATTCATATAATATCAGACTCCCGCGTTCCCAGCGACAGGGCCGACGGGAGGCCATATGATAAAGAATAATCCCTGAACTCCCATCTATGGCGTCGGATCCAAGGTATCAATACATTTATGGTCATGAAGTGACTTCCAGAACTTACAAATTCGACCATGGTATGGGCGGCAACAGACTCCGATGAACAGAGGGCACTTGTCATCACCGCCTCAAGGTAAGAGGGTAAAATTGATCGGCCTTATGCCGCCCGATCATTCGACGTCCCATTCACCGTCGCTACTATGTCAGGTTTTCTCTCATTCTCTCTTCTTTTAACGGCGCAAATCCTGGCGGGCCCTCGCTTTACATTGAGCCATGTCCAGCACGGAGGTGACGTTCAACCGTAACGAGCAGCTGGGCTCCTTTCTGCTCAGTATGGTGGTCTCGGCCGTGTACGCAGTTCACTGTTTGCCTCCAGGCTTTACCAATTGAATTTCACCTGGAAGTATGTATGGGATTACAACTTTTAAAGGTAGGTCTTATGGCGGCTTCTCGATCGACATCGACTTGTAATGCTGATCGTTAGTACTCATTTAGTGTATGTCTTCTTTAAGCAAGACGATGACAGACGGAAGGATTCAAAAGCACTTCAGGGGTTTGTATGTTTAAAATATAGATATAGCCTACAACCTTTGTATACCCGCTGATCATGGTTCCAGGTAGTTTTTCTATAGTAGGCTTCAGGCACATCTTTGTACATGATCGCTGTCGCTAAGTGTAGGGACTTACGCAGGCTCCTGGACAGGCTCCAGCAAGCATTCGTCGCGCAAGGCATTTATTTTTACCTAGTCACATGCTTTGACGATTCCTCCATCCTCCTGCATGCGACATGGTATGATAGCAAAGCATTCCTTCGAGCCTCACATAGATCATTATGTTTGTAGGGATCATATGGTTCGCGTCAACTTCGGCTACTTAAGTGACACTGTCTCTGATATCATTTTCATGAAACAAGTCCCAGGTATTTGTTACAGTATGTGTCTAGCGCTTTTTTTGTTCTTGACCGGTGCTAACTCCAACCGCTCCTCACCGTTAGGCTATCATAAACCTTCTATGCCAAGGATACATCGATTTTCTCCTTTATTTTTACTCGAGACATATTCGCCCCATTTGTAGTTTCCTCATACGGCGTATCTGGGCTCGTATGTCATCTCCTCTTCCTGATTAAATTATATTGATGCACGTCTTCAAGTTACTCCGCCAGAGAGGAAAAGGATCGCAGCACGCGTCGTCTGCGTCATAATGACTTCGGTGTGTATTATCCACTATACCTGAGTCTCAGCTTTTAGAGGGATCATTCCCGTAACGGTTTCGATGATGAGTAAGTCCGTCTTTACACTCTCCCGTCAAGCCCCCATTCTGAACATGCCCCAACTAGTGATTGGCGTGATTTTCTTCCAAGTTACCGATATGTCTGAAGTCGCAAAGCCAAATGCAAGGGTGAGTCCAAGGCTTCCTGCCTTGACATGCAATAGTCAATAATCTATGTAAATAATCTTGAATATCACCCTTGGTGCCGGCATGGTAGCAGATATCTACATCGTGAGATTTCTATGTTATCAACTCTCCAGGAAGAGACCGACTATTCCTAGGTTCGGGCTAAGTCTCCTAAATCACACGTATATTTCCCTAATATATTTATGATCGTAGGACGAAAACCGTTGTAGACAGGCTTATTTTGTACACAATAAATACGTATACGACACTTATTTATTTCACCGTTTGTGTAATTTACTAACATGGGCGTTTTTGCAGGTGTGCTAACGAAGTATGATCGACACCTCTATCTGTAGTCTATAGCTTTGAGTCCGGTGGAAATGGAGATGACACAATGAGTTGATCCCAGACAGGCTACATCCAAAAAGCAAAGGTTGCCACAGTGGGAAAAATTAGAGATATAAAAAACACTTTGAGATAAGTTACAAGTATGCATATCCACGTGACATGTCTAGGTTCCTCAGGCCATATTCTTGCTATCCACCTAACCTGTCATCATATCACTGCTCCCATAGCAGGCCTGTTTTCTCTGTTGCATCAACTCGGTTCTCACTTATGCTTGGAGCGATCATCAAGACAGCTCCGCCTGTAAGTGATGTCAGGAAATACTATGTACCTGACCATTTACAGGTTGATGTGGATGCTCTGTGATGGTTTTGTGAATGAGAAAACTTGAAGAAGCATCGGACTTGGTCATAAACCGAGGTTTGGGGACTTTCCATGCATCGAAGCCACTCCGAGTTCCCTGAAATAGCCTTAACTGCCATAAACTCGAGGGCCGCCCATAAGCTCCTGGGACTGAATTCCGAGTGTGCAAAGCCTTGTCAATGCACCCATGGAAGGACTGCAGATATTGGCAGCCCTTGAGGCCCCTGACTGGACCTTAGGTTCTACCCAGCAACGTTTAAGTTGATTGTGAGCTTGGCCTAGGGTCTGGTTGGAGGTATCAGTGGATAATTAAGTACATGGTTGTTATGCTAAAGTGTTAGTGTACCGATCATGTATTATCTAAGCCCGGCATCTCCCATTGGACTTTGGAGCTATCTGACATACACTGGTTCCTTCCTGTAGCGATGATATAGCTGCATGTTCTCGATTTTGTAGCTCCCTCTGCCCAGAGTGGCTTATTGATTATCTTGCTAGGCAATAGACTCCCCAGTCCGCTGCAACTTGATGACATTCAATGATGGGACTGGCTCAGATCTAGCAAAACCATGTTCTTCGCAGGCTGTATGATTGACATAGATAGTGAGCTCCTCTATTTGAAAACTACACTCAGTCCTGTCGGTATATGTGAAGTGGGCATAGCACTATGGGCTCAACTAGGCTGTCTTCAGTTCCTTTATCATCCGCTCCGTACCTCACTTACTGTTGACGGAAGCCCCGGGTTCGATTCCCAGTCGGAAAATTCAGATGAAGAATCCACCTAAGTCTTTTTTTCAGACATTGTGGTGCCAAAGCCTGAGGTTTATTCACCCATGTCAGGCCATCCAAGTACCAACCTTTGGCTTGAATCAACAATAGGGCTGTTCTGCGGGACAACTAGCTTCAACAATCGGCCCCGCAAGCTCAAGCTCAGAGATAGCAAGCACCGAGGAATCTTACGTTCATAAACTTAACGGCACGGCAAGATATAAACCCTCGATGCTGGGTACAACTATATGAAGTCTTGCTTTGCGATGCCCTGGCTTAACCGCTGAGACGGCTTGGTTCGGTCCCGGCGGTGGTACATCATCGTAAACTTGGTTGTGATTTTTCCTGTTACAACAAACCGCATACTTTGCTACAAATATCGATTCATGTCTCCTCTTTTGCTTTCGGGAAGCCTGAAACACACTACTCCCAACATTTTCCCCAACACCGGGAGTGTCGATAATCCAACGGATGATAAGTAATATTAGACCCCTGGTCTCATCCAACCAACCTCTCAACATTACACGCAGCCCCAATGAAACCTCAAGGTATCACAAGTGACCACATTGAATCAGTCATATGAAAGATGACTAGGACCCAAAGAGTGGTGGCCAAGGATCCGAAGTAGTGGATTCATTCCTATCCAGGAAAAGACGGTCACAATACTAGCGAAACAGAAGGGGTAATGGCGATGAGCGAGGTTGGTCCGCACGAAAACATAGGAGCGCAACCGCTTCAACCTGGCCTCGGGCCGTTCCTCCCGGAACCAACCAAAGCCGGAACACCCCCGCAAGGCAAATTTGGATAGTTTCGGTGGCTTGAACCGCCTTATCTCCCATCGGCCCCCAGCAAATCGTAGTATAGCAAAGAAGGTCGCAAGAAGTGCGAATCATCTGCAGGGTACGAGTGGGCCGACTCGAAAAACTCCCGAGGTCTAGAAAGGAAAGCACATCGGAGAATAAAACGATCTGCAGAAGCGAGAGCGAGATCGTGTGTGATTGAAACTGTACACCGCCAAAATAGCCCGTACTATCTCCTTGCTTTCCGTAACGTGAGTCTTCAACCTAGCTCTGAATATGCAACGACATAGCATTCTTCTTGCTTAGTTCTCCAAGGTTTTCCTCCACCTGCACCCAACGACAAGCAGTGTCTGCATGCGAAACAATCTACGTCGACGATTAAGCGAAACCTTTCGACGAGGGATATAAATGCAAACCTTTTCGACGCGCATCCCCTTGTCGGCCCTCGCCTGTGTGGCCTTGAAAGGAAAGTATACTGGAAAAAAACACATTCTATGGAAGCGAAGGTGCTATCGTGCGTGTATGCCGGTGCTGCCCCTTTGGCTTTGGCAACGTAAGTCTTCGACTTAATTCAAAAAATGCAACGACATACCGTTCCTCTTGCTTGGTCCCTCACGTTTTTCTTTAACTTGCACCCAACGATAAGCTGCGTCTGCCGGCACCATTCACATACGGAACAGTCTGCGTCGACGATCACCAAAGTACCCTTTCAACAATCGACAAACATGCAAACCTATCCTGTGCGCATCTCTTTACCAACCCTCGCTGATAGCTCCACCATCTGAACTGTTCCGAAAGATGAACATCATGGACTGCTATGACAAACGGGACCCGGCCTCCAAATGCTTCCAAATAGGTACATCGCTAAAGACGTCGAAGGCGGGGGTTGCCTGGGCGTCCCACTCGTCATATACATCCTTTCTGTTTTTCCTCATGAGAGTTCTTCGTAATGTCACCAATGCAATCACGCACCTATCATTTTCATTCCGAAATTGACTGCTTCACGTCCTCCCTCTGCCTCCAGCCAATCATGAGCGATATCGCCATATTCCTCATCAAACATCCGGAACAAACTGCCTGACGATGAGGATCATGAAATCCCCAACGACACAGAATCAAACCTGGCCAATATTTCACATCTTTCCTCGCTCCGTCAACCTAACCAGGTTGAGTCGTTGGCCATTTTGATATTCCATCTGACGACAAGTGCCAAGCTGGCGCTCGTTGTTGTTCCTCTGACAGACATATCCGGCGGTTACGCTACCCCACAGATCAGTCAACACGCATCTGCGGCCAGAAGCAAATGACGCTTACACATCGCTCGACAACCACGTCGTTCGGTTCGTTCGATGTGTCGACCCGAGGCGCTACAGCCAAAGCAACATCCAGCTTCAAAGCGATCCAAAAGCCGTGTACACTGGTCATAGCGTCAGTCATGATCGCAGCGAATGACAGCCTGATAGGTATTCCGTTGCGGGGTATCCTCCTTCAGCGACTAACAGCAGTAGGGGAGGCCCCAACGGTGCGAATCTGGAAAAATTGTGAGCAGTGTTCGCCTGCACAGTGAAGCAAGCTACTCACTACACTCCTCAAGAATCAGTCTGGGGCCACCACCTCTCAGGTTCAATCAGGAATGCAATCCAATACGGTCATCCTGAAGTACAATCAAACGAAGAAAAAAGGCAGGATTCAAGCAAGCAGGGAAGGTATAGCACGGGTTGTTGTATGCGGAGAAAAAGGTTGGCCAGTGTGGCTGGATGTTTGGAGCGAAGGCAGCATTCAGTTTTTCCCACGGCCAACCTGCCGGCGGCAAACGTCGGCTGCCCCAAAGTGTATGGTCTAACTGTGCATTCTACTGTGATAAGGAACAACACCATTGCTCAGAATTCGTTTTTATGGTCTACCTCCAAGCTTATTTTTCTTTTATTTCCGTCACCGAAAGCGGAAATTAACGTTGCCCGTGTCATGATTCGTCCTTTAGATTGGGTGAGAACATGCAACGACGAATATTTCCTCCTACCGAGCAACGAATCATTGCTGCGTTCTCTTATCTCTGGGAAATTTTTTCAAGACAGACCACCGGGCGACAAACTGTAGGGCGGTATTTCACCGTAGGCCAGTCTTCTCATTCACTGTACTACAATTTATGTATTTTTACTCTTAAATACACAGAAAATATTCAAAGTTTCATTTACAGACGTTCCAAAAAACCTTGTCCACGCTGCTAAACGAGGCAAGTAAAATCAAAAAATCAAAAAAAATGCAAGAAAATTGTGGAAACGGTCTGGTGTCTTCATCTGTGAGTGTAACGTATCATAAAAAATTCTCTTGGAGATGTACGAGCTGTATAGAAGTAATGCAAAAGGTACGAGACCAGTGGGCCAGTGGGAGGGTGTCATGGGAGCAGGGTCCATGCTAGAGGTAAAGGGAGGTGGTGGCGGGGAATCATGGTAGCATAGGAAGCTGTGGACGGAATTTTTTTCGCTTGTAAAGAGTAATAAGCTGTTGCAAAATGAAATTTCTCGTATTTATTTGATTTTATTGATTTTACCTACCTTGTCTGGCAGCGTGGACAACGTTTTTCAGAATGTCTGTAAGTATTTTTGCAGAAAAAGTAATATAAATATTTATAACTTTTCATTGTATTTTGCAAATTTTGCATAAAGTAGTGAAGGTTTTAAAATATTTTCTATGTATTTGTGGGTAAAAATACATTGACTTTTGTCCAGTGATTACAATTATAGTCATGCTAAATTTACCGGTAGTAATGACCCCTCGTCCTGGATTAAAACTATGTACGAAGAAACTGGCACTCTTGGCAAGGAACTCAGCTGCTTCGCGAAACGGGTCCGGGAAAGAGGGTTTTGCATCCTGAGCAATGCTTCTCACCGAAGTTGTCTGGTTTGGGTGGGATAGATTTCCTGAGGCGGTTGTATGGCGGCTCCGTATTGCCCTGTTTACGATGTTGCAATGCCAGCCTTCCTGGTAGACACGGTTCTCTGTGACGTTGGAGGACTCCCAGCGTGGGCTTGGCGTTCCTTCGGGTATGTTTGGTATCGCAAAACCGTGGTTCTATTGCGTGTGGATTCAAATGTCTTGGTAGCCAAGGGGGTATGCCTGCAGCAGATATCCTTCTGTACTGCCCAGCTTTATTCATCCGGAAAGTCCAAGCTATGTTATCGACAACAAGCCGAAAATCGATTATCATCACACTTGAATCAATCTGGTTTCGCAGATAGTTCATGGATACGATGACAATGGCATGGCGGATTCACTAAGATCTTTCTCAAGGCAAGTCGCTCCACAAATCATCTTGATTTATGATTTACCACTGCTTATCACTCGAACCAGCTTCCTGTTCATAACGATTTGGATTCATTACTTTGACCATCAGCGAAGATTGTACAATCCCCCACCGACGAGAATTTTAACGATATCATGCCATACAGTAGGTCCCAATTGCATTCCGCCTCGGTTGGTTTACCTCTACAACGCCATTAAGTTCTGTCTAACAAAGTCAAAGCACACACTCTCCAAGCAAACTTCCAGCGTCCTTTATATGCTCATGACAACGGGACAAACCGGGGCACAGCATGGATGTTTTCATCTTTCTCGGCCCCTTCTTATCTTCCACGAAAAGAAGCTGTCCCTACTCGGTCCGTGGCGGAAATGGAGAGTTCGTGTTTCCCTTTCCCGTGTACAGACCAGAGTCCCGAGACTGGCATGGTTTACCGACGTCGGAGAAATCACCGTCATCCCCCATACCTCTCTTGCTTTAAGGTTAAGCATGCACCAACACCACCACCACCACCACGCGCATCAACTTCGACGTCGACGCCTTGACATTTCCCCATGTGCTATCTTCCGACTGCGACGTTCTACTCTCTTCAGTGATTTTGGCTGGGTGTCCCGCCGGAAGACCACGCTCTTCACCATTGACATGTTGGGGGTCGTTATCATCCGCCACGCTCGGCATGGGATGGATGGTCCTGCCATTGCAAGGCGTCTTTCCTCCGACACGCTACTATCCCTCCTTTCTTTGTACGGATGAGGGAAAGTTATAAATGCCACGCTCCACGTGGAGCTGAAGGAAGACACGACTGGCTGCATTGCTAAGGAAGAATGGACAAGAATCGCTTGTCGAGCAGGTCTTCTTCGGAAGGTGAGAATGTAAGTCGTAGTCGTTCGTGACTACCCTTTAAATGCATAAAATAACCGTGGTCTTGTCGGTCAATATCTCGCCAATGTTGTACTAGCATAAAGAACACAGAATGCCGGACTTGTTGCCTATAGGGCTGTATCCGTGAAAGAAATCCAATTATCCGAGCAGTTCATCCACTAAGAGGCGAGTTGGAAAAGTGACATATCCGAGAAGCATGGGATATTTTCCCTCTTGAGCTTTAAGCTCTAGTCATTCTTGATGCTATTTCGACGTATGCCTGAAGATTGCTGCCATGCGTACGAGGGCCCATGCTTTTCCTCAGCGCCAGATATTTTTCCCTGGATTGCCTAGGCCCTATGCGAAATCGGAACAACTATATCTGGTATTGTATTACTCTGCTCAAAGGGTCAGCGAGCACTGAGAGAACGAACTAAGAGGCAAGGATCCTTCTTCGTCGGAAGGGAGTAGCAAGTAACGGCAGTAACGTCCGTATCGAAGTCATAGCTGATGGCTGGTATTACTTGATATCCTTATGCTGAACCAGTTCCCTCTAGTAAAATATTTCAGCAGACAAATCTTCTGGTAAATCCCACCTAGCATGTATGCTGTCAGTGGCGATCAATGAGACGTTGATCCACGAAGCTGATGGCTGAATACGGAAATCCGATGAACCCAAGAAGCACCGGCACTGTCTTCTTTGGATTTTAAGCTCGAGTACGTCTTGATGTTCGTATGTTCTGAATTGGAGCTTGAAGGTGAATCACTGTAAAAGACATCACCATGCATACGAGGGTACCTAACTGACTCAAGAACTCTAGTTTTGCGGAGTGGCAAGTACCCTTGAATCACATAGAGGTATTTAGTATACTATCGAGTCCCTCAGCACTAGATAGGATTTCCCATTGATGGTTTACCAAATAGCGATAACCACGGCAATGTAGCGTTTCTCCCTTTCCCACCAATATTTGAACATGATGATACTTAGTTACTGACATTACCTCCAGGATAAATCGTCTCCGCGGCTGCAGACTGGTCCCGACCCCGAAGCGATCCCGCATCCTCTTACCGAGGAAGGAGCGCATGCCTCTGTCCCCCCGGATCACTATGCCGATCAATTTGAGGACTTGCGTCATATACGCCGCCGTTAGAAGAAGACCAGTCATCTACTGCATGTAGGTATTATTTTCCTCTTACAACACTTCGAAGATTTTGGGTCGATAAAAAATTCCGAATTAGTTTTCTTTCCTTTTGCAATAATATCTCCACCGCCGAATGTATCCTCACGCTCGACTTTCTTTCAACAGCTGGTCAGTAATTTGCTATTACGATTTACAGGCGAATCATATATTGGATAGCCGCAGCATGTGCTCGTTGCTTCCGTCAGTCTTCGTAGAGTCGATCAGTGCTGTAGGGACGAATTGGGCTCACGATTCCGGCGGCAAGGTTCACAGCCATACCAGTGCAGCAGACCATATCGGGAAGATCAACAATGACGCATCCGGTCATCGACTGCCAAACCCCATCTAATTTCTGAGTATTGCTTCGCGAATCCCATACCTAAATATAACCCGTACGTGCTACTGCTCTCTATGCAGTATTTCGCTCGCTGTTTCGCAACCATCAAAATGAGCGAAAAATGGAACCAATGAACAAATGGACCTCTCGACAACCGCTGCAGCCACGGCAACTCAATCTAGGAAATAATACCGGAAGTTTGAGCACTATAAAACGGGTGCACATCTTTCATTGCGTTCATTACCCATTATTACCATGTCGTCAGTACCCACCAAACGAGTCCATTGGGAAGATGACTTCGACCGTAACAGCGCCCACCACCGCGCGCCCTTCTACGTGACGCTCCTCGTCGACCCGACATCTCCCTCCCAGGACCAGTCTCTTCCCCCATCCCCCATCTCCTCCATCTCGTCCCCCAAACACCGGCATTCACCTCCCCCGCGTCCGTGTCTCCGCCCGCCGACAACCTTCAAGCAAGCAGCCCACCATCGAGCACCCTCTCCTTTCCCAGGACCCCGCCGTCAATCGATACTGCATCACCCCGTGACAGAACGAGCGACCCGAACGCCCCTGCCGTCCACAACGCGTCTCTCCATCCACCGCGCGTTACGCTTCGGAACATGCCAGCCCATTGACTTCTTCTCCCCAGGCCGCGTCGTGGCGCACCCCCAAGTCGCGTACGAACCCGCGTCTAAACCGGCCTTTCAGAGGGTCTCTATCCTTGTCGAGATAGACAGAATCGAGAGGTTCAACATCGAGATCGTCCGCAAGGACGGGATCCTCACTGTCGAGGACATCCTCACGTGGGCGCAGAGGGTGTTAAGGGAACGCCTCGAGCCAAGAGTGATGGGTGGCTGCTATAGAGAGGAATGCAGGTGTGGTTGTGGGCGATATGTTGATAAGAAGAGCGATTTTACGACGGTCTTCGATGGGTTGAGTATGAGAGCCGCTGGCGGGGACATCAATAAGTGGAGGATGCACTTGAGGAGGGTAAAGTCCAGAGCATAGTCGCATAGTTGGAGAAGAAGCAAATCGAAGATGTTGTACAGTAGGAAGAACCGTTCACATTGGATACCATATACGTAACAGGAATGTACCACCACTGTAACAGTAGCAACATCATAGGCAGTCACGAATTTTGAGGGAGCACTATTATAAACTTAGCTTGATGCGACTGAGAATCAGAATCGGAAAACTGCTCACCGAATGGAAAAGCCTTACAATGTGCCCATTGTGACGCCAGTTGCCTGGGTTATGAATATGATAGGAGGCGCTAGGATAGTTGTTGTGAAAACGACGAGTCAAGCAACAGCCTGAGACGGGCCAGTACCCTTGGGAGTCGGACCGTTGAGTTCGCTCTTTGAAGCCACATGTCACTGCGGCGCCAACGAACGCTTTAGACATATTATCATCATCGCCATTTTGGAGGTACACGGCCAGTGATGTATCAAGGTAAAACGTCTAGCAGTTATCACAACAGACGGAGAGTCCCCGGGCTGTTCTGAGCCTAAGCCTAAACCTGTAGAAGGGTTTCAGAATGTATCTGTTTTGATAGCCGAAAATCTACGAACGAGTCAGATATACGACAGTCACATGGAGATAGAACATACCGTAGCTCCATTCCTTCCTAAAAGCCTAAGATCGCATTTTCTCCAATATCGGTGTTCGAGCGAATCCCGAAAAGACCCCGAAATTGTCCGGCAACCATCCACCAAAACTGGTCACTAGATAAAAGGCAAATTAACATGATAGCTAATAGATGCATAAAAGGTAATCGTACGAGGAACGTATTGAACAAATCAACACCTCGGTCTGCGACCTTCCGCAGTGAGACTGAGTGTCACCCGGTAGTAGGGTTCAGGGTTCGGCTGCCGGAACGCGATTCCGAACCCTAACCTTGCAATTCCTCAGCAAGACTACGCTGCGAGCCTCAAACAGGACAAAAGCGGTGCAAAATCCAAGTTACAACTCCGGGCAAGTATATCTTCGAATGACCAGAGATGATGTTCAGCTTCGGCAGACGCTGAACCCCAACCTTGTCCAGTGAACTTGACCTCGGAAATTTTCAGCTCGTAGATAAAACACTGCAAAAGGATTAGATGCACACGTTCACGCGCCAAATGCGGAATCAACGCACCACAATCTACTCTCCGTCCTCAGAGCGTAAACAATCGTCTTTGATTCCTGCCTGACGTTCCAAGAAATTTGGAGAAATTTCAGGTCGACGGATTCTTTCCCTCCTGACACGCCGAAAAACCTCGAGAAGGACATAGCGTGACCACCTGCCGGCTGGCAAGTCGCATATGACACGCTTAATACGCTCTCCTGTTCAAGTTGGTGTCGATGGGGTATGAAGAGGAGAACAAGATATCGACGGTTTCCTAAAGACGGCCTTTTGTCTCTTGGCTGACATAGGTATTTGTTCCAGATTTCATTCCCAAATCTCTGTCACAGGATCTGACCCCTTGTAAATACTAATCCATGACAGCAGTGACTATGCAGATAACCCACACCGATGGATCGATTTGCTGACTGTGCGGATGCAGGAACCTAGATTCGAGGAATATGTTGCTCGCAGAAGTGGATGCATGATCGGAGATCAGAGACACGCGGTATCTTCCATGTAAGAATACTATGATATATATATTTTTTCGAACAAAGCAGCAATTCGGGTGCTTGCGGTCTCTGTGAAATTTGAAAGATGGTCAGAAACAAAAGAATCGGCTATCATAAAGAGATTGGTGATGGCCAGCTGCCAAGCTTTCAGCTTTATCATTATTCGGACACATTGGACTGAATTTGAATTTGTCGGGTTATTTTGTGCATGTATACTAGACATGATGGCTTCCATCGCTCGAGGAGCTCCAAAAAGAGATTTCGGCGGTCAAGGAACTAAAGGGAAATGTGGGCAGGCTGCGAAGGGTTCCTCATGATTTGTTGAATGGGAATGCGAAGAAGGATGTGCGACTGCAGACCAAGCTGGAGCCGGTGCAAAGGGCAAAGGAAGCAGTGGAGGCAGGTACAACAAGCGCTAGAACACGCGGCACCGAGTGAGAAGAAAGATGGATCTGGGGTAGATGTGACCCGAGGAAGCGTTAAACGAAGGTTAGCAGCACATTCCCGTGCATCATGGGCAAGAGTACTCTATTATAACTAATCCAGTCCAGGTCAAGGTCACCGCAGCCAGTCGCCGGAAAAAAAACCCATACGTTCAAAATTCTGATTACGCAGTAGACTGCGAACACCTTGCCGCAGAGATTCCATGCACACCCGTAAAGGGTCCGACTGAAACGATTGGCCCATTGACGCTCACGCTTGTCGTCAAGCGAAAGGGCCATTTGGTATTCGAGTGCTTGAAGCCCAGATATTTCCCGAGAAAGTGAATCTAAGGTCAGAAAATTTGTACGGACATGAAGAAAAGGCGTAATTACTATCATCACTGCCAAAACTCTTGACGACGCGTGAATACCACGGCGCATTCTCGTTCTGTATGTGAAAACATCATTAAGTAAGTAATGGAGAAGAAAACAAAAGCAAGGAACAAACATTATCCTTCCTCTTCGCTTCGTCCATTCGCGCACGTAAGTCTTCCCTAATGCGAGCAACCTCAGCAGTGCTCATTTCTATGTCTCTATCCGTTGGGGTGGGCCTAACAAGGAGTCAATATAAGGAATATCTAGGAAAGTAGTGTAGATACCTTTCCTGCGAGAGCAGATATAACCAGCAACTCCTCATTTCACCAAAGCCGGAAAGAGCACCCAGAATGATTGTTCCTACAACAATCAGATAGGCATACGGTCATCAAATCGATGTCAGGATTTGAGTCGATCGGTGATGGTAGCGGAATAAACGATAACAAAAACAGAGATATCAAAGGAAGGACTAAATATTTTTCCTGACGGAATTGTGATCAACATGACCGAGGAACTTAAGGTATGGATGCAGACTTAGAATCGTGACCACAACGGTAAAGTGCACCTCTGGCGCCCGAGACGGGGCGACACTGGCGACGATATTGTACGCGTCGCCATCCTCCACGTGCTCCAAGTATATCTTTTCCTGGGCGCTGGCCGACGCGATGAGCTGAGCGTCTTGGCAGTGAGCGTCTTTGAACCGAGGGAAAAACAGGTGCCGCACGTGACTTTGGTATTCGACGTATTCAGTCTCCCGCTGCTCTCTCTGCGGCCGCGACCAAGTCTGACTTACATTGTTTCAATTACTGAACATAAAACTTCGTGTATGATGGACCCTAGCGATCGGTGATCAACGCTAGCACGAGGCGACACATAGACCAGAAATGGAAATAAATAGGGCCAAATACCCCTATTCTCCACCGATTTTAAAGAATGTAGAGACTGGCTTTGGCTGGCATGATTCCTACCAGTTCCCACCTCCAGTTATTCCAGAACGTCGTCGCTTATGTTCTCTGTCCTCAACTACCATCTCTCCGAAGGCGAGGCCGGCGTCCCCATTTCCGTTCACATTAAGCTCGACGATCCTGCCCCAGAAAAAATATCTCTACGTCTAAAAGTTGGCTCGACAGCACTCAACACTCAAGTCTCCCCGATTTCTGAAGAAAGAGGTGGCATTTATGAGCTTCATGCTACGATTCCGCACAGAGTGCATGAACTGAAGGCTGCCCTTCGCGTCGAGGCAGTTGACTCGTACAACGTGGTTCTCTATTCTGTCTGCTTTGGCGAGTTTACCTACGGGGAACCCAATATTCCCGTACAGAATACGCTAGTCGTGGCCCCTCAGGCGTCTCGGGTAGCTTCGCAGATAGTAGTGGCTTTCCCGAGGCCAGTGCTCCGCCTACGGGTCAATACCACCACCAGTATACACGACGAATCAGCAGGTCCTTCTCGTACTCTATCACGCCATATTCGCCCGAATCCCTTCATGCGCGCTAACCGTGGCGAACCAGAGGACATCCACCTCCATCCCCAGACTCCTATTCTCGAGATCACAACCCCTCTTGATACTATGTGCACCAATTGGGATGCCTCCGAAGACCGCGTGGGTCGTCGACTCGTTCGTTTTCACAAGGTCCAAGACGGTTGCAAACTCATTCTTTCCTGCGAAGCTATCCGCCAGGATGACTACCGCGACACATACACCGTCATTTCCTGTATTTTCAGGGATGAAAACCGCCAATACTATGTCACCAGCGTGGATATAATTTATCTGCTCGAGAGGCTCACCAACGATGACTTCCCTGTCGAGGAGAAAAACCGCATAAGGCGCAATTTGGAGGGGTTGAGGCCGATAACCGTCAGAAAATATAAACATGGTTTAGACACCTTCTTCCAGCGCATCATGGAGTTCCCTGATCCCAAGCCCCGGAATATTGAGAAAGACCTCAAAGTGTTTGAGTGGTCGCTTCTTGGACAGGCGCTTGACAATGTCCTGTCTAAATATGTAAGCTATTCTCTCACGTCGTCTTTCTCTTTGAATTCTGAGGACCGTTACAGTATATCTACACATCAGATCCATCCACCGATTCAACAGCCCTCCTTCCCGCAGACCCATCACCATCCGTCGACAACCGACCTTACCGCTCCCCACTCCCCATTCCTGAGCACCTTTCTGATACTATGCATTTCTCTGCTTCGCATGATAGCTCAGGTGGCGTTACCCCGGTGAAGCGAGAGTATGACTACGTGACCTGGCCTGGGACGGAGCGGCATCCAGCGGCATCACCGTTGAACGACTTGCATGGTTCAACGACACGTACTGAGTCGCCTCCGCCGCCATTCCCCCCGGCCTATATCCCCTAACGATGAGGCCACCCCATTAATCCCATGCCGCGCCAGATGTGCGAGGTGCCGTTGAAGCGGTGGCACACCTGGTATTCCATCTACTGATGAGATAGGCGGGGAAACATAAACAATAGCTATAGAATGGTCGAGATATATAGTTCTATGCTTTGGAGATATCCTCCAATCGTACACTTAGAGACTATCACTTAGAGTATAAAATACATATTCCCAGCAGAAGAAGCATCAGTACAGTGGAACCGTATCGCTAGGTCCAAGAGAGGGAATCGGGAATGGCTGGTAATGGTCTCAGTTACGGACAAACGGGAATCTACGGCAATGCAACACGTCGTCTCGGAGGAACCAGACCGTGCCAACGCTCCCAACTGTGTTGCAATACGCACATGTACATCCGAATGAATTCATGGAATTGATGAAACCAGCCAAGTGAGAGTTTTACCCTGGCGCTTAGCTGGTATAAAAGGTGGAAAAGTGAGCAGAAGTACTCATCGAACCTCAGCCCGACTTGATATGAAGTTTGTGAGTAGCTGAACCACAACATCGCTGATGGCCCCCTCACCATTGTCACCAGATTGCCTCTCTCTTCGCCGCCATTTCCTCCGTCGCTGCTGAGGGATGGATGCTTCACTGGCGGCCAATCAGGACACTGTGTACAGATTAATGATGGCAAAGTGAGCACCAGCGTTCCTGTCCTCGATACTGACATGGGGGAGTAGCTCGGAGGCGCTCGCGCTGCTACGATACCCCCCGCGGGTAACAAGTGCGACATACGATCACTGAGGCCGACGGCCCGTTAACCAATGGAAATTGTGACCACGTGGAGTTTCAAACCTTCGTGTCTCCTCCAACGTCGATGGCTGACGAAGTAATTAACAGGGAGGAAAGAAGACCATCTACGGCATCAAATATACCGCCGACCCTAATGAGGCATCTTGCTAGGGATTCGAAAATAGCATTGTGCAAAGACGATGCTCCTGAGAATCATCAGTAATAATTAGCGAACTGATTTTAGTCTTCATATACCTGCCAGATCAGGCAAGTCTTCGTGGGGGGTACAAATCCCAGCCAAACCTCATAAGGTTTCACGGTGCCTAGTTTCAGGTCCACGCCTGAAAATAAGAAACAAGGAGATCCCTTCGGCGATGAAATGCGGGAGGATATCATATATGTCATGTTTCGTTTTACGATTAAACATATATCCCTCTGCCAGCATGCTGTCGCTATGCCACAATCAACTAAGATCCTCGTCCGGGTTTGAGGAATGGGGGCCAAGCCACGTGCACCGATGAAACTAATGCCGGCTCCCCCAAATTCGAAATGTCAGATGGGGTCGAGCTGCTTCGACGTTCCATTACTCTGGTTGAGACTCGCTGGGAAAGTAAAAAAATCCTTCGAAAAGGCAGCACCATCCACGATACCACAAAGTGAAAATTGGAGCGGTCTCTAGTGCCATTACATTACTTTTTCATCGTTCCCTCGCCTGCGATATGTCGCCTGCGAATTCGGTTCTATTGATTACTAGGAGATGGCGATAAAATATCGTACTGCAATTTATTTGGGTGCAGCGAGTATCGCCGAGTAAGATATTTCTCTTTGTTTCTTTTCCGTCCAGCATTTTTATGAATTTGTATCAGATTCTTTGCTGACATCCTTTTGACACCCCTGAAAGCAACTCGAATTCGCATGGTATCGGAACGAGGGTACGCCACTAGTCTTGTCAGCGGGTTTACACGTTTGTCTCGGGAAGCCGGCGTGTCTCAGCTTTCTGCTGGTTTCCTTCCCATCCTCTGTAAGTGTTTGCATCACTGATATCGATTGCACAGTCTGAGAACTACTGATAGTACAATGGTAGAAATTAGCGTATTTAAATATAGCGCGGGAGTCATGCCCACCACACATTCTGATTCTGATTCTGGTTCTAATTCTGAATCCCTCAATGGAGATGGACTTCCGCAGCCTTATCTACTGACGTATAGAACATTTGAGTCACGGTCCTCTCGTCGCCGTTTTGTACAATCCTATTCATCAGCAGCAGAGTGAGCAAAGCATTGAGTACACGCAAGAAAGGGACCTACTTCGCGCTTAGACCAACGTAGGTGTGTATCTGGGCAGGGCCGGCACGGATCCTAAACTTCATCGACCTGGTAACGTCTACGAAGCCAGCAACGACACCAGTTTCCTATCATCGTGTTAACGAAAAAGACAATTGCAAAACGACATGCCATACATCATCATAGATCAGTTCCTTCCAATTGATGTCAGCGTCCTGCACAGCTCCTGCGCCAAATTTCTCTGCCAGCAATGTCTTAAACTGTACGACAGACACAACGGTGTGGTTCACCATGATGAGAGCGTCTGCACTGAACACAGAAACTTCTGGGAACAGATGCTCTGAAGGTCTGAACAAAGAAGAGAACTGAGATTTGGTCCATTCTGTAAGAGAGCTCGGCGAAGACATGGTAGTTGCGGTTAAAGGTTCTCGTGGCTTAGGCTTGACGTCACTGCCGCTGGTTATACCTAGATTTTGATAAGGATTTCGCCGGATGTAACGCCTCACGCAACGTGACTGTCCTGGGAGAAAACAATTGGTGCGTTGTGTTGCACGATGAGTGGTGACGGTTCGAAGGAACATTCGGATTCCTGGCCCGCAAAACCCAAGCCACTTCGGACTGACTGCCGGCGTTAACTAGCCGCCAAAAGGTTGGGACTTTTCGTGGTCGGTAAAAGGACTCCGTTTTACTTTCGTCGGTTCACCCAAACCCAATGTTTCATCGTCGCTTGAAGAGTTCTGAATGCGAAGGCTCCCAATGTCCATGTTGCAAATCGATTGATTATACAGATGCTAATATGTGTGAGGTATATCCAAAGTAGAAAAAATAACCAAAAGGAACGTGTCCGCAATTATATCAGGATAACCACCACCAATAAGATACACAGAACGAGTATCAGCACGACGATGCACCATCCACTGCCTCGTTCCTCCGACTGTCGTATGAATCGCTTCATGCGGCCCATGGCATTGCCAAGCTTGCTGTCTGTTCGGTCTACCCCAGATTCCAAGTCAGTGAGCAGTCTGCAGAAAGGGTCCGTCAGTCAAGGAAGCGAGCAGGAACGAGAGAGAGAGACAACGGACTCGGTATGCTCTACGATTTCCTGACCCATGAGCCCAGCCTGGTGCGCCAAATTGCTCAGCGTCCCCGCTATCGAATCAATTGTCCGGTCTTGTTCTCTAATCATCATCTGGTTCAACAACGGTGAGCTCAAGCGTGAGTGCAATTGATGTGATTAATGGACGAACCTGCTGCTCCTCCCTCGCCCAAGCACTCTGGTCATCCTCAACCTCGTCTTCGCGCTGCTGGGGCGTATATGCAGGAGCTGGTCGTCCGCCAGAGACGCCCGCACGCATACTCTCCACCGCAACTTCCCGTCAGTCCGAGACCGAGGTGCAGGCAAGGAGGTACGGCATACCTGTATCTCCTTCCTAGCGTGCTCGACGTATCGCCTTCGCTCCGTTACTTCTTCGTGGGTTAGGCCGAACATCCGGGGGTCGGTGGATTCTACAATTCTAACGCGACTTGAGCTCTGAATGTAAGGAGGAAGAAAGCGGGAAGGACGGACTTGACGCTCTCCTCCAGGTCCTCTAGATCGGCTTCTGATGCTGCAAGGATTGCCTTGAACTGCAGAGAGAATGAATCAGCTATCATTCCAGAAGAAACCCAAGACAAAAGACATAAAAGTGTGAGGGAACCACAACGGAGAGCGATGAGATTTCCTTTCCTTCGCTCAGGGAGCAGGGGCCCCTGTATCAAACAAAACAATGAAGCAGGGTGAAAAGACACACTTCGTTCCTCGCCCACACAAGCTCTTCTCCTTCCTCCCCTTCTCCTTTCATGTTTCGTATTCGAATATAGGACGCCCGGAGCTGTGTCGCGGCCTGTAGCGATGTCTGTATCTCTTGTTGGACCGCATGGTAGGGGTCTGTAGACATATTCTTCTATAGTAGAATTATCGCCAGAGCAAGTATGCTGAGCTGCTGCAGGTATGGAAGCGATTTCAGGTAATATGGAGCGAGCGTAATAGGTGAAGATGGCGGCGGAAAAAAAAAAACAGTATGATGTGGAAAGCAAGAAAAGGAACTGCGCGCGCTTTCTGAGGCGGTGATGGCACGTGCATCAATCGGCGAACGGACCGATGACCCGTGCACTGTTTGCTACTAGATGCCCTGGCACTGGCTGGTAGTCAAAGTTTGCTTGTTTAAACTTGGTTGATCGCTCAGGTTGCATTTAATAGGATAAATTCACTACTAAATTAAAAAGTTCCAAAACTATGGCATTACCAGTTCTACATTGAATACTCAGAGGTATAACTCTCCCACAATGGCCACAGCTTCAGATTTTAATGTCTGGTTAAGCTATCATTCTATTCTATGTATGTTATTCACAAGTTGCACCAACCAATGTCTTCCATGGTTTGTTCAATGACTAATCTGGCCTCCACATGCCACAGTATCAATTCAGCAGGAGACTGGCCTGTATAGTCTGTGCTATGGTCTCTTTTCAAACCCCTACTTGATGCTCCGTTCTTCTCTGAGTAACAACTTGGAAGCACAACAGTGCCCTGGGAACCTATGTGGATTGGTTCCAGGCAGCAATGACTTTCTATAAACTCTAAGCAAACAGTTGTTCATTAAAATGGTAGTCTGGAGTATACAAGAGATAGAGCACCATGACTGCAGACTCTCCTTTCCAAGATGTAATGGGCAGTATGAGCTGCAATTTTCCCTCATCTGAAAGATCATTTCAAGTGGCTTTTCAGCATGCACAGGAGCAATATAAGGTGTTCCAGCTGTGTGTGCATCATTTGGAGTGTCACTTGACTGAGGCTTTGGAACACTATGATATCAAGCATTTAATTTAGTGATAGCAATGGGAATAAAATGATCTGACATACCTCAGCATTACTGCACCACAATTCATCATCATAACCCAAAGTGAGATAGTGAGTCTTGTAGACACAGGCAGGCAGGCATAGCTAGCCAAGCATTTCTAGTGGGTTCTGGCCTTAAATCAGCATCCATGTTGTCCTGCTCAATCTTATCCATGGCCTTCTGGCTTCTCCTTTCCACACTCTGAAAAATCAAGCATCTGTAGAGACCATCAAAAATACTGACAAATAATGCCCAGAGGAAGAGCTGCATTGTATTCAGAATGTCCCCATCAAACACTTCACTGATGCATTGGAGCCCTGCCTGTGGAGCTGACAAGTGAGATAAAACAGGCATGGGCTAAGGACTTTGAATCCATTGCTAAAATGGGGAGGAAACATGCCATGCTTGTGTGATTATAGTCTCCAAAACACATTCTTGTTTCTCTACAGCCTGTTATGCACATGCTGCCAGCTCCACTGCACACCAACTCCAACTTAGAACTCAACCAGACACCTAACAAACTCAGCTGGCCTTCAGCTGTTCTCTATTACCTACTCATTTCATTTACCTTTATCATTTCACATATATATTTCACATTCTAGTATCTAGACTCCAAATACAGTAGCAAACAGTTGATAGCAGAGCCCAGTGGACTCCAACTTAGAATTAGCTACTATTAGTATATAAAGCATGTATAACTATTGTAGATACTCAGTTCAAATATCAACTTGGATAGCCATCTACACTTTGTGCTCACTCCAGATCCTCTCTCTCTTGTCTACTGGATTTTGCTCTGAAGGACATTCCTCTTCACTTCCTTAATGAAACTCTATTCTGTCAATCTAAATCCTTGGGCCTTAACTCAAGGGTAATATTGTCAATAGCTTTGTTGACATCCATACACTCTGCCAGTCTTCATGCATGCACTCAAGCTCAATTATTTGGCACATTCCTAACACAGCTCTAATATATCACACCTGGTATTCTAAAGTGCTGAAAGTACAGAGGAGAGTACAGTATAGAGAATTAGATTAGCCTCTCAAGAGAGAGACATCATACTTAAATACATTTTGTACTACTTTGAGAGCTTTCTATGAAATACTATATAAGTCCTGACCATGGTCTAAATCAGCTGCCACTGATTGATGTAGTGTCTTCAAGTACATTCTTGTACTTGCTTGAGATTGCTATCCTAACACACTCTTTCAATTCCAAGTTCCTAGAATACCTGCAGATAGATACTCATATAATAGTCTTAGTAGGTCTTTAGTGAATATATCTGCTAAGTTCTCCTCTGATGTACAGTGTTGAACTTTGACTTCATTTGAAGCCATATGCTCATAAACAAAGTGGTGCTGTATATCTATATGCTTTGATCATGCATGGAATATAGGGTTCTCAGAGAATTTGATTGCTGATTATTGATGAAAATGATAGTCACACCATAAAGTGGCAATCCTAATTTGATTAAGAGTACTTGTAGCCAAATTACTTCCTGGGTTATATGTGCAAGGGCCATATACTCTGCTTTCATGGTGGATAAGACTACAGTGGGCTGTTTCTTTGAGCTCTAAGTAACAGCTCCTTCTGCATAGATACAGACATAACCAGATATTGATCTTCTGTCTGTTCTGTCTTCTCTCCAGTCTGAATCTGAATAAGATATCAGCTCATCTATAGTTCCTTCATATATAATTCCAAAGTCTAAAGTTCCCTTCAGATAGCAGAAAACTTGCTTTAAGACTGACATGCTTAGCAGCCAGATTCTGCATGTACTTGCTTAATTCAGTGACAGCATATGCAATGTCAGGCTGGGATCTATTGGCCATATATATCAGTGATCTGACACCAATATGGTAATATTGCCTGGTGGCTGTGTCAATACCTTATAGGTCTCCTATCAGAATTTTCTCTAGCTATACATTCAGGTCCATAAGCATTTTGACTGATTTGCAGTCATTCATGTCTATTTGCTCAAGTACTTTTAGAATATATATATTCTGAGATAAGATGATAGTGTCTTTGTCCTAATTCCTGTCTATCTTTATACCTAATATATATTGAATCTCCTCTATGTCTGTGACATTTAGCTTCTTCTTAAGCTCTTCTTTCATGTTAGACATGGTTTCATTATCCAGAGCAAGCAGTGTCATATCATCAACATATACAGCTATGATTATAGGACCAAAACTCATTTGTCTGATATACACACATTGATCACTGATCAATCTAATATATCCTAGTTCCAAAAATATAGCATTTAATTTATTGTTCCAAACTCAGTCAGATTGCTTGAGTTTATACAATGTTAATTTGAAGTGTGCTGCTTTTCCACTCCCATCTGAATATTCAGATGGCTGTGCCATATAAATAGATTCATTGAGTTTACTATTTAAGTAAGCTCCAACAATATCCATTCCATGAATGATTAAGTTTCTTTGAGCAGCAATTGCTATAAGTAGTCAGAATGTGTTTAGCCTGACAATAGGTGCATATGTCTCAAAAAAATCAATTCCAGATATCTATAAAAATTCTTTTGCAACAAGTCTAACCTTATGCCTGGTGATTTTCCCATCACCATCTCTTTTCAATCTGTAAGTCCACTTGCAGTCCACAAGAGATCTGTTTGAGGTAATTCTTCCAGCTGCCATATGCCTAGAGAAGTCAATAGATTGTATTCTTCATCTATTGCTTTCTTTCAATGATGCTAATCTGGCCTTGTCTTAGCTTTTTCAAGGCTTAATGGCTCATCCCTGAGATTGTCTGCAGTTTCCCCAACATATGCATAGTCTATTACAATATTTGCGGCTTTCAAAGATAGTTCTTCTGAGGTATGCTGTTATTCCAATGTTTTCACAGCTTATGCACTTGGGTTGTGAAGCAGTAACTCAGTTGAGTTATTAATGCAATTCAGATCAATTTGTCACATGGCTCAATCATCTTTTCATGCCATATGAGAAACTTTGATTTGATTGATAGCATATCAAGAGCTGTTTCTCCTTTTGATTTGGCATTTCCAGCATCCACAGAATTGTCTAAAATGTTATCATTTTCATCTAGAGTCTGCTCAACTTTGCTCTCTGACTCTCTCTTGAGTGATGAAGGGTGGAAGACTATATAGTCAATGTTTATAGACTCTGTAGTGTTGCTTTCAGGGAATATAGCATTTCTTGAGGTCTGAATCTGCCTAGTTTGAGAGTTGTAATATCTCCAGATCCTAAATTCATCTGTGAGACCTGTGAAAATAAATTCCCTTGATTTTAGGTCCAGTTTTAATCTCTTGTTGCCTTGCTACAACATCCAGCACTTTACTCTGAACTCCTGGAGTGCCAAAATATCTGGTTTCATGTTCTGAAACACTTTTTTTGAGGTCAGATCATTTTTGATGGCTTTAGTTGGTGATTGGTTCTTCAGGTATGTGGTGTACACCATTGCCTCAGGCTATAGAAATTTCAGTAAGTGATGTTCTTCTAGCATAGCATGTGCATGCTCTATGAGAGTCTGATTTTTCTCTCAGCAACTCTATTTTGGGATGAGGAGTATGCTGCAGTCAATTCCAACTGTATGCTATTATTCTGGAGCTATTCCTTTACCTCTTCATTGACATATTTCTTTTTATTGTCAATCTTCATAAACTTCAGGTCCTTTTCTTTATGGACTTTGATATATATTTGATACTGCTGAATCTTCTTTCAAATTTCTGCATCTTGCTTTGACTTCAGAAAATACAACATTGTTCTCTGAGATTTTCTATCTGTGAAGCTTATGTAATATCTTTCATCATAGATATTCTGAGTTCAAGCCAGTCTCCAAAGATCTGAAAATGTCATTTCACCTATTTCAGTGTAGTCTCTTTCAACTTCATGCAAAAATAGCTTGGTATGATGCTTGACCTTTATGCAAACTGTGCAATCTGTCTGAGACTCAGCTGACTCATTTATATCCATCCCCTTGACCATTCTCTTCCTGAATAGTCTCTTGATCTCATATTTAAGTGACCCAATGTCTTGTGTCACTTTTACTATGATTAGACTGATTTCATAGTATGAGCCTGAGTTATT